ACAGGGAGTAGCAGTGGCCCCATGGGCCCAGGGTGGGCAAGCCTGGAAGGCATTTAAATTTATAATTATTTGGAATTTTGTTTTTTTGTGTTCGCTTTAGGTGGGTTTCAGTTACGGTTACGGCTACGGTTCTTCGGTTTGATTCTATTGTTCTATTATTTCCGAGAGAGCGAAAGAGAAGTAGGGCCATATGCTGCTGAAGGAAATGGTTATATAAATGCACTGGGCCCCACGGGAAATGCTTAACGTAACCTCTGACCCATGTTCTGGTTGAGCAAAATAATTCAGTTTTACCGAAACAAATTATGCAACAAATTGTGGTTAAAATTTTGCCTGAAAATGCTACCAAATTCCTGGGAACCGGAAAGTTTAGTTCATGACGAAAAGCTGAGTGGAAAATGTTGAGTGGTTAAGTTGTAAGCACGTTATGGCCATTAAAAGTTGACCAAAGCTCTCTCTCTCTCTTTCTCTCTCTCTTTCTCTCTCTTTCTCTCTCTTTCTCTCTCTCTCTCTCTCTTCCCTTCTCTCTGGCACTACTCCCCCACTCGGGGGACTCCTTTCCACACTCCCATCCACGGCAAACGTGTGTTTTTGGCTATCAGTTTAAGGACCATTAGACAAATAACATGACTTGCTACTACTGTTTCGAATTATTAATTGTATCGGCCCCAAAACCAAATCAATTTCATCAATTCTAATGGGCCACCCCCTTCTCCCCACTAGAACAATGGCAAAAGCCGGATCAATTATTCCACGCAGTCCAGGCGGCGTCCGAATGAGTTCGACGCTAAAACAAAGAAGATCCCAGTGCCTGCTAAATCACATGCTCCAGCAATCAATCAATGCGTCGGACAATCAATCAACCGGGCAGGACCAGAGGATGGGGTAGGGATAGGTCTGAGACAGCTGACAGACGGCAGTGGAGAAAGTCAACCCACCTCTCCCCCACTCCCCAAAAAAAGGCGAAAGTGCCAGCCAGGGCCAAGACAGGACAATTGATCCCTCGATCCACCGACTGTGCGCAGTCATTACCATTATGGCTGACCAATTATTAACGCAGTCAAGCAAATGACGCACTTTTCCACAGTCGAAGGAAAGTGGGCCAACAGCCAGTTGGCCAAGAAAGTATTCCTGTTGCGGCTACTGCCACTTATACTGCTATTTCTACTAATACTGCTACTGCTACCGTTAATGGCGTCTGTTCTCTGACATAATTACAATTTTAGTCAATTTCCGATTGGGGAGAGCTTGTGTTTTATTTTGGCCTGTAGGAGGCACTAAAAATGATTTTATTGATTTGTGTTGTCACGCAACTTCCTCTAATGATGGCAGTCGTCCTTAGCTCCTCCCTCCACCGCTGTGTCCCTGGAATAGTTCTAGCCCTATGCCAGCCTGAGGAAGAATCATCCATAATTAAAAAAGCTTGCCAAACGCTAGACGTGGGAGATGTGTATGGGAGATGTCTTGACTATTTTTCAATTAGTTGTAGTCACACAGCAGGGTGCAGGGTGCAGGGTGCAGGGCGCAAGAGGGACTGTGGCTAGACAGCAGCAGCGCCCGACAACATAATGAAGTTGAAATGAGTTTAAACAGGCAGCACCGAACCCCTTACCCTGACTGGGTGGGTGGGCTGCGTGAGTCACATGTGGCCCTAGACTCTTGGGCTTTGCCTAAAGACGCTTTGCATAAGCCGCCTGGCTCTGGTAATTTTCCGGCTAGTCTCTTTTCCTGCTTTTACATCCCCCCCTCCACCTCCTGGCACTCTGAACTTATTGGATTTGCCGGTTAATAAACTATTCACTTGCTAATTAAGTGCCCGACTCGCTGTGAATAATTTACTCCCCGCAAAGTGAGTGGAAAACGCCTCGAGTTATGCGGAGGAGAAATCTGCAAGCACCGTAAAAAAAAAGAAAACACTTTAGGAAAAATTATGAATTATTGAATTAGAAAATATCCAAGTGTGACAGAAATTGAGGCAGGCGTTAAAGTGATTTCCACTGAACTTCAAGTGGGGTAGGGCACGGGGCTTGGGACTTGGGGCATGGGCAGAAGACAACATAGGACAGTGGGTGAAAAGGACATCACATATCATGGGTGGGGTCGGTGCATAAATTGTATGCTGACAGCTTGGACCGGGGTGTTGCTGTTGGCTGTTGCTTTGCCACTTCATGTGTCCATTTAGAGCTTCGGCTGTGGCTCTGGCACTGCCTCCGGCCGCCTGCCGCCTGCCGCCTGCCGCATGCCTCTTGCCAGAGTTGAAGCCTGCACGCGATGCACACACCATCGACAGTAATGTGTTGGTTCCCGGCCAAGTCTCGTTAGCGCGGGGCCAGAAGCGGCAAACCACAATGCTAGCCATCAACAATGGGGCCGTGTGCCGCCTTCTTCTGCTGCTGCTGGGCCCAGTTCTTTTTATTGAATACAGTTGTTTGGCTGAGACACGCCCCGCCCCGTTTTTGTTGCTGTACATTTGGCCTACACACCCACGCAAACGCAAAGGACAATTTTTTTCGTGTTGTTTGTGTGTGTTTGTGTGTTAATGGGGGGGCCTAGGAATTCCGCTTGAATTATTTATTTAGCCATGCATTTGCAGTTTGCAAAAGTGCAAACAACCAACAACGAAATACCAGTACAGTAAACACACTTTAATAGTTTAATGCCAGCGAAGCAGAAACTTTGCCATCGACAGGAGGAGAAGCAGCACCACAAGCAGCAGAGGCAGCATCATCAGCAGCAGCAACAAGAGCTATAACCGCCGGAGGGCCAGGCAAAGCAGGCAACAAAAAGGCAGACTTTCATGGAATATAGCCATATAATAATGCCTATTTGACTAAGAGCAAATGGTCGAAACAGAGGACGCGCGAGGCCGAAAAACTTCAGCTCCAACGACAGCTGCTGATGTTGCCGCTCCTCTTGCCGCTCCTCCAGGGGGCAACTTTTACGAAAGTTTGGCCAAACAGCAGCAGCAACAAAAGGAAGGGGGAAGAGAGACAGCCACCGACACATGTCAAAGTTTTGCAATTTCAAAGATTTCTTCCAAATATTTATATTGTTGTTGTTGCTCCTTCGCTTGCGAACATGATTTTTGGCCACCGCAGAGCAGAGGGAGAGAGAGAGAGGGATGCTGGCTGCCCCTTGGGGAGTACTCGACTCCACTTCAACGATGGAGTCTGTAGCTCCAGCACTTGACAATGACGGGCTTGACCACAATTTGTGCCCACAGGCAGCTCTCCCTCTCCCTCTCTCTCCGCAGCCTTACCCTGGTCTGTTCATGGGAATGTCCTGCCTCGTCCTAACATTAATCCATTAAAAACTTCGTTTAGCTTTTTGGTCGGCAACTTCATTTAAAACCAATTTCGTGACGCCCCAACCCCATGAAAAATCAAAGTTGTGTGACCATTGTTGTTGCTTTTCCCTTTATTCCGTGTCCCATGTCCTGTGTCCTGTGTCATGTGGCCTATGGCCTGGGTGTGGGCTGGACTGGGGCTGTCGCTTGTCCCGTCGGTGCTGGCCATGTGACATCATCAACGAGCGTCACGTGCCCGGTACAGCTGCCTCGGTCGGCTATCCTTAAGCTTGCATGACGCTATCGCTGTCGCTGCCACTGCCACTGGCGCTGCCGCTCACCGCGTGCATTGCAGTGCCGCAGGCTGGGTGATGTGGCACTGACAGAAATTACTGTTGGCGTGAGAACAGCTCGGATAAGAACAGAGCTGCGACTCTGATGAAATAATTATTGCCAACGTTCCACGGCGTTCGATAAAAGACCGCCTTGATGTGCGGAAAATACTCGTATTGAGGGGGCAAGTGGCAGTAATTCTTGCAGCAAATTGAGTTGCAAACCAGAAATGAGGCTAGCAACACGTTCGCAGAACTATCGATCCTACTTGTGGCAGATAAGTAGAATTTTCTAGAATCGGGGAGATTATCTGAAGAATTCAATAAAAAATAGGAGTATTTACCAATACAATTTCTGTTACTACCCATCATTTTCATTTGACAGCTGGCAAATGGTGGTAAAACGTCGTAATTTTCTGCTATTTTGACCTTTAAGAATATAAAGTTGGTTTTTAATTTTTGGTTTCAAAGGAAACTATGGATAGTCAAGTTCAGGGGACGTAAGGATTGTAATCTCTCTATTATATAAAATAGTTTCGGGTCGTCGTTGTTGCCCAACATTTTATTTATATTACTGATTAAAATGTATCTCGCAGATACTATTAGCTTTTATAGCAACATTTAAAATTTTTAAATATGATAATTTGTATGATAAGAACTAAAAATAAAAATAGTTTGTAGGGATGCAAGTAATTGGAATATGTATCGTAAGGACACCTCGCCGTTAAAAGGATAAATATATTTTTAATGTAATTTGATATAATTTTTGATATATACATATTTATAATTCAATTTTTCATGCAAAATTTTGTTTGTTCTTTCGGGTTTTTGTTTTACAAACAAAAAATAGGACCTATAAGAAAGGTTTTTAAAACCAAAATTTCTTACAGTTTATGCTGTGAAGGATACCTCTTTTTTCATCACTTTATCCACTTTAATTTTTAGAGTAAACTCGACGCAAATCAAAATTTGCAATCTCTGGTCAATTGATATGATATCCTTTAACAAAGAGGGAAATTATGCTCGTTTTCAAAATGTAGATATCGTTTGAAATAAAAACTAAAGGGTTGGTGGGGGGTGGAGAGAGTTGCAACTGCTTCCATTTTTTTTTTTTGCAACTTGCAACTTTCTAAAGAAACTAAAGCACTCGCCAAAGGATAAATCAGCTTAATTAATGCAAAGCTAAATCTTTTAGCGCGGCTTAAGTGCCAGGGGCTGTCAATGGCAGCGGCATGGGCAGGGGGGCAGTGGCAACAGCTGCAACAATTAGTTTAATTTATGCGGCAGCGCGTTGCACTCGAAATTAGCATTAAGCTTCTGCGAATAAATTACTCGCAAAAACTAACCAGCGACGATGCGTGCTTGGGGTTTGTTTTTTTTAGGAGAATGGAAGATCAGTTCCTGATGTTACCGCCAGCCCGGGACGCGCCCCACCCGGACCGCTGCCCGCCAACCAGCTGTCCTCGCTGGGCAACCAGCAGCACGGCAACCAGCAGCAGCACCAGCAGCAGCAGCATCATGGAAACCAGCAGCAGCAGCACCATGGCAACCAGCACCAGAATCGCGGACAGAGCGGCAGCATCTCGAATGCCGGCAAGGATCCGGTGCTGCTGCAGGGCGACTTCCGCAAGGTCAGCGGCATCAGCTCGGAGATCTTTCGCCAGATAGAGGCCGTCGAGAATGACCATGACCCGAATACGGCGGCGGCCCTGGACGCGGTGGAGCGTCGCGGCGAGATGATTGTCCGCATCCTGGAGCCGCGCTGCATGGGCAGCAAGCAGGCGGTGGATGCCGCCCACAAGCTGATGAACAAGGCCGACGGCAGGCACACAGTCCAGCTGGTGGAGATCGTCAAGCGGCCCGGACAGACGCTGGGCCTGTATATACGCGAGGGCAACGGTGCCGACCGCACTGATGGCGTCTTCATTTCCCGCATTGCCCTGGAGTCGGCGGTCTACAACAGCGGTTGTCTGAGGGTGAGTGTCAATCAATGGGTTGTTGACGAGAGAGAGAGAGAGAGAGAGAGAGAGAGAGAGAGAGAGAGGATGATCTCTATTAATTCTGTTATCCCTAGGTGGGCGATGAAATCCTGGCCGTCAATCTGGTGGACGTGACCCACATGTCGCTGGACGATGTTGTCATCATCATGTCAATTCCACGCCGCCTGGTGCTGGCCATCCGCCAGCGACGTGGCAATCGCGGCACAAACTCTCCCGGACCGCCGACGTTGTCGCGACCGGAGCAGAAGCCGCCGCCGGTGGTGGTGATCAAACGGGATCTCAGGGACGAGGATCTGGACGAGACGGATCGCATGCAGAGGCCGCGCTCATCACGTGAAAGACGTACAGGTAGTTTAAAATGGAGGCCGTGTTTGAAATGCTTATCGGGTTCCCCGTTCTCTCTGTTTCCTCCTCCTGCAGGTGATGGCCGCGAGATGACCGAGTCGCGCTCCAGGCTGGGCCTGGGCCTCAACAACTACAGTCCGCAGTCGGAGCAGCTGGACATGTACTACAACTCCCGTGGTGGCGGCGGAGGCCATGCCGGGGGCGGTGGCATGCCCGTCAATGCCATGGGCGAGCCACCCAACTGGGGCTACAAGCCGCCGCCACCGCCCTCGTCGGTGATCACGGAGCAGCCCACAAAGGGCCACGCCTTTGCGCCCTCGCATGCGTACTACCAGAACGCGGGAACGCTGGAGAGCCTGGCGGAAAAGGTGCATGCCTTCTATCCGGGTGCGCCCGGACAGCCAGTGGGTCAGTCGCGTCGCATGTCCACAGGAACCGGAAACGTGGGACTTGCCCAGCAGCACGCGCGCTTCCCGCGCTCCGGATCGGATCAGCATTTGCCGCGAGTGGAGTACGCCGACTACTCCAACTCCCTGGGTCGCCACTCGCTGCTACGCTCCAGCCTGAAGCCCGGCACCGGGGCTCCCATGCCCGTGGGCGTGGGTGGAACGCTGGGCCGCTACGGGCGCTATGATCAGCAGCGTGCCAGTACGGTCTCCAAGTACGGACCGCCGGCTGCCGGAGCCCAGTCGCTGACGCGTCGCTCCCGACCCAATCTGGACTACTCCAGTGACACGGAGGCCACGATCGGACCGCGTCCCAGCTACTACTACTACAACAGGCCCGCCATTGGCAGCATGCCGCGTGGTGGCGGTGGGCACGTGAGCGGAGGAGCAGCTGCCACGGCTGCCCTGCTGGCAAGTGCCGCAGATCTCAACAAGTTCAACTCGCTGCCCAGGGAACGACCCGGCGTTAGGCTGCAGGGCATCCGCACCAGAATCAGCGATCGGCTGGTGGACGAGAACGATGGCAACACCTCGGCGCCGGAGTTCGATGTGCGACGAGGCAGAGATCTCCGGCAGCGCATCACCGCCAGTCCCTCGATCTTCACGGCGGACGAGTACCGCGCCTGGCTCCGCCGGGCGCCCAGCAGCTCTGCCATTGCGGAACAGATGCGAATGACGCGCGACTTGTTTGCCCAGCCGCGATCGCAGCGGTTCTCCTGCAGCGCCGAGAATATCCACGATGCATTGAGGAATGTAAGTATTACTAACACTTTTCCGACGTTACCACATTCTGATGATTTTCTGTTGTCTTCAGACGGAGAGCATCTACTCCAGTAGAACGGGCATACTCGGAGCTGGCACCCTCGATCGCAATATGGGCCTCACGCGGCCCATTTCCGCACTGCCTGTGCGTTCCATGTCCTCGCAGCACATCGGTGGGGCAGGCTCCATACGCTCGCCCAGCATACGACGCATGCGACAGCTGCTAGAACTGTCCGCTGGCCCGGCCAGTCCTAGTGGCAGCATCATGAGCACCGGCGGCCACCAGAGTCCAGCACCGACGCCCAGCGCCACGTTGCCCCGTCAGCACCGCCAGATCGACATCAATCCGGCCGAGTTTGCCAAGTACAAGCTGGACAAGCCCATAGTCGACATTGGTGGGGTGTCGGGCATGTTGTGGATCCATCTGTTGGCGGGTCGAGGCCTGCGAACCGCTCCTGAGGGAGCCGGGGCCCAACCTGGGGCGCCACCTGGCCAGACCAGGGATCTGTACTGCGTGATCGAGTGCGATCGCGTGCATAAGGCACGTACAGTGGTTCGATCCGGGGATCTGCAGTTCGACTGGGACGAGTCCTTCGAGCTGGACTTGGTCGGGAACAAACAGCTGGATGTCCTGGTCTACTCGTGGGATCCCCAGCACCGGCACAAGCTCTGCTATCGGGGAGCCATTTCGCTGTCGGCCATCCTACGGCAGTCGCCGCTGCACCAGCTGGCCCTCAAGGTGGAGCCACGGGGCACCATCTACATCCGCATGCGGCACACTGATCCCCTGGCCCTGTACAAGAGGCGTGGTCTGCCCAGCCTGAGGGCCGGCTATCCGACGTTGTTCGGCGCTGACCTGGAGACGGTCGTCAACCGGGAGTCTAAGGGGGCCCCGGGCTGTGCCCCAGTGCCAATTGTGCTGCGGCGCTGCGTGGAGGAGGTGGAGCGACGTGGGCTCGATATAATCGGGCTGTATCGACTGTGCGGCTCGGCCACCAAGAAGCGTCTGCTACGCGAGGCCTTCGAGCGCAACAGCCGTGCCGTGGAATTGAGCCCGGAACATGTTCCTGACATCAATGTCATCACCGGTGTGCTCAAGGACTACCTCAGGGAGCTGCCGGAGCCGCTGTTCACGCGCTGCCTCTTCCAGATGACAGTAGACGCCTTGGGTGAGCATGATTGTACTCCTCCTTCTGTCGTTTCGATTTAATTGCCCCCAACCATGATCTCCCACAGCTGTCTGCCTGCCAGATGACCCCGAGGGCAATGCAAAACTGATGCTTAGCATCCTCGATTGCCTGCCCAGGGCGAACAGGGTGAGTGGAAAGCATACAGTACTAGTATTCCATGGAGGTTTCTCATTCCCTGCTCTTTAGGCCACTCTTGTATTCCTGCTCGACCACCTGTCGCTGGTCGTTTCCAACTCTGAGCGCAACAAGATGTCCGCCCAGGCGCTGGCCACGGTGATGGGCCCACCGCTGATGCTGCATTCGGCCAGCGCACAGCCGGGCGCTGACATCGATCACGCCCAGCCGATCGCAGTGCTCAAATATCTGCTGCAGATCTGGCCACAGCCGCAGGCGCAGCATCAGCAGCTGGCACAGCACATGGGCGGCGCAACGGGCTCGATGATGAGCGGCCTGGCCACGGCCGGCAGTATGAGCAACATGGCCGGCGTTGCTTCAGGTAACGTACTCCCAGTGTCCATGCTGCACCGCCACCCAGCCACCAACAGGTCCCCGAACCACCCACCGACTACACTCACACAAGACTAGAGGACACACACACACACACACACACACACACACACACACACACACAAACACACACCTGCAAGAGTTTTCTTAAATTTCTTTCTATTTCTGCTTTGAAAGCAAGCCGCTGTTCCAGTCAAGATCTTCATTCCTCTCTTTCCGTCTCTAAAGCGCGGCACAGAAACCGTTTTCACTGTTAACTGTTACTTCACATACACACAAAAACACCCACACGCCCACAAACACATTAAACACTCATCCAAGACTCACCCACAGACACACAGACACCGATTTGCGTTCACATTAATATTGATTAATACAGAGTCCTATGTAGACAGGTCGGCGCGGCGAGTCAACAGGGCAGCGTGGAAGCAAAGTCAGTGCGTTGCCAGCGGACAGACAGCAACTTCTACTGCAGCAGCAGCAGCAGCTCATGGCGGCGGGCAACCTCCTGCGCTCGTCCACTTCGGTAACCAACATACTCTCCCAAGGCCATCCTCAGCTCTCAGCCACAGCCAACAGTCATCTGTATCAATCAGTAGTGGGTCAGTTAGCTCAATCGCATCGAGCCTTGCAACAAGCGGTGCAACAGGTAAAACAACAACAGTAACCACCAGCACACAGCAACACTAACAACATAAACAATAAACAATGTGAACAAACAACAACAAGAGCCAACAAAACAATTACAACATACGATAATCGAACATTGAACATTTAACATTTAACATACATTACTTATGCATTACTTTATCATCTAATCTCACTAATCCTCACTAACATAACCTAACATAACATACTACACTTCAGGCAGAATTTCTTTATTGTTGGGGGCACTTCTAATGCGTATCTAAAATGCATTCAGATTTTTCAGAGATCTTTTCGAATATTTAAAAATTAGTTTTAAAATTTCAAAGAGAATATAAGGGTTACATTTTTCTCATTAAATTTACATTATTTTCATTTGTATAACTTTGAATTCAAAATTTATTTTTTATAATATAATAGTAGCCGTTAATTTTAGTTGAATAACATCATATGAAAATTTAAATATTTTATTTGTTGTATATCGTATTTATCATTAACATTGAATGATTTTTATTTTCTATATATAATTTATTAAGTTTAAGGAGATTTTGCTTCTCAGGTTTTGAAAATGCTTTTAAAATTTCAATTGGATATTAATTTTGTATAATTTTTGTATATGCTGTTAAACTGTTATTTTTTCTTTTTTGTATCCTATTGAAAGTAATATTATATATTATTTACCAATTGTCCGACAACTAATAATATACATAAAATCGGAGCATCTTTTGTCGATGGGCGTATTATGTAGTCAAAGATAATATTCATGGTAAAATGAGTAACGGCCATACAGTTGTATGGTATACGATATTTAGGGTGGCTTATGAATGGCCACAAGAGAGCGCTCAAAGGCCACTCTTGTCTTTGGTCTAGTATAGTTGTGCAGGAAATTTTCAGACACCATAAAACCATATCATACTTTGCCACTTTTTCACACTTTCTCTATCACACACTTTCACTACCAAAAACACCTAGACACTCCACACAAACACAGAGAAACAAATTCTTGCTCTTTAACTTTTCCTGTTGACCGTTTTGCAAAAGATGATGAAAATATATACAAACAATCGTACATTTTTAACCTACTGAGCTATCAATTGAGCAATCTTTCGAAAGCATTATCTGTTGTCATTTAATTTGTGCTTTTTACGAGAATACTACTTACAAATAATTGCTTACAAAATGTGATGTAATATATACATATATTAAAGTAATCCATAATTTGTTGTGATCCGTGATCGATAGACGTTGTAATTGTGACCCATACATACGTATATTATCGTATATATTTATTTACTTAAACATATCGATATACGATATATATATATATATACTTATAACGATGGTAATGATGATGATTTGAGCGATGTGATAATTGTTGAACGGCGTGTAAAGCATGATTGGCCCACTACTGGTAACAAAATAAACATATCTGACTATTTATACCACTTTGTATACCAATCCAATCCAATTTCAATATATCCAATATATGTATAATCCGTACAGCCTCTGTATGTAAACCACATGCCAAAAGAAAAGAACACACCATGTAATTGCTTCATATAACACAATGCCATTGTACAAACTTCATCAAATCATTGACCCTCGTACATTATATTGTTACACTGTGCAGTAGCCCACACACAGTAGCCCTTCCTCCCCAGGAGATACTTACTCAGTGCCTCATGAGATTCCCTCTACTAACACCCTGACGACATCCCTGTCACCCTTCTTTTGTCACCGAAATGCACAGCAGATGTAGAATAGAACGTGTGAAAAATATTCAAAGGATTGGGAACCTAAACCCTACCGTAACTTCCTTTTTAAACTATTGTTTTCGGGGATAATAAGTAGGGGACTCTCCTGCACCATTTTTCGCTTGATTCTATCAACCGCACATCGTTCATGGCACCCCGTTTGCATGTCCAACACCTGTCCAACACGCTTTTGCATCACCAAGCATCGTTCCGAACCGTCCCAGAATCACATCCAAATCTAGAGAACAATACCTATCTGATTGGTTTACAAATTGGCCGCCCACCCGTACAAGAACGTATCGCACTCAGCACGATGTGATAATTGTCTTTGTCTAAACGTTGTATCTGCTTAAAATCTAAACACTCTACACCACTTACGCACTCACACACACTCACCCACACACACAGCATTATGTACACCCGTAAGACACCAACAGCCAAAATCTAAATTCGAAATTCTCTATGCACACCCTACTCGTATAAGTAAGACTTAAACCAGATGCAAAGACCACTGCACGTATACCCGCCCCCCCCAACCCCCCCGTATAAAGCCATATATGAACTCTGTAAAGACAAAAATTTGACCAACTCCATGGGTTGTCCTACGCCCTCTTTCTCTCTCTCTTTTTTTCTTTTGATCTGATCTCTTGCAGCCCTATCAATTGGCGGGATCAGTGGGCTCAGCAATTCCCGACCAATCGCCACTGCCACTTCCAGGCACACCCTCCCCAGGCAGTAGCTCGGCGTCGACGGGTTCGGGCTCCGGATCGGGCTCGGGTAAAAGTAAAGAACATCAAAATAACACCAGAGATAGAGATAATTTAATGTTTGGAAAATCCCACTTACAGGCACGGATACCATCAAGCGCGGTGCTTCACCTGTCTCCGTTAAGCAAGTCAAGATCATCGATACGGCCAGCCCCTATTCCATAGTACAGAAGAAGCCGCCGCTGCAGAAGGATGCACCCATAGATGCCATCACACCCACCACCCAGTCGGATGCAATATCAGCCCTAGGCGGCAGCAGCAGCACGACAACACGCAAAGGCAACGTTGACTTCTATGAACCGCACAAAGCGCTGTCCAAGAGCCTGGCCGGTGATGACTCTAGCTACAGCTCCAAGTACGCCAGTCTGGACACAAAGAAGAGCAGCTACAGCGGCAACAGCAACAGCTACACCCCCAGCAAGACCAGCCTCAACGCCAGCAGCGATGAGTACAAGGCGATGCGCAACAAGTCGAGCGCCACCTCAAGCTCGAGCTCATCGCAGGCTACGGTATTGAGTGCCGGCTCGACGGCCACTTCGGCACCCACCACCTCCTCGGATGACTCGGACGATCTGCTGTCGTACAAGTCGTCGGCCTCCACTAACGCCTTGCTGGCCCAGTCGCAGGCCATGACCACCAGCCAGCTGATGTCGAAGTATTTAAAGCGTGAGCCGCGTGTCCAGTTCACGCCGATCAAGTCGCCGGAGTCGCCATCGCCGCCCGGCGGTGGGGATGGTCTGCCCAAGGGCACTTACCAACTGGTCACGCCCACCGGCTCCAGCTCTTCTCTCAAGCCCAGCGCCACAACGGGAGCGATTAGCAAGCACACCACATCTTCGCCAAGCTCAGCGGACACGAACACTAACCACACCAACAGCCAACAGAAGTTGTCATCGCCCTCGCGCCTGAACAAGGACAGTAAGTCCGGAGCAGCGGTAAGTGGCTCCTCCTCGATTGTGTCGACCGGACGGCGGCTGTTTGACAGCCTGGCCTCGTCGTCATCGTCGGAGACGGAGACCAAGACCTATATTGGTGGAACCACTGCCAATGCCAGTGCATCCAGCAGCACGACAACCTACACCAACGACTCGCGGAACACGGCAAGCAGTAGCAATAAGTCGGTAGCGGGATCGGGCTCAGAGCACAGGAGCTATGGCAGCGCTCTCTTTGGGAGCAGCGGCCTGGGCAATGGCAATGGGACCACCAGCGGCAACCACAACCATTTGGGCAGCACCAACAGTCCCTTCACCAGCACCAATGGCAACGGCAGCCACAATGCCATGAACCTGTACGGCACTTTGCCAAAGAGTGGGGCAGGTGGGGGCGCCGCCAGCTCGGGGGCTGCCCTGTTTGGAAGCAGCGCCAGTTCCTCCTACCACTCGAGCAGCGGTGCGGGTACAACAACCAGCAGCGGGGTCAGCTCCATGACGGGCTCCACCAATAGCTATGACTTCTACTCGAGCAGCACCTCGAGCGGCAGCAGCAGTTCACGTCCCTTTACCAATGGGGGCAACAATTACCACACTCTGGGCACATATCGGGCGCAGTATGCGGCCACCAATCCCTTCCTCGATGCCTTCGACGAGAAGCCCAGTAGCAATGGGGGCAACGGCGGTAGTAACAATGGCCACGGGGAGGCGGACAAGCTCGGGGCGGACAAGGGCCATCACAGGGCGACCGTGATTGCGGCATTCCAGTCGTCGGGCGACTCCAAGAACGGTAGCGATGAGTACGACGATCTCAAGTGAGGGGATAACGATAACCATAATGATAACGAACAAGTACGATACGATTACGAAAACGATTGCCATACAGACAGAGACAATGCTGAAAGTGTTCTTTTGGAGTATTTACAGTTTACAAATTTACATAGAACGAATAATACGAATATAAACCGATAAACAATAATCGAATAACTAGAACAAAAACTATGCTAAAACCCACTGAACACGCGGATATCTCCTCTTATTAAACGGAAGGCCAACATGGCTGCCGAGCTTTCTGTATGTGTGTGTGGTGTGGTGTGGTGTGGTGTGTATGTGTGTATGTATGTATAACGAGCGGAAACACCAACAGTGGGGTGGGGCAGCCATTTAGCTAATACAAATCCGAATTCAATAACATTTACGAACAGTATTTTTGAACGAACTAAAAGCAAAACCCAAGAAGAGAATAATAGGTAAACATCGTATACAACAAATTACATATTATAAATGTAACATAACAACTAAAGAAAAACAACGTGAACGAGAACAAACTTAAACAGAAAGGTTGATCGCGCATTTAATTTTTACAAGCAACATAAAAAAATCAACAATTTCTACATACATATATACAGACATGCTCATGTACATGCCTATACACGATATATAGACATGCAATACAATTATGCTAATGACATATTTTTGCATAGTCCCCAGTCCCAAGTATTGGAATACATACGTTGTACATACTACAAAAAGAGTCCTCTTCCACGTCTTTTTCTATCCCTTACACCAAACAACCACAGCACAGCATATCCTAGCGTATGCGATGTGTGTGTTTCAATGTGACCAATTCTCTAATCTATAAAACCGCTGTACTCGATATATGTATATTTATGTGAAAACTAAGCAAAAGCCCAAGTCCAGGTAGTTACTGGACAACTTTTCGAGCAATATATTTGCCTAAAATGTTTCTCTACCGCCTCTTACATGTATGTATTATACATACTTATACAATATATATATAACCATACCAAAATTGTATAAGGCCCAAAGGTATGCTTCGAAACCCAAAAACAGCCGCCTAAGACATCCTTGGAGCCTTCGTTACAGTATCCGATCGATCGATGATTGATAATACATCATACATCACACGCATACATACACACATAAAAACAAACAAATACATGAATTTATTGACGAATCGATGTGCTTAGTTTTTGGTATGAAACAAAGTCTGATATACACACTAATATACAACAATACAGTATAATATTTATAAACATTTAAACATAATTATACAAACGATGGAAAAAACCGAAAACAAACAAACAAAAAAAGAATACAAAACTAAAAAAAAAAACAAAACTAAAGTTATATATAACTATACAATAAAGTAATAAATTAAAACACGCTTTGCGATTAAGGGACAGATTTTACATACAGCATTTATGTTTCCAAAGCTTTTTATATAATGTATGGCCAACTGTGCTTAATCTCAATCGTACTATAAAAAATCTATACAATATATCAAATATAATACAATAGAAATTACACCCCGAATTAACGAATGCTACGAAACTGTAAATACCCACAATTACATTGCAATGTAAGAGTACTTAAAACGTTTGTGCTTTAGCTAGAGTATCATCAGTCAGTCGGTCGGTTAGTCAGTTAGTCAGCTAGTCAATGTTTGCCAGTTCAAGAAGATAGTTTCTAGTCATAGTCATAGCAACCTATTCGTACGAGTATATACACCTAGGCTTATGCGCAGGCATTGCAGATATATATAAACATACACTAAAGCATAGAGAAAATATTATCATTTAAACTAGGCCAGTCAGGGAGAGATCTTAAGCAATAAATAGCAGATTAGCAGGCTAGCAGGAAAATCGAAGTATATATATATGTATGTATATGTATTTGTGTTGGCTACCAAAAAAAAAAAAACAAACAAAAAACACCAAGCATAATCATTCGTCTTCATGCAAAGTACAACTTCCTACAAGAACCCAACCACAAAACAAACGAAAATAACAAGCTACCATTCATATACGGAATTCAAGTTCAAGTTCAGATTCAAATTTCAAATCAATTATTAGAATGGTATTAATGTAAACCAATTCATAACCAAGATTGTGCATTATTTGATTTTAAATTAAAATACTGATTCAAAATATTGATCAAAGTGTTGCTGATGCGAAAGAGAGAAAGAGAGAGCTAGCGATAGATGAGGGGAAGCGTTAAGATTTTAAATAGATAAATATTCGGTTACTTGTTGTCAGATTTATTTTATACTGGAGAATGGAGAAACAATTCAAGTGTTACACATGATTCTCGAAACCAAAGAGTTATAAACCACAGCATAGGCAAACCAAACATATAGTTGAGGCAAATTGATTTTTATATAGTGAATTGTTAATTATTGCATATAGAAAGTAGAGTTTTTAAAAAGCAACAAACGTCAGAAAAGATAATGCAGACGAGGAGCAATGTTCATTTGTAGAGAGGCCAAGTGGGGCCAGGGCCGGGACCATCTCCGAACCGACCTAATAGCTGCCCATTGCCCATCCTGGTTATTGATTTTAGGATTTTAACGTCGTACGATTATTACATACCAAAGAAACGTCAATGTTACTACAGCTGTCGCCTTCATTTTAAAAATATTATATAGATACATACCTATTATATATAGATACCAGTACCCCAACCAGTTCTCTTGATTTGTTACCCCAAAAGCTTTAATCGTTGAACGACCCAAAGGTTACAAATTCGAAACATATTCTACATAGACGAGTAATAATACCGAATACTAGTAGAGGACAAACTGTACTTTGGTGGGAGATATCACAAGTACATACTTAGGACAAAACTTCAATTGATTTGCGAATCGTTGTGGCTTCTTAGTTGTAGTTAGCTTAGCCTTAAGATGTGGTGGCAGGGGGGTGGGGGGGAATGGAGGTGGAGGGACCTAGCGGTGGAATGATCAGTTAAGGTTTGGTGTTGGAATGAAACGGAAGCGGAAATGGAGATTGGTGTGGGTTTGGGTGTGGGCGTGGGTGTGGGTGTGAGTTGGGCTGCGTGGCATTTGTTCTTGCTTGTGCCGCTTGTGCGTGTGCTCTGGGCTGAACCCTGTTCGATATGTATTTGTACTTGTACTTTAGAATAACATATACTATGGAATATATATCACTGTGTCATATCGTACATTTAAACAAGTAAAGCAAAACCAAAATCCAAATTGACGCTGAATGGGATATATTGTTAATGCAAAAAGTATTCACGTATAGAAAAGTATGTATACAAATCTAAACCTAAATTAATAGCGGCAGAGCAGCAACTACATATAATATACATATACATAGTTACATACTAAACTAAAACTAAACAAAACATGATTGGCAGGCAACCAAGTACTACAAATTGTATATGCATTTAACTTAGAGTAAATACCTAATTCTAAAACAAACTAAAATAACTGACAGACAAAGCCATCTGTTAGCTGGCAAATGATGACAAAGACAAAGAACAAGAATATGTTGAGCAAATATGAATTGAATTGATAATTATGCAGATACACAGAGCGGCTGAGCGTTAGGAGTGATTGAAACAGAAGTGGAACGAACTAATTTACCGAAATGTATTGCACAATATCGAACACTCATTAATACGAGTATTAGCGAAAGTAACTAAAAACAACAACAAATTATATAGACTCGAATCGAATCGACTACGGGAAATATTGGCAGCAGCGCTAGACAAGACACACACAGATTCCGATAATATTCATGTTTCAAGGATCAGTTGTATTGCGGTTTGGATAAGTTGGATAAAGCGTATGCCTAAGTACTATATAAAACGAATATGTGAATTTGTGTATGTATTAAATGTGCCTAAAATTTCATTTACTTTTCTAGACCACTTTTCCACTGACTTTGAGAACCCTCTCTGACGCTTTACGGGGATTTTGTTTTGGGTTTTAAAGCAATTTCAAACAAAACACTTCTGTCGAACTTAACAAGTAAATGGAGACCAAATGCTCAGGGCGTTAGCGAGTTATAATAAGCATAATATTAACAACCAAAACAAGGGGAAACGTACTTAAGAACTAAGTGTAACAAATCATGAGCATGCTCCATCAAATGTTAGGCCAATACGAACCAACATTTTAGTTGAAAACCCGTAGCTCTTTTCATCAGGCAACAACACCGAAAGGATATCAGCAACAACTAGAAAACAAAATACACAGCCACAAGAACAATCCAGCAAACAAATTTACAAAATCCAAGCAATCAATTTGTTGAAAAGACTGAAAACCAAACAAAACTAAAACATAACGAAGCGAAGCGAAACGAAATCAACAACAAAACACTCCCTAAGCAGAAAAGGAGAGTTTTCATAGCAATCGACACACCAAACTACAGACATATTACATAAATAGTGTATACATGTTTCGGAATCCCATCCCCCAGTCATGAAATGTCTCAGAGTTTACTTTTATTGTTTTGATTTTTTTTTTTAACTTTGTTTCAGTTAAAACCTTTTCTAGCGCGTCATTGAACATAAACGAAGTAATAAACCAAACCTTAAGGTAATAGTGAAATATTAGCGGAAATAATACAAATATTACCACCAGCATTTTGCTACCTACTTAATATGCAAATTAAATAATAAAATGGAAATTGAAATGGTAAATGGTAAATGGAATAGAAAATAGTCTAACGAATAGTTAAAAATGTGCTGAGTGCAGATAGCGAATAGTGTTTTCAAGTAGTTTCAAGGTCAGCAGATGACTGTATGAACGAAACAGAACACAACAAAATGAATACCGATTACATTTAACTTTGAAATAATTTTCTAAAACCCACCATAACACGAAGCGGAAAGAACAAACTAAATTTAAAGTGTAATTTAGAATGTTTTAGTTTGCTAGAACTTCTTCTTTTTTGTATCCTCTCCATTCCAATTGCAAATATAGAGAAAACCCAAGCAAATTAAGCATATAATAAACTAACATATGTATATATCTATCTATATTGCGTATACCTACATACGAGTATGCATATACGCAGACGCAGCAGACAGACGGACAGAGCTAAACCGCAAAGGAATCCAAAAAGAAAACAAAAAACCCATACCTAACCAATCTGTAATGATCGAGTGTTTCGGGACAACATCAGCGAGAATACGTTAGAACGGTACTCTGATAATACTCTACTTACCACTGCCACAGAGAAACAAGTAATTTGTAACGTTAATATAGACATAATACAGCCGGTAACATACACATAAAATATATACTTTGCCTATGTACATCGTAAACTATACGATATACGCGTATTGAGAGGTGACTATTTCGCATAGAAAAGTGCATTGCAATTAAACATAACATATGCGTCGTCGACATGACATGACATGACACGTGTGTCATGGCCTAACGAGCAAGAGTAAACTTAACTTATTATTTATTCCAAACAAAATAACAATAAAATTATCTCATAATTATGAAAAGCAAAAGCAAAAACAAATACAACCTAAAACCGAAATCGTTCTTTGCGTGGGAATAAAGCGATGTTAAATTATTTAATGAAAATATATATACATATAAATACAAATATTTATTCGCAATGCGTTTTATTTACTAGCTGTTAACACATTGTACACTTCATCACACAGAACAAGAGCCTTGATTTGGCTTCTTATTTTGCGAATGTCTACAATCATATTCAGTCGTTATCAGTCGAGGACCTGGGCCACTTTTTGTGAAAAAGCAACAGCCAGAAAGCAAAATTGGATCTGAAAACTGCAAAGTTTCTTTGGCGATAACTTTATCACCGATAACGATAGCCCAAATAAATTTAAACATGGCCAGATGTTGCTTTCCAACACTGACAGATAGAAAGTTCGGCAACATTTCCTTTTATGTGTCAGTGCGAGAAGGAAAAAATATTATTCATTAATTTTTCAACCAAACTAGTCAATTGTTCGTTTCCTGGAAAGTTTTAGAATGAGTGATAATATAAATAATAACGAGCAAAATCGGGACATGAACGATAGTCAAGACGTGCCAAATCAGGCAAACGATTTGGTCGCTGAGGAACCTATAAACGCTGAAGATCTGAATCCGAACGATGAAGGTATGTAATGTGAAGACTGAAGTGAGATGTTTTCGTGTCAAAATGTCTTTTATTGCCAGCTCCCAATGAAGCAGCAGGCAATCATAGTACTTTACAGCAACCAAACTATTCTGCAATCGTGGACTATTATTTACTCAACAAGAACATACCCCAACGACCGATTGGGATGGACATCAACATGACCCACAAAATTGAAACTGGAACACCCATAACAATTTCATTCATTAGTAAGTAAACATGTGTAAAGGTATTGTAAGACGTGCTGAGTTTTTCTGGTTTTCAGGTGGTGACGTTGTCTCGATTACTACAACAAGCAACCAAGCAAGCATAAGTCTCAGGCCGCCTCATGATCCAGGCAGGGTTCGTGTGCACATCAATTCGCTTGAACCAACTCCTCGATTTCCGGTTGATCCTTGGAGTTGTAAGCCTTCCGGTCAGTTCCGCTGCGGTATATGCCTTATTGAAATTAACCACTTGGAGAATACACGCTCCACCACTTGCGGCCATATTTACTGTGACAGTTGCCTGCAACAGGCTCTGCGCGAGAATGGCTACTGCCCCATTTGCGGAAAATCCCAGGAATATGAGAGTTCCATACGTTTGTTTTGGTGCGGGCATTCTCCCTGAGGTCCAGCATCGCTTTCCTTGCATAAGCAGAAAATAAAGGCCAGTTAGAGAAAACGGCACATAACAATTCTTAGCACTGCCTACTGCATTACCGTATGTACTGTTTACACAAAACTACAATATACAATATACATATATCAATACAATCATTTGTATGTACAATAAAATGCACTCTTCAGTGTTGGCTTAAGAGACCACCAGATCCGTGTTTTTTTAATGTTTTTGAACGTTGATAAAAATGATTGCACCTAATAAAAGAGACCAAAATAGGGAATCGTACGATAATTAGTTTAGTTTCTTTTCCACCTTGTTGCATTTTATGAAAGCTGTAGAAAATTCTCTATTAGTTGCGAGAGAGTATACAATGCGTATATTGTTCCTCCAATAATTAAATTTCCAACTCATTTCCACTGAGCCCCACTGTTTAAGGTGGAGATATGCGATCCAGTTATGAGACACTGCATCCCGAACTACCCGGGAGTTTATAGAACCCGATGGTTCTATAAAAATGTTTATATTTTTGTTTCAAATTTATTGTTTAGAGTAGGCTATGGAATTAAAATAAAATTACATTACGAATATGTAGGAAAAACCAAAACACAGTCATTTAAAAATGGGAAGTCAAATTAATGTTGAGTTATTAGAAGAACAAAGGCCAACTATCGTTTTGCCCGTGTACCCAAAGCCACTGCCGGAGCGGGATATCAGCTATAAGCTTGATGATAATGGCTTTAGTATTTTGGAGAAGGCTGCACTGCGCAATGCTTGGCGTTTTATTGAGCCCTTTCAACGTCGCTATGGGCAGAACACATTTTATGAGTAAGCTTCAATATGCTTTGACAATCTTGTCGCATTGTCTTAACAATTAACAATAACAATTACCCATCATTTATGAACCAGCTTTCTTACGGAACATGAACTGCTGATCAACACCTTTCGACAACAGGGAAAAATCAGCATGAGTAAGCTTCACGGTCATGCCACCGCGATGATGAGACTTGGATATAACCTTGGATATGAATCTGCAGTTTCGCTCGAGCCTGGATGAGAATCTGCCGTTTCATCTGAAAGCCGACATCGACCTCGATGACATGAAGGTAAGAACCGTATGGAAAGTGCACTAAGTACATTTTGATACATATTTATCGTTGCATAGATGTTGGCAAATGCTTTGAAGGATTACTTGCTGTCCTCTCCGGTCATAGAAAAACACAACTCCTGCACTCTGACGACTGCCCTTGAAAAACTGGTGACAATTGTCGGTGGATATGCTGAGGCCGAAGAAGCCCGGAAAAAAGCCATGTCTGGGTTCTACCGAAACACCAATACCAGTGGCGAACCTAAAAGCGAAAGGGCATCCAGTGTTAAGTCAGCTAAGAAGTCTCTAATAATGGATTAACTCAGAGATAAAACAAAACCAACCAAAAACGGAAAATATAGTTCTTTAATTTAGTAATAAATTTTTAGCAACTTTATGAATGAATATTTTCTGAGAATGTTCTAGCATGCTGTGGAAAATCCACATGGAATAAATCACAATGTAAATATATTTTTCTGAAGCTTTATTTTTTCCGTTCCTTACACTTTATTCCGAGTCCTGTTCTGGATTTAGTTTTTCTTATTTATGAGTATTGATCAAAATTAATCCATGGCCGATATCGACGAGATCCCCAGCAAAATACGTTCTTCATCTACATCTTCAATACGTTACAATATTGCCAAACAAATATATCCGAAGCAATTGTTAACAATAAAGGCGGGGCCTATTAAGGATGAGCTCGGATTTACCCTCTGCGAAAAGGTGGCTCTGAGGCAGGCGTGGAACTTAATCAGACCTCGAGAGCGACGATTTGGCCAGGATGTATTCTATACGTAAGAAATGAGATTTGGGATCCTCTCTGATGCATAAAAATGTAATATTATTGGAGTATTCTATAATCTGCAGCTTTCTGAACGAGTGGTATTGGTCCATCTCTAAATTCAAACAGGGTGAAGATATCAACATTGCCCTCTTGCACGGTCATGCTCTGACATTTATCCGCTTTGTGGGCGCTCTAATCAATGAGTCGGATCCGATCATGTTCCAGGTGATGTTAAATGACAATAACCAAACGCACAGCCGCTGCAGAGTGGGTGGGGATTACATTGCGGTGGGTGTCAGGTTCAGTTTGATCTCTCAAATCTGTCTGACCTCTGTATCTGCCTCTGTCCCACCAGATGCTGGGCCAAGCCCTAACGGACTACATTCTCAAGGTACTCGACAAGGTCAGATCACCATCGTTGGAGCAAGGGTTGCAGCGAATAGTTGAGAAATTCAAGTCCTATCAGGATATCCAAACGGACAGATCCAGAACGAGCTACAGACGTGGTTTAAGCAAGAGTAATTTTAGCTTGCACCAGATCACAACCAAAAAATGAGCAGTCTGACCCTTATTGATTTCCATTTGGCACCATTCCCTCATCCAAAATTGAATGCGAGTGGTTCTCCAATCAGCAGGGACGTCATAGATTCGCCCGCTCGAATCCATTCCAACACCAACAAGGCAAATTCGAAATTATATCGTATACCGTATACGGCTGCGCTGCTGCCACTGTCACTGCTGCCGTCACAGTCGCCGTTGCTGCTGGCGTCGCTGTGGCCATCGATTTCGTTTCGATGTTAAGCGCGTTTCCTTTGAGAAATTCAGTTTTGCTCGGACGCTCAACGCGCATTCGCACGTTCCAGTAGTAAAAGCGCTTCTACAGAACTGGAGCCGATCACAATAGTTGTAAGAGCACTACCGAGTTATATACAAATCCCGAAATAATATAGCCGTAAATACGGCCTAAGAATTTGATTTTGTTGTTGTTTTTTATTCAAACTGGAACATGGTTGCCAGCGAAGACATTAAAAAGGTAAGAGCAGGTGGAATATGTATTGTAATATACGAATTTTACGTACACCAAATTATAAGAAAAATCACGATGATTTTTAAACGGAATTTTAAATCAACACTTAAAACCGGTAAGGCGTGTGAAAAATAAGAGCTGTTTTCTAGAAAAATACATTTTGTGTTCAACTAATGCAGACAAGATTGGGGAGCACCATTGATTATAAGTCAAGCCAATACAAGTCAAGAAAACTATTTCCCGAAGCAATCATTTCAGCATTTTTGGTTCTATATTAGAATTTCTAATGCTTCCATTTGGACAATCCACATCACGTGATACGTAATTATGTGTATAAAATAAATTATAAAATGCGATCCCCATTGGCGCTTGAGTACATTAGAACTCATATGTTCCATACTTTTTCGGACTAGATTAGTTAAAACAAATAATTATGGCTTGCTTAGACCTATCTTTCAATATGCGAACTATGTAATTTATTAGCCCCTAATTGCAAAATACCTAATCAGTATTTTGGGCTGCGTAGAAATGTACACAAAACATAAGGATTTATACAAGCTACTTCTACACATGAACAGCTCTCTTAATGATTTAAACCGTTTTCAATAGGCTGAGAAGGTTGCCAGGCCGAGTGTTTGTGCTATCAGAGGCCATAAACCAACGATTAGGTCTAGCAGAGGGTATCACAGCATCAAGAGTTATGTACTTAGGAAGTGTAGCAATTCGGGGGGTAGATTACTTCCCACTCAAAACTCGGCCAGGACTACCAAATAACTTGATTGGGAATTAGGCATCTATAGAGTCGATTGAGCACGGGGCCAAAAGATTCTTATCAAAATGGGGCGCTATCAAGGCTAACAGCAGACTGGCAGGTGATCGCCGTGCGGGTCACGCAGTCACTAACTGTTTTCGATAATGGCCAATTAAGTGTTTAACTTTGAGCGTGACACTGGACTCTTCAATTTGAGATTTTAGGCAAACGATTGCCAATTGCTTAGCCCACACTCGAATCGACTAAATGATTCACATGCACTCCAGCCCCCCAGATAATGGTCCGAAAAATGGCCTTATTTCGGCTAGTGTCCCCTATCGCATATATCACGTTATCACGTCGGGACAGTAAAACAATAAATATAACCAGAGCAGCAATATAATATTACGATAATGTACATACAGTAGTTTTTAGTCGCGTGCCCATCAGCCTCTGTATATTTACACGAGCTTATCTTTTGCTTGTTTCCAACTGTCGGGCAATCTGCAGTGCACAAATAATAATATTTACATATCAATATTTTCTGGCATTCAATGACCACTGCATCCGCCATAAATGATAAATACAAAACTATGAAACTGCCAAAGAATTTTTAAAATATTGCCGAAACTCTTTGAAGTGATTTTATGAATCATTTCATCCAAACCTCTTGTGATTCAGTTTAGTAAATGTGTTTCTTGTATTTCAAGGAAACTTGAGCAATGTTTTCCAGATATTTCATTAAGTACAAAAGACTTTCTTAAGAGAGAAAATGCATCACTCCTTTTGATTACGAGCGTAGAGAAAGACTTTGCACTGTACATATGGCTGTATGCAGATTAACCAGTACTCTTGTTTTTGTGAATAATAAAATTAATAAATAATATGATGAATAATGGAAAGCATGACTGAAACTATGTAAGTTGCTCACCTCGAAGAATCAGTAAAACCTGTTGAAAATTTTGTTTCAATTCCAAATATTTTGTATCCATTTAGATTATAATTTGGTATCGGAAGGGCAAATTCAAAGTATACATTTAGGCTCCTCAGAAAACCCCACCCTCCACACATACATAGATACTGCATTCATACATACATACATACATATATACATGCGAATGAATGCAAAACACACCTTGATGTATCCGCTGGTATCCCCACAACAATATCATTTTAATTACCGAATGGGCAATGGACTTGAGCGAATTAAGGGCATGCCGTCAATAAAAGAAATTGTCTATCGCCGACTGCGCTGCAATATGGAAAACAATAGAGACAAGAAAAATGTGGGCGTGTAAGAGGAAACATTGAATATTAAACGAACGGCCCCACGGGGCACCTGCTCAAATTTATGGGAACAATCCTCTCGAAGCCGAGCACAAGGCACAAGGCGATAGCTGAACTTGACATCGGGAAAACGACAAATGGCACTAAGCAATACGAAGAGAAAAATGATAACACCGGCAACCGAAGCATTGCATACTCTGTAGTCTGATAATTATAGCGATGTTATGTGTGAATAAGTCGCAAGCTGATCAGTTCTGTCTATTCGTAAGGTATAGCTTATCGCAGAAACAAGAAAACATATGAACCCACTTCTTCGACTGTGTGGCAAATGTATTATCATAATCATCATACCCCTTGTGGTATGGTATTAGAGAGCAATGCGAACAGAGCAAAACAAATGACGCCGACTAATTAGCATGTGATGGGGATAAGATGAGCCGAGCCGAGCGCGCCTCTATCAGTACGGTGGGTGTGTCTGTTTTCTTGCTGACTCTTTCTGGCGATCTCTCTCGTGCTCGCTCACTCGCTCTCTCTTTCTCTCACTTCCTCCAACCAGATGTGTATGCCTGTGTGACTTGTTTGGGTGTGAATCTGGCGACAGGTTTCTTTTGGCATGCACTTGACGCCATTAAGATTTACGTGTTTTATTTTCCAATTAAACATTCCGTTTAAATTACATTCTAAACGCTCGCTTGCACTCCCCCAAGGATTCATCATTTTCATAAGGAATGCATTTCCAAACATCGTAGTCGTCGTCTAATCGGAAACAAAAACAAGTTTCTATTTATAGCCGGGGCACAGCTGATAGATGCGGGTCGGTATCTTTCCTGGCATTTGGCAAGCGAGTGCAACGCATCGAAATGCATTTAGCAATTTAATTTTAACTGGCAAAAACATTGTCGGAAGTATTGCTGGCTTGTACTTTGTTCGGTTCAGGCGCGGGGCGTATGCTTAATATGTGCGCAGAATGATCTGTGGCATAGCTTTAAACTTCTTTATATTGGCTGACTATTGACCCGACTACTATGATATGCTAATAGATAAAGGTTCAATAGATTTATGTGACCCCAGTAAGACCTCTTAGCAGCATTACGATTAAAGATCCGATAGTTTCATGCGTCTTCTCCAACAGGTTGCCATAGTATTCTGGTGGCCTTCTTGACAAGCCCACCTTTACCCAATTCCTAAAGATATTTCATCTGTTTCTGACGTAAAACGTAAGATTCGTGTGCATCTAATGCGCGTAATCCGTTGGCAATACAATGAAATGCCAACAAAGCGCCAGGCCAAATAAAATAAAAGTTCTATGCAAACTAAAAGAATGTTCGCAAAGAATTGAGATCAAAATACGTTTTTTCGAAGAGTCCAACGATTCAGTCGTCTCGAGGTGGCCGCACGAGACAAACCGCTGCCCATGAGGCTCAAAAACTAAAATTAGTGGACGAAAACAACAAACAGCGAAATATTCAAATACAAATATATACATCTTTCTTAGATAATTAATGACAAGAGATAAAAATAAGCTCAATATAAACCAAAATATACAAACCATAAAGTAGTGTTTTTTAAGAAGAACAAAATTGTCATTAAATTGGGCAAAGTGCGTTTTGTGTGTGTGTTTGACTTACATAAGACGTTGGGAAAGAACAACCCGGAAATCGAGACAGTTTAAAATGGATTCGGAAAAAGTAGTACGCGCCATGGCGCGCTGGTGGCAGGTAAAGGAAAGCACTTGTATTCTCACCATCCGAAAAGAATTGTTTTTCATCTTGCTCACAGCATTTTTTATTGAAAAAATGTCAAATGATTAATTAGTCTTCAGATCATTTGGTTTATACAATGGATACTTTTTTAATGTTTTCCAAATTTCAAAAGTTGCGTGTAATGATTTAAGCCCAGTCCAACAAATTAATTGGACTTTATACACAATGGCACCTGTGGGCAACAGAAATTAAAATAACATTTAAATGCCAATTCAAATCCGAGATGAGCTTAAAATCATGTCGTATATTTTTAGTATTTTCCAGATAATAATTAAATGATTTCCTGTTACAGACTGTCAGTCAAGAGGATGCGGACCCTTCGGCTCGCAACCCAATGCTCTATGACCCACTGCAGGATGGTGTGGTTAAAACTTCGAAGACCCGTCAATATGTGGCTGCCCTGATAAGTGAGTGGAAGACATCATAGTGGTTTTCTTGTGAATCGATCGCTAATGAACAACTTACAGTGTGCTTGGGAGCCGTTGCCGCTGGCACAGCTTTGGCGTGGACCAGCCCTGTGCTAGATCAGATCAGTGTGCACCCGCCAGCTAACACCACAGCAGGGAACTCAACAATGGGGAACGCTACAATTGCCAATGGAACCAGCCCAATACCGTTGCCTCTGCCAAGCGAAGACCGTCTGCAACTGACAGCGGGCCAACGTAAGTAGCTCGAAGTATATTACAATTGATTCCTATCCACACTTTAAGCGAGATAAAAAAGTTGTCTGTCTTATATGATAGTAATTCCACCTGGTACTTATAGATCACAGACAGAGGGGTGTATTCAGTTCGTGTGGTTTCACCATATATTCTTGATCAGCATGAATAGAAAAGTCTGTTTTGATGATCTCAAAAACTATTATAGCTAGAGTAACATGATTTTGTATCCCGATTCATGCAATTTCACACTGAATTACGTTTATTCAGTCAAGTGTTTACTTTGTTTCCAACCTTCCAGTAATTCCTCCTAGAATCAAACTGTTTTCACTTTTGCTTATAGAGTAACAAATAAACAGATATAGTCACTGAGTAACATCTATCTTAATGTGGAAAAGTGTCGCTTTCTATGACTTAAATGGTCTTACTAATCTCTTGAAAAATTGGATGCTATAAACGGGTTTGATAATAAATTATAAGAGCTCGCTTGTTCAGTTCGATTACCGATAAGAGTTGTAGATATTGTTATATTTTCTTTGATTTTGTATTCTTTACATTTTCAGAGACCTGGGTCAGTTCCCTGCTGGCTATTGGCGCCTTTCTGGGAGCCATGCCCACGGGATACATTGCTGATGCCATAGGCCGACGCTACACAGCAATGGTCATGAATGTTCCCTTTATTTTGGCCTGGCTCTCGATTATCTTCGCCAATTCTGCTGGCTGGCTTTATTTTGGGCGTTTTCTGATCGGTAAGTTACTATCTTTTGAAAATAATTTACTGATTGTTAATCTGTGCTTTATCTAGGCATCTCCACGGGCAGCTTTTGCGTGGTCGCACCCATGTACATATCCGAGATTGCCGAGACGAGCATTCGTGGCACCCTGGGCACTCTATTCCAACTGCTGCTCACTGTTGGCATACTGTTCGTGTATCTAGTGGGATCTATGGTGTCCTGGACCACTTTGAGTACGCTCTGCTTGTTTGTGCCAATCTTTCTGTTTTTGGGCCTGCTCATATTGCCCGAGACGCCAGTCTATCTGCTCAAGAAGGTGAGGGAGTGCCCATCCATCCATGCCACACATCTTCAAGCCCCATATATCTCCTTTATCTTACCTTGTAGGGTCAACGGGCCGAGGCCGCCCTCTCGTTGAAGTGGCTCTGGGGTCGCTACTGCGACTCGCGCAGTGCCATCCAAGTCATCCAAAATGATCTGGACCAGGCCGCAGCCGATGCCGGTATCCTGGATCTTTTCAGTAATCGTGGAGCCCGCAACGGTCTGGTCATCTCCATACTGCTGATGTTCTTTCAGCAGTTCTCTGGCATCAATGCGGTCATCTTCTACACGGTTCCGATCTTCCAGTCCGCAGGCAGCACTCTCGATGCCTCCGTCTGCTCCATCATCGTGGGCGTTGTGCAGGTGATCATGACCCTAACCGCTTCGCTGCTGATCGATCGTGCTGGGCGAAAGATCCTGCTGCTCTTCAGCAGCACAGTAATGTCCATCTGCCTGGCCATACTGGGTGCCTACTTCGACATGAAGGATAGCGGCAAGGATGTCTCCTCCATTGGCTGGCTGCCGCTGCTCTGCGTGGTGCTCTTCATGATCACCTTTTCGGTGGGCTATGGCCCCATTCCCTGGCTGATGATGGGCGAGCTCTTCCTGCCCGACGTCAAGGCCACTGCCGTCGCAATCACTGTGATGGCCAACTGGCTGTGTGTGTTTATCGTCACCAAAAGCTTTGGCACAATGATCGAGTCTCTCGGATCGGACGTCACATTCTGGTTCTTCGCCACGTGCATGGCCGCTGCCACCATCTATGTGGCCACAATGCTGCAAGAGACGAAGGGCAAGAGTGCCAGCCAAATACAGTCCTGGCTAAATGGACGCTAATGGACTTTCCTAGTTCTTGTAGATTAGTTTAGCCAGGTGCTATTGTACTCGTAGGTAGATATGAAGTCAAGACCAACCAATGTTGAAAGAAAATTCTCGTCGGTTAGCCGATAGATAAGTTCTGAATGATCTTGCAAACACAAATGTCAAATCTTTTTTTGCAAGGGTATAAACACTTAAATAGATAGATAATATTGAGCAAACTGTACAATTATTCTTATCAATATTGCACAATGTTAATATTAAGTATACACAGTTCAATTAGTTCCTAAGTACCTATCTAGAATGTCTATGTAACGCCTTCCCTTCATTAGATAAGTTGATGGGGGACTTGGGAAAAGACCCTTCCTCGTCCTCTTCAGTATATGTGTAAGTATGGACAGAAGGATGGATGGAATGGATGGCAAAGACATATACTCTTATGTATATAGTTGATAATAAAACTAAACTGTACAGCAATCCCAATCCCAAGTGTATGCATGTTTGAGCCCATTTAGTGATAACGATAACCTCTGGACCCTGGGTACGCCCCTTCAAATGAGAAATTAGAAAATTATCAGGCACTGTCTGTCGCACCAAGCCCCGATTGCAGTCGTACGACTTCGCATTGGAGACAGGCCACGCCTACCTTTGGCGCCAGGGTTTGTCGCTACTCTCTTCGTTTTGTTTCCCTTGAGGCATGGTCAATGTGAAGGTCACCGTCGATTGATTGATTGATCGACATCGAAAGCGACGCACAAAATGTAAATTGAAATCGTGCCAGCAGCAGCTCGCCTGAGTCGAGAGCTGTCGCATTTCCACATTCTACTTCGATCATCGCCTGCCGCATTTCTATGCAAATATTTAATGCCAATTACAGGAAGCCTCCCACAAAGTCCGTATTTGCTTGGATATTTGCTCAGATGCTCGACAGGTTGTTGACAAATATCTATCCATATTTGTGAAAGCAATACTGACTGGTATATGGGAAATATGTTGTGGGAAAATGGATGTATCAATGGGATCGGTATAAAAACTGCCACTGGAGATTATTAGATAGGGGAAACATGTCGCGATAAACGCAATTACCGTTTAATTGCATGTTAAATAAATCGTCTAATACGGATGGATTACGGATAATCCCCTGCGAAAATAAAGTGCACATAAATAAAATAGTAAGAACACTTCTCTATACACGAGACCCAAATTAGATTGTATGCCTGTATGAGTAGATCGCATTCTCAATCTTAAAACATGCAACACTTCCAAATTCTGTTTGACATATTTAAAAACCGCGTTTTGGTGACACACGCTTTCATAATTTTGACTCAGCATTTTGAGCGCCGAAGTTAATATATAAATATTGGATTAAAAAGAAAATTGCCTGACCTTTCATAGGATTTTTTTATTTGTGTCGATTCAAAGGCTATTCCTGAAGACATATAGAGCCAAGATTGAAGTTTTCCACCATTTTTAATGTTTCTCAAACGTTGACCTTTATTTAAAGTTAACAAAAAAAGTTCTTGCAAAATTGAAATTCGAGGACAAAGTATAAATGGAATGCAAGACTCTTCTATACTCTTCTTCGAGTCATAGTTGTATAGCATTAAGATTTAAAAGGATAGAAAGTAGGTGTCAGTAACTATATATTTGTATCAATTGATTTAAACACTATTTGCGACTGTTGTAATACGTTTTATATAAAACAATACACTAAAAATTACCCCTGAAGCACCGTAAAAGCCGGATATTTATGGATCTATAGCAAAACATCAAAAGTGTACGAGTATTCAGCTTTTTAAAATACTCCTAATTAGTATTTGTGTCAGGTTATCTTTAAACGACTTGTTTCGGATGGGGGGAAACACCAACAAGACGCAGTCTCAAAAGACTTAATGTGCCTACCGCAGACACATTTCAATTAGCACGCACGTTAGCCGACTGGCCTAGCGACTTTATTATGTACTTATGTATGTCTTAACTGTATCGATAAGACATCGAAATAAGTCAATCCCCCGGGGAGTGTCCGGTGCATGCTAATGAATTTCCTTGAAGCTGAGTCCGATCAAAGTGAGGCAAAGTTTTCCACAGAATATCCGGAACTAGGGGGTCTTACGTTGCTGCGACATTTTAAGTCAAATACGGCTGCTTTGGAGAGAGCCAGACAATTGTCAGAAAGGCAGACAAAGTGCTGATAAAAATCCCACAAATTCCGAGCTCAGTTCTCTCGGCTCTGCTTTGTTCAATGGTCGCGTCTGAGTGGCTATTCAATGCGATATAATAGCCACGGATATCTGTACTACTAATATGTATGTATTTTCGTATGTGTCTCTCTCTGCTTATTAGTGCTTCGAGCTTGCGAGTATATATATTATATGCTCGGTCTGGCGACTAAGCAGAGAATTTAAATGCGTCTGTCATAATTTCCCGGCTTAATTTTGCATGCCCAATCGACAAAAGCGTCAAAACATTCTCCAATCGACATCATTTCAGTTCCGGCAGCCAAACAAAACTGTTAGCTTTGATCTGTCCATAGCCAGACACCGAGTTATTTTCCACAATACGTATACGCCGGGTATTACTACGAGCTCTAATTTGACAGTGCTTCATTAATTGTGTTCTAATTGAAAATTTCGGCTACCATAATGGGTGAGTGGACCTACTAAATGTGCTTTATCTGTATAGTGTTTTATGTTGTTGCTGTCTGTGATGCATTGCCTCGCTTCCCTGCGCCTAAAAATTGGTCAGAATGTTTACCCTTGAATACCAAATATAATCAAATATTGTTGTGCGTAGATTGGGGAAAAAACTGAACGTATTATCGCAACCACTGATTTCTTAAATCAAAATGGTAGCTTTTCTGTTAGTTTCGATTTGTTGCCGTTGAGTTCGGACCACAAGTTTTACCATTTTGGGCTAAGATCCCTGGCAAGCGAATTGATTTGCTTTATTTTTATTTCTTTGTGAGTAAAACAAGCCGAAATTCATAACCTTTTATTTTAAAGACGTTGTAATGTGCTGAACGAGTGGTTTAAATATGTTTCAAAAATATGGGTTTATATGTTTAACATTAGTCCCTTTTTTTAATTTTGCATTTATTTTCATATCAGATATTATATTAGAGTCATGTGAGAACCTTCAAGGACTTTATGTCCCGTCAACCCACTATTTTTCAGTGAACACCTATCACTCAGTTTGTCAAACCTCTGAATAGTCAAGGTTTGGAATCATATCTGTATTTACTCGATTGCCAAATAATATATAAGTATCTTTTCGTGGCGCCTAAGTACTTCTGACTTATCAAAATTACTTCTATTAAACGTTTGTCGTCTGTGTCAGCGCTTAATTGGAGACCGAAATCAAAAAAATGTTTGATCAGTTGGTGGTAACTAGTAAATAAGGAAAAACCCATGAAGTTCAAATGGAAAGTAAAAAAATAAGGTTGATGGAACGTGTTCAACGGTCTTTTGCGAAGGTGGCAACAATTGTGAATCGGTGATAATCTTTACAGGAAGAAGTTCATAAACTATGTTTTTTAATTATAATAAAAGCTTATCGAATACAAGAACAAGAAGTTTCATAAAAACGTGTTAATTTATGGAAAGGAAATACAAAGTAAAGCCAATACGTATGTATGCGTTTTTAGGGCTGAACTGAAAAAGCGACTTTTCATTTTTGAGCTTCAATCTTTCATTTCGATATGAAGGAGTAAACTTGAGTACCAACTTTTTCATAGTCATATGCGAGAGATACTCTTCCAAGGCAGATAGGGCTCTCCCTGCGATGGTGTCACACTCTATTCACGTGCTGTGCTCCATCTGAGTCAATATTTTCGACTTGTTGAGGCGTAACGCTGCAGAACTGTAATTAGCGGAAATAACTTAAGAACTACTAATCAAAGCAGCTATTTACGCCGTCACTCGGTGGCATTTGATTTGTTTGTCCATGTAATGTGGATATGGTTGGGCTGGTTATGATTAGAAGTGCCAGAGGCTAGTTGATGATTAGAGGTAAGTTCTTGGTATCCCACTCACATCCCCAATCAGCCGCTGGACGCCAATCCATTGAAGTGGGAGGCGGGCGCCCTTTGCCGTCGGGTCGTGTAAGCAAACAAATTGAGATTGGGGCGCCTTCTTTTTGTCAGTTTTTTCGCAGTCTTATCACACAGATGTACATACATACAATATGGGTAAATAGGCCAGTTCAAGTGCAAAATGCACACAAATGGCGCAATTTCAACCAAAACAACCAACGCAACAACAATAATAAGGTTTTGAAGAGAGATTTCGATTCGATTCCGATGCACGGGGGTTCGATGGGAGAGCTAACGCTGATGAATACTAGATGAGTTTGCCATCGAACGAGAGGCGCTGCCCCTGATAAGATAATACACGTGTAAGAGCACTTGTCGATGAGCATTATTGACTGAGTATTGATTTCGAATGCCTGTCATATAAGGCTAAAAATCTTTAAATTCGCGCGATTCGCCGATCCAATCACCATTTCAGTTCTGAGCTGAGAGGCTGACAGTTTTCAAAATCATTTTCCTAGTGCGGATCCTTTTTGCTTGACTAAGAAGGATATGTAAGTAGGGATGTGTAAAAGTCAAAAATATCATCTGACAAATTCCGTATCTGGCTACAACGTGAAATTAATGATAGCCAACAGAAAGTGTCAACAGTGATTGTTAAAATAATTACACAAATATATTCTCTAATGATAATTGCAGAAGAAAACATTTTCAAATTCGACAGACATTAATTTGATGTAGCTTTTTTCGCTGTGCAATAAAATTAATTTTGAATAATGATTACATAGAACGCGACTACTCTTCCGCATGCTATTTTTTTATTTTTTAGTAACTTTACTATTAGCTAATGTGTGAAGATGCTTTGATAATGTGATGAATGAAAAACGACACAGTTAATGTTGAGAAATGTGTAAGAACAACGTGAATGTGAATGGGTGGAACTCTCATATCTGGTTACATGAGTCATGCGCTTTTACAGAATGGACCGTCAACGAAACCATTCAAAACCAAGGGTCAAGTATAAGCCATTTGGACTTACAGGCGATTGAATTACTAATGGGGACAGCATCATTAATCCACGTCCACTGATTTTCTAATGAGATGCTTTCGCTTTTTTTATGGTTGTGCTTTTGCAGCTACTGCTCCACTCGCGAAACAAGCCAGATGCCGTCAGTAGCCCGCGAAGAAGAGACAGGAGTTAAATATTCCTATACGGAAGTCAGTTCTTTTCAGATTAGCGAAGTAAACACGCGAAATATGTCGCCAGAACCAGTCAAGACTGGACGCATTTTTATGGCCGCTGTGGCAGGTGAGTCAAGTTGCGATACATTTGTCTTAAAACATGTGCATAATCTGCATTCTTCGACTGTCCTCCTCTTAGCTAACTTGTCCGCCTTTGTGGTGGGCACCTGCCTGGGCTGGACCTCTCCAATTGGACCCAAACTCAAGACCGAAGATACCTCCGACTCGCCTCTGGACAGACCCATAACATCCGATGAAGATGCCTGGATCTCCTCGCTGATTGCCATTGGAGCGCTCATTGCTCCCTTTGTGGCTGGACCCCTGGCGGATCGCATTGGCCGAAAGTGGGTACTGCTCTCCAGCAGTCTCTTCTTCGTGCTTGCCTTCGGAATTAATATGGGAGCCTCAGAGGTGTGGATCCTATACCTGTCCCGACTGATTCAGGGCTTCGGCGTGGGGTTCGTGATGACTGTGCAGCCCATGTATGTGGGTGAGATTTCCACGGATAATGTTCGTGGAGCTACGGGCTCTCTAATGCAGTTGTTTATTGTGGGTAAGTGTGGATAGCAAGATCTTTGAGCTCGTTTGACACTAATTTATTCCCGCTTTTAGCTGGTATTCTATATGTCTATGCAATTGGTCCCTTTGTCTCGTACATGGCTCTTCAGTGGTGCTGTATTGTTGTGCCGGTGATCTTCGATGCGATCTTCTATTTTATGCCCGAGAGTCCCCACTATTTTGCCGGAAAGGGGCGCAAGACAGACGCACTGCGTTCGCTACAGTTTCTGCGTGGCCAAAGCGCCGAGGGAGTGCACAACGAGATGGCCGAAATACAATCCAGTGTGGAGGAGGCCATGGCCAACAAAGGCACCATTATGGATCTGTTTAAGAACCCCGGCAACCGCAAGGCGCTGTTCATCTGTGCCGGCCTAATCTCCTTCCAGCAGCTTTCGGGAATCAACGTCGTCCTTTTCAATAGCCAGTCGATCTTTGCCAGCGCCAACACGGGACTGGATCCCGCCATTGCCACCATTATTATTGGCTGCGTCCAGGTGGCATCCTCGGGCCTGACGCCCATCGTGGCGGATCGCCTTGGCAGGAAGGTGATGCTGCTGACCTCCGCCAGTGTGATGACAGTGGGTCTGACGGCACTCGGCGCCTTCTTCTACATGCAGCTGGTGGTGGGTGACATCTCCAATGTGGTGTGGATGCCAGTGCCAGCGCTAGTTATCTACAACATAGTCTACTGCACGGGCTTCGGGCCACTGCCTTGGGCTGTGCTCGGCGAGATGTTCCCGGCGAACATCAAGTCGTCTGCCTCGTCCATTGTGGCCAGCACCTGCTGGACTCTTGGCTTTCTGGTTACCTATTTCTATCCTGCTCTGGATGCCCTTGGTTCCTACTACGCCTTCTGGCTGTTTGCCGGATTCATGGTGGTGGCCTTCTTCTTTGTCCTTTTCGTGGTCATGGAGACAAAGGGCCTCAGCCTGCAGGAGATCCAGGATCGACTAAACAGCAAGCGCAACTAAGAGAGGGCCTATTTGTTAATATATGTATATGTGTCGTTTAAGTCCTTAAAGATCTTATATGTATATCTTAGGTCTAAAAGCAAAGTATTTTATTGCATAGTCTTTTAAGCTTAAACTCAATTCTGTTAAACATTTTGCCAAAATACACTTTAGTAATATGAAGAGCAGTGCTGTCTTTTTTATGAGCTTTATGAGCTAAAAGTCCGCAAAGCCACCAAAAACGTTTCGCAGAATATTCAACGAAATAAAAGCTATCTCTTTAAACCACAGAAAAACAAAAATTCTGGTTACAAAATTACGCTTCCATATACATATATGTACATATCTTATGCCGTGCGAGAATGAGGAAATCGAAAATATCAAAATGTTCTTACCCGATACTCAAAGAGTATAGGGGTACAATATATTCGATTTTTGGTGAAAGTGGATGGTTTTAACAGCCAGAAGGAAGCGTTTCCGACCAAATAAAATACATAATAAAATAATATACAAATGTTGTATGCAGACTACTGTGATATCACACTGCATTTTAAAATTTCGCTTCGCCCCGCATTACGTCCAATCGCTTGCTCATTTCCTCTCTCTCAGACACTCGTGCAGTGTGCTCCCTCGGGCGAATGGGGGCGAAATAAAAACTGGCTGAGTATAGAGTATAAAGGTAGAGTCGCGGCTCTAGCTGTGACTCAAAACGTTCCCGTTCGTTAGTTCAGAAGATACATATGAGCCTTTAAGAAACATATACTATATCTTTAAGGTTGAATAATAAGTGAAAAATGTATATTATGATTATCTTTTTGCTTTTTTATTTTCTTTTTTTAAGTATATTCGTTGTTATCAATATTCAATAAAAACCTGTTCTGTTGCATCGACCGTTCTAAAGGAAAATACATCTAATCTAATTTTTTTGATATATTTCAACTTGACTTACCTTTCAAAAAACCACCCCAAAGACCCCCGGAAGTTATTTTTTTTAACAAAAGCCCAACCAGCGATATAACTTATGCCATATCTCTCTTCTGGAGAGATTTACGTGTCGACACCTCGCACACAAAAAAGACGAAAGAAGCTTTACCACGAAGTCCCAACTGTGTGACATACAAGGCTCCGACAGTTGTGCCATTAAATATCCTCCTTGAAACAAAAACGACGTGTAAATATGAAATACATGTATTGTTCCATCATGACACAAATTGACGTATGTATGTTGACTAATACATCATGTATAAAAGCTTCGGCCGAATTTTTTATAAATCATCTGAAAAGTGTGCTCCACTTTGGTGAACTGCTAGTGTAGAACTCATGTACTATGGTGTGCCTGCCCCCCATGTAACTAAAGATGGTATATTGCGGACCGCTTATACAATTTCGGGCAACTTCAAGGACAAAGAAAACAAAGTGTGGAGACTGACGACTAATTATTTCGATTAAATAAAACCCGACGCAAATATAAAATAGCGATTTATAGTTTATTACGCGACATCCAAATTGCAAGTGTAGCTTGCTTGCCCTTTACGTTGCCGCACTGATCGCTGAGCGCAGCTTCGCTCGGCATACATAGATAAGCCAGACACAAAGCGTAGATAACACAGGTAAAGACCGAGCTTCGAGAGAACGCTTAGCAGGGCAAGCAAGCGCGAAGCTTTAACAAACATACTAGTAACAAATAAATTAAATTAGTAGCAAACAAAACAAGCGGCTGAAGGCCAATTCTCTACTATTGGCAAGCAGCTAATCGGCGGGGTTTTGCTCCGAACACAAAGAATAACTTACTTCAAAATATTATAAGCTTTTTAAAAATTGTATTGTATTGGCCAAATCTCTCCAAATATTCACTAGAAAACCCGAACACCAGCACGAAAAACTTACATATACTAATGCTGCAAGTACAAACAAGAGACATTTCTTCGTCAATGTTATTCGCATATGGGATCAGCTTCTGTATCACAAGAAAAAGATAATGAACCTGTCAGGAGCCCACCTAATGGATTAAAAGCAAATTTCTTATGTAACCATAAATCAGAAAGAAAAATTAATTAAATATATTTTTTATAGTTTGACAAAAACCAAATCAATGTTACATCTAGTGACTGGCACTCTAAGGATAAGCCCCTTGCGTGTAGCGCAGAGAATTAAAATTAAGAAAAAAAATGAAGGTAAAAGAAACTCAACAACGGCTGAACCGAATTGGCTGAAAATTGGTGGAGAGGTAGCTTAGATTCAGGAGACTGCTCTAGGATACTTTTTATCCCGTTCCCGTGTGACATGACAAAAACGTCAGCACAGAAGCTGTGTGTCACAGGCACCGACTTGGCTGTGTTTAAGTCCGCAATGGCCAAAGTTATGTCAGCATCGAAAATCATCTGGGACGAATGCATTAGAAGCACTTAACCGAACATTGAAAGATCTACGCAATGCCTCGAGATATTTTGAAGGCACTATGATTCTACTGAGCGGCGATTTCCGCCAAAAACTGCAAGTAATTCAAAGATCAACGCCTCAACGACTATGGCGCTTTGTGAAGAAACTTCAGCTGACAACAAACATGAGAGTTTCAGTGCAAAATGACACATCTGCTGACGATTTCTCAGGGCAATTGCTACCTATCGGTAATGGTCGAGTACCTGCCGACGAATAGAGCGGATTAATTTCATTTCCTCAGAATTTCTGTAACTTTGTCACAAAAAGGAAAAAGCAAAGCTCATCAACAAAGTGTTCCCAAACATCATTTCCAACTACAAAAATAATGAATAGTTGAGTGATCGAGCAATTTTAGCGGCTGAAAATAAAGATGTAAATGACCTTAACTACTTAATTCTGAGCGAGATCATTGGAACAATGCATTTATTCAAATCTAATGGCTGTGTTACAAATGAAGATGAAGCAACCAACTATCCAACTGAATTCTTAAACTCCTTTTTAAACTCACCTCACAATTTGCGCCTAAGGGTTGGCTCCGTAGTGATCATTCTTCGAAACATGAACCAACCAAAACTGTGCAACGGTACCCGTTTGGTGATAAGAAAATTTATCAAAAATTTGATTTGATCGGCGATACTCAAAGGAAAATTCGAGGGTGGAGAAATTCTCAATCCCAGGATTTCGATGATCCCAACAGATATGCCATTTAAGTTTAAAAGACTTCGATTTCCGATATGTCTTGCATTCGCCATGACTATTAACAAATTACAAGGCCAATCCTTGAAAGTATATAGTCTGAATCTGGAAAATTAATGTTTTTCACATGTCCAATTACATGTGACAGGTTCACGGGTCGGAAGACCATCTGCGTTGCTTGTTTTTGCTCCTGAAAATAAAACAAAATATGTTCTGTATCACAAGGTGCTTAACTGAAGAAAAAAAACCTATATAAGTAAAAAAAACCAATTAAAGAATCGTTAAAATAAAAAGAAAAACAGATTAAATCAAAAATCTACTTAATTATTGCCTCTAAGGCGGAAAAAAGTTTACCGGGTCATCTAAAAATTGTTCGCTGTAAATTAGCGACATTTAATTTAGAACATTTTTTTTTTTGCGTGCCAGAATAACGTCTGCTGGCTTAGTTAAAAACAAAATAAAACAATAATCGCCTTTTTTTGCAATTAATTAAAGTAATTTTCTCATGTACAGTATTACATTTAATAGTTTTAATTTTGTAGCCTGGCTAAGAGTGCGATTATGAGTTCTGAAGACTATTTCGATTGTATGAATAAGCATTTTTATTGAGATTACACGGTATACTATGTATAATTATGTACATATTATCTGATATTCTTAATTGACTCTTTTCCTTAATTGGGTGATGGTGTATTAATACCAGCGCGCTTATTGCCGAGAGCTCAGCAACATCGGTAGTCCTCTGATAAACCTACCGTCGAAGCGACAATTACAAAAAAAAACTATTGCCACAATGGATCGTTGGTTGAATCGTGTTGCCGTCGTCACTGAAGCCAGTTCTGGTATTGGATCTGCCTGCTGCAAGGATTTGGTTGCCAAGGGCATGGTCGTTGTTGGACTGGCCCGCCGCGAGGAACGACTTCAGGAGCTTAAGACATCGCTGCCAAAAGACCAGCAGTCCCGTTTTCATGGTCGAAAGTGTGACGTCAGCGTTGAGCAGCAGGTCGTTGATGTATTCGCCTGGATCGACAAGACTCTTGGAGGGGCCGACGTATTGGTCAACAATGCTGGCATCCTTGGTAAGTATCAAATCACAGATGCAGACAAATCTGCCGATCTTCGCGCTGTCCTGGACACCAAAGTCTTTGGAGTTTCGTGGTGCACCCGCGAAGCATTCCTTTCGCTACAGCGCCGCAAAGTCAGCGATGGCCATGTGGTGATCATTAGCAGCATTGTGGGGCACATCGTGCCAGTGGTAGAAGGCCTAAACTGGAACATGTATGTACCCTCCAAGCATGCTATCACCGATCTGACTGAGGTGCTGCGACAGGAGTTTCAGCGTAAAAAGACCGGGACCAAGATAACAGTGAGTGCAGATTTAAAAATTCTTAGGCCAATCAATAATACTAATTTGCGTATGTGCCTCTTAGAGCATTTGCCCCGGTGTGGTCGACACTGAGATCCTTGATATCATCAAAGCTGCAGTGACAGAACGCCCAATGCTCCGCTCAGAGGACGTGGCCGATGCGGTGACCTACTGCATCCAGACCCCACCTGGTGTACAGATTCATGAACTAAAAATCAAGCCAGTGGGCGAAACGTTTTAATTACTTGTATAACAGCAGGCAGTTGGCTGCTTCAACACAAGTTGGGAAGGGATTGCTGTGCTAAACATGCACAAAACACTACAAGATTCCCAAGTTTCATTTCGGTTGTGTAAATAAACGATAAGATTTTGATCAGGCTTCAAGATGTGCACATAAATAAAAGATCGTATCGTTATCATATAATAATTATTTTGGCACTTGATCATTTTTCGCATGATAATATTTACCATCTGCATACATACAGATATATTTAAAATTATATGTATGTTAAATGTACATAAAGTGGCCATTCTAAGTGTAAAGAGAGGCTACATTGATACATACCAAAAGCAATCCCAAACAGTTTTCTATTTCATCACGATGACACGACAATTCCGACAACCAATTATGCCGCAAAGCCAAACTGGTTTTCAGCTAAGAAATACACTTCATAAAAACAACAGAAAATAAAAGTAGAAGCAAATGTTTGCAAATAGACTTAATAATATAAAAAATTGTTTTTCTAATAAATTTAATACAAATTGATTACGAAATACATTTAATTTTTGTCTGAATACATACATAATTAATTGAAGACGAAGCTTTCATTTTGTAGCTGAGTGTTTTGTTTGCTCTCTATCGGCTGACTGCGAAGTACTCGGAGTATCTAAGGGTATACTGGGCTGAGGTTCGTAAATGTACCAGATAAGAATAACTACCGACCTCAAAAAGTATATACTGCCAATCTATCCATCTAAATCTTAGTATCCAGTATATTATAGTCGATTTAGGGTATATTCGATTTGTGGGGAAAATGAATGTGTGTAACGCCCAGATCTTCATCAGCATCAATAGCCGAGTCGTTAGAGCCATGTCTGTCTGTCCGTTTTGTTTGACGCCGAAATTTTGTATCCAGACTCCTGTGATATCAAGTTTGTTTCAAAGATTTACCAAGCCCGTTTTCGCCCCGATAAAAGGCGAAAATCTGTGGCATCAAATCAAAGCAGAAGAATCGTAGAGAATGAAGGTATTTTTTAGACTGTTGAATCTGGATTAGATCGGATATAGCCGTGCGCTTACTAATTCTCTCTCTTGATCTCACACACTCTTCGTAGTCAATGTGCATCTGGCTGAGAGTAGCCACTGTCACTGACTGCGTATCTGGTATAAATTGCGGCCGTAGCGGCGACACAAAACGTTCCCCCTCGTTACTTTTTGAATTGCTTCAAACTCTCGTCGATTCACATAGACAAACTATACACATTTTTTATCATGATACGCTATTCGCACACACATATGTATGTATATATGGAGATGTATCTGTGCAAATGGTTGGTCATATCATCGTGATAATGATGTTCTCTGAAGTTTAAACATTTGACCGGAGCTTTTTTCAAAAGTTCTATAAATAAGAACCTCTCCATAGGCACGAACTCAGTCGTATCGCGAATTCTCTAGAATAAACATACTATTTTCATAATGGATCGCTGGTTAAATAGAGTTGCCGTCGTTACTGGAGCCAGTTCTGGTATCGGATCTGCCTGCTGCAAGGATTTGGTTGCCAAGGGCATGGTCGTTGTTGGACTGGGCCGCCGCGAGGAACGACTTCAGGAGCTTAAGACATCGCTGCCAAAAGACCAGCAATCCCGTTTCCATGGTCGAAAGTGTGACGTTAGCGTTGAACAGCAGGTCGTTGATGTATTCGCCTGGATCGACAAGACTCTTGGAGGGGCCGACGTATTGGTCAACAATGCTGGGATCGTTGGTCAATTACAAATCACAGATCCCGACAATTCTTCCGATATTCGCGCTGTCTTGGACACCAATGTCCTCGGAGTGTCGTGGTGCACCCGCGAGGCATTCCTTTCGCTGCAGAGACGCAATGTCAACGATGGCCATGTGGTAATCATCAACAGCATTGTTGGTCATAAAATTCCTACGGTACCGGGCTTTAACTTTAAGATGTATGCGCCTTCTAAGCATGCTGTCACCGCACTCACGGAGGTACTGCGACAGGAGTTTCAGCAAAAGAAAACTGAAACGAAGATAACTGTAAGTTATATAGTTAATAATTCCAATTTGGCCAATAACTAACTAGTTTCCATACGACCCTTAGAGCATTAGCCCCGGTGCTGTGGACACGGAGATCATTGATGAGAAAATCAAGGAGGCAATGCCAGACTTCCCCATGCTGCGAGCTGAGGACGTTGCGGATGCGGTAACCTATTGCATCCAGACACCTCCCAACGTGCAGATACATGAGCTAACAATCAAGCCCGTTGGTGAAAAGTTTTGAATTGATTCTAGTCATGCAGGAAGATAGATATGATGGCTGCGGCAAACTTACGAAGAAATAAGGCTTTGTGGATGGTAAAACCTCATAGATACAAAGATCCAATGCCGCTTATATGGAATGGATACAAAAATAAGATTTCCGCGTGTGGAATATAAACATTCGAAGCATAGGACTATTATTAAGTGTAAGACTGGGAAGACTGCGGTTCGGAATATTAATTAGTTTTAAATAGAATTCGTTTGATAAATAAAAAAAAATATTTCAACTAAATGATGTAAAATCAATTAAATTTACATTGGTTAAATGATGTGAAATACTTTAAATTTCTGTGTGAACAGATAAAGAAAAGATAAAGAATATCCCAGTGTTTTGCTATCTCTTCTTGGTCTTAATCGGATTTTTACGAGGTACTCGGAGAGTCTGAGGGTATACTGTGTTGACGTGTATAAATGTAACAGGCAAAAGGAGTCACTTACGACCCCGAACAAAATATTTAATCGGTCGACTAAAGTTAAAGTTAAAGTCGACTAACTCATTCTGATTCTTTAAAGTGCCTCTAATTTTCACCGATACACATAGACAATAATTTCATCATGATGCGATTCACATATATGTATGTATGTACTTATTTTACATATGACTATCATCATGATACGCTGGTTCGCACACACCTATGTAAGTGTACGAATGTATATATGCCATATCATCGTGATAACGATGTTCTCTGAAGATTAGTTAAACATTTGACCGGAGCTTTTTTCAAAAGTTCTATAAATAAGAACCTCTCCATAGGCACGAACTCAGTCGTATCGCGAATTCTCTAGAATAAACATACTATTTTCATAATGGATCGCTGGTTAAATAGAGTTGCCGTCGTTACTGGAGCCAGTTCTGGTATCGGATCTGCCTGCTGCAAGGATTTGGTTGCCAAGGGCATGGTCGTTGTTGGACTGGGCCGCCGCGAGGAACGACTTCAGGAGCTTAAGACATCGCTGCCAAAAGACCAGCAATCCCGTTTCCATGGTCGAAAGTGTGACGTTAGCGTTGAACAGCAGGTCGTTGATGTATTCGCCTGGATCGACAAGACTCTTGGAGGGGCCGACGTATTGGTCAACAATGCTGGGATCGTTGGTAAATTAGATATCACAGGAGCAGACAACTCAGCCGATCTTCGCGCTGTCTTGGACACCAATGTCCTCGGAGTGTCGTGGTGCACCCGCGAGGCATTCCTTTCGCTGCAGAGACGCAATGTCAACGATGGCCATGTGGTGATCATCAACAGCATTGCTGGTCATAAAGTGCCAACGGTACCCGGCATGGGCTTTAAGATGTATGCTCCTTCTAAGTTTGCTGTCACCGCACTCACGGAGGTACTGCGACAGGAGTTTCAGCAAAAGAAAACTGAAACGAAGATAACTGTAAGTTATATAGTTAATAATTCCAATTTGGCCAATAACTAACTAGTATCCATACGACCCTTAGAGCATTAGCCCCGGTGCTGTGGACACGGAGATCATTGATGAGAAAATCAAGGAGGCAATGCCAGACTTCCCCATGCTGCGAGCTGAGGACGTTGCGGATGCGGTAACCTATTGCATCCAGACACCTCCCAACGTGCAGATACATGAGCTAACAATCAAGCCCGTTGGTGAAAAGTTTTGATTTTGTTCTAGAAATGCAGAAAGATGGATAAGATAACTACAGCATATATCCACCCGAAAGTCAAGCAAGCTACTCTGTGTAGAAGGCTTTGGGGATGGTAAAACCCTATGGATACGCAAAAACGAATGCAGCTTATGTGGAGTGCATACAAATAAAAGATTTCTTTGGGTGAAATATCGAAGCATAGGACTATTATTATCGCTGATTTTGGGCACCGCTTGATCTGAATATCCCTGGCGATAGTTTTAACAGGGATTCGTTAGAATTTTTACAATTAACATTTATTAAATCACTTCAACACATAAGTTCACTGAAGGAAGTACAGAGCCTTTTAGTTGTAGTTGATTACAATTCGTCATGGTTAGGGGGTATAGTATAACTCTTTGTCTGTATAAACGCCAATTTCTTTAGGTTTCTCATTTTCTGTATCACAGTTACATGGTTATTACAAACGTGAGTGTGTGTATGTGTGTTTGTGTTTTGAACGCATACAACTAGGATAGACAACACATATCGCTGTGGGATATACATATCTCTACTCGTATTACTAGCATAGGCGGGGGGCCCAACTTAACATCTAATAAAAGTTCCGAGTATAAATATTTTTGATTACAGTTAAGTACATAAACAGCATGGAAAACAGCGTGGCTAAAAACTAATAATACCGTCATCGTACAGTCCTACCGACAAAGACGAGCCCAGTACCTCCGCTAATTGCTTCAGTTTACAAATTGTATTCACCTGGCACCACCTGGCACGGAGCATCAAACGTGCAATGTATATACTCGTTCAAGCATGTTGCAACCGTTTGAAGTCTCTTGGAAATAGCACACTAAAGAGAGAAGTTTACAACTATTTCTTCTGCGTTCGCTTTGCTTAAATCTACCAAGTACACAAGTACACATAAAACTAGAATATATATCCATATAGAACTCGCACAACATACATAACATATGTATACATAAATGATATATGCTGGCACATATATGTACATGTATATGCATCTAAATGGGTTTCGGTGGGCAGGGCCTTCGAGCGGCCAAGCCCAGTATATAAAATGCAGTTGCTTCTCTTACTGTTTCCACTGGCAACAACAACTCCCTGGCCGGCAATAGTAACTAACTCAATTAGATGTAGACGGATACGTTTGATATTTGCACTCCCGCAGAGTTTGGAATGAGTGCTCAAAGTCTGTCGGCAGCGAGGCCAATGCATGTGCACTTTCAGTGCCCGAAATAGTTTTGATCAGGCTGTTGGAGTTGAGGGATTCCAATTCGTGTGTCTCCGAATTAGCCAGCTCAACGATGGCCGAACTGGTTGGCGTCAGGAGCTGCTCACTGGCAATCACCTGGCTGGGTTTACTGAAACAAAGAAGAGTTTGGTCAAAATGAGAACGTTTCTTTCTTTCTCTCTTTCTTACCGCTCGTAGAACTTGCCGCTGGCATTGTGACGTTTGCGCCACACGGGCCATGCCAGCTGCAAGAAACCATGCTGCGGTCCTGCCACCCTGAGCAGGCTCATTAGAAAGAAGGTGGCATATAGCCAGCTGATGATCATGACCACCACCAGGAAGACACCAATCTGTATGTAGGGAAGTATGTTCGATGCCATCATAATACCACCGGCCAGGCCCGTTGTAGCCGCCGCCATCACCGTCGGTCCGATAATGCGCGATAGCACAAACTGTGTGGCTGCCAGCCGGTCCTTAATTGGCGACATCCGATAATGAATGCCATAGTGCAAGCTGAAGTCCACCGCCAGACCAATAGCTGTGCTGACAGCTATGCTCTCCAGTATGTTTAGCTGCCATCCGAGGAGAATGAGAACAGCAACGGTGTTGAAAATGCTCAGGGAGACGGTAAGCACGGCGTAGATTGAGATGAGCAGATTGAGGGTGAAGGACAACAGCACAAGCAGTGAGGCGACCATGGCCAAGGAAATGGCCACGATTGTGTCATGAGAAAGCGTGTCCTGCACATTATAGAACTTCAGGTCGCTGGTAAACCATCCGCCACGCAATTCCATGGGCGCTGTGTTTAATTGCAGCTGAAACCAATGCTCCACGGTTTCGTAGAACTCATTGATGTTTGCATAGATCGTGCTGTAGGCTACATTCGACTCGAATTCAATTACCAGCGCCTTGACCGAGAGCGGTATGTCGGTCCCATTGGTGGGGACTGACTCCAAACTATAGTTGCCGCTAATCGCAAAATAATCATCCTCTTCTAGGTGGGTGGTCGCTGCAAACTTGGGTCCCGCCACACCAGGTTGGAAGAACATGGTTGTGTCATAGAGATTGGACACGCTTTGTGGTAGACACAGGTCAAAAATGTGCGGTTCGTACGGAAACTGGGCATCGCAGCAGGGAGAGCGATCCTTCCGTGTGATATCCATGTCATCGATACATCTGGGGACCGAAGTATCTCATAAATATTTCAAAAATTAATGGTTCAACTATACTCTCACCTGCGCTTCATGAAGTCTATGAGGTTTTCAATAAAACAATTGGGCAGCAACATTCCAAAGGTCTCTTGATAAAACGGCTGCTGGCGCACGCTCTGGCAAAAGTCGAGGATCCAAAGCTGCACTGGCTTGCTGGATATACTAAAATTATTGTCATAATGGAGGTTGCCAAGTGATTTGGGATTCGTATAGTCGCCATCGTCCACAGCCTGGACACCCCAAACAAAGTGCATATGCATCTTAAAGTTCTCGTCGACCTGCAGTGGCTTCTCGAACCAAAAATGCTGCTTAATACTGGAATAGACTTCGAACGGATGCTGCGAGACAAATAGCTGGAAATGTGATTTTTCCGGCAGCTGGAGTCCTGGATACCAGAACACAATGATGGCACTAGATGTACCCAAAGCACCAAAGAGCAACAGCCACATGTAGGCATAATTCATGATGCTGTTTGTTATGCATTCCTCGAGTGCTTGACAGAATCGATTAATTGACTTTTTGCAGGAATGCATAAGCCGCTGAAGCAGCGGCTGGCGACAGGAAATTCTGCTTGCAAAAAGGCGCTCCATTATGGAGACGGAGGCGGGCAGCCAAGTGATCATCAGTAAATAGTTTGTCACCACAACTGTTCCTGCAAAGATCCTGAAAAATCCAATTTTGTATTAGTTGAAAGCAAAGGTTTACGATGTGTCCGAACAACTTACCCAAAACACTTAATGGCCGTTATGGAGCTGCTGTAGGAGGCGTAAAAGGCGCCCGCCGTCGTCAGCGATGTGACAAACATGGACGCAGCGGCATGCCGCATTGTCAAGGCCATGATGTTCTCCAACGTTTCCGTATGCTCGCCCTGATCCAATGGTGCTGGCAGTGCACTCTGCGACTGGGCGTTGGTCAATGTGCCGCAGCGATTGCTAAATCTTTCGGCCAACACACAATGCCAGATTTTCAAAAACAAAAACACGTCATCTGCCCCAATGCCAATGATCACAATCACGGCCAGGAGGTTCATGTAGGGAAAAAACGCAAACTCCAGGACTATAGAGTAGACAAAGTAGGCCAGTCCCAACGAGAAGCAGACGGCAATGCAGGACATGGCTGTAATAAAGACGGAACCGGTGTACAGCCAAACGCTGGCCATCACAAATAGGCCGCCAAGCGATACCAGCCAAACGTCTGTCAGCAGCAGCTCGTTGAACAGTTCGTTCTCCAGCCCCAAGTCCATGGCAATCACTTCCACCAGCTCGTTACGTAGGTCTCTGAAAATACAGTCATTACTCATTACCTTACAAACAAACATTAAAGTACACAAATTCTAAATTTAAAATAAGTCAGCGAAATGGCGCCGAAAACGAGGGAAGCACAATTGGCGGAAATGGATCAGATTTTCCTGGAGGATATCCTGCCAAAGTGCCGCCAATGTCAAACCACCACACAGGCGGACTACGTGAATCATAATAAAGCCAAAATGCGGTCACGCGCTAAAAAAATACCGCAAGAAGACCCTTCGCTTCTCTCTGGCCACTATGCGAACAATCTCAAGGTTAACGGACAGGAAATGAAAACAAGGTCCTGGCCCCGTTCTATGGACTGGCGCGAGGAGTATGAACAGTTTGTACGGCGCAACAAGTGGTGCAACGAGGAGATCTACAAGCTGTTCTTTGTGTGCCCGCCCGTGCAGTACAAACAGATCGAGCAATATCTGAAAGACCTGCAAAAGACGGTATATATGTTCGACTACTCCCACAAGGAGTACGTGTCGCTGCTAAGCCAGCGCCGTAAAAACTTGAGCAAAGAAGACACTAAGCGTGACATGAACCACAAGGACTATTGGACAACCTATGGGAATTATTACAATCGCATCCAGGAAACGGAACAATTTCGGGATGCAATCTATCCAGAGCCCAAGCCAAAAGACATGTCGTTGGATAACTTTGCGAAGGCAATGCGTAAACTGTTTACAAAGTACAATCTAACCACCTACTTTGACGAGATATGCGTGCCGGCACTGTTCATGGCCAAGGATGGCATAATGCCATCGGGGCCCATCGATCGCTATACCCTACGAAAGTACTGAGTCCAGTTTCCACATCCACACTACTTACACATCTTCCCATTCATGAAATAGTGGCAGCACACGGTTGGACTGCGCCACAGGCACAAAGATCATAGCGTACTTTAAGTAAACATTCGAATTCTGCAAAATATTCTCATTAAATATTGTTTAAAATTACTAGAATCTAATGCTGCTTACGTTTGGCCTGATAAAACTAAAGTCGCTGAGGAAATTGAGTACGTTGTAGACTAGATTGTGGCGCTTGCATTCCTCAGGCGCATAGCAGCGAGAGTACTCATTGCAGTTGTTGTCTAGCTTCAGGTCGTGAAAGTATTCATAGCAGCCCACCAGCAGGGACTGCAGCGAGCTCACATCATCGGTCGTTAGGTCGAAACAGGAACTTTTGTTGGCCAGCAGTGCGGCGTAGTTGGGTAAAGACCAGGGCCGGCAGCAGTCGGAGGTCGACCTTTCGGGCTCGCAATATGCCTTGTAACTGGGAACGTCTCTAATCTGTTCCTGCAGCTGGCACATAGCCAATAGGCCGTTCAAATCAAACAGCGAGTCGGTGGCATTGGGTCCAATGCGCTGGACCACAAAGTGAGAGTATTCCCTGCGGGGCGACGAATCACAAAAGTATCCTTCTATAGGCTGGCGCAGGTGGGCGTCCGCCCAACTGTCGGTGGGCAGTGTAGCTGCCTGTTTTAGCAGGCGCCAAGTGCTCTTTTTAGTTTGCACGCGCTCGCGGTGCTCCTCCTCATCCACTGAAGTGGTATTATGCCCATACTGGATCTTTTCACTGCGCCGGGTCGGCTCCAGCGGGGAGGAGGCACTGTCGTTAGTTATCTCGTAGTCCCGAAAGACGCCGCTGTCCCCCATCCATGTATCTCGGTCGCCTTCACTTTTTGGGGCACTTGTAGCCTTCAGGCGTTTCTTGAGCAACATAATCTTCTCGGCCACCTCTGAGTGCTCGTGCCTCTTCTGATCCTTTCGTCGCTTATTCTTGTTTTTGTGCTTCCGCTGGTTCTTGCGGCGCCTATGATTCGGATGCAGTTGGGACACTCCATAACCCTCATCCACTCTGCGCTTTTCCCAGATAACCGACGGATTCGAGAATAGCACGCCATGTCGGTCGGTCTCCTGCAGAAGATTGTACCAGGCAGTCAAACGCTTCCCTATTTTGGTGCCTCGCGTCTCGAACCCCTGAAATGTAAATTGCGGAGTGGGAGTATGAGGATTGAGCATGCGTAGATATGGATGTGCGTGGACCTGCAGCAGTCATACGTACCAAGGTGGGGTCACTGAAGTCGGGCAGCTTGTTGAGGATGAGCGCCACTATTATGCAGGCCACGCAACAGACCGCAATGGAGACCACAACCAGGTACGGACGTCTAGCTAGGACGTGGTAGTACCAGTTCATCTTCTCTGAGTCAAAGCACAGCATGCCGAGGCAGCAGTTCCTTTGAACGTTTCAATAATTGAATCAACCTCTGCTTATTTGCTTATCATAGCGCTGTTGTTGTTCCTCCTAGTCCTCCTCCATCATATTATCGACGGCTGCTTGTGTCTCCGAAAACCAGGGCAGGGTCAAATGCTATTGTTTTGGTTTTGTTATAGATACTGCCTGGGGGTTTTTTTTCGGATTTTCAGGATCAAAAATCCACTTGTTGGCGCTTGGCTTGTGGAATTACATTTTAGCCAGACGAACGAGCAACTAACTTAGGGCTTGGAACTAACTAAAACAAAAAAGGAACCAAAAATTTGCGAACAAGGGTAATATAATATAATGCAGAAAACACTGTGAAATAACAACAAAAAGCCAGGATACGATAGCGCTGCAAAGGAATTTCGCGATAGATCGATGTTTTCTCCGACCATCGATACATCGTTTGTGTGATATCGAAGTCTAGAAGACTAATTATAGCTGTAAGACATTAGATCATGCTAAATTTGCAACTAGATTTTTGCAGCTAGTCAGTTAGCAAAGTCGAATGTCGTACAGCTTTTGGGCGCACCTTAAAATGTGCGAAAAATCATTCACCAGAAAAAAAACAGACAAAAAGAATACATTTTAATAATTTTGTGGGTAAAAGTAACACAAATCTTTATCAATAATTAGAATGAGCTATTTTTTTAGCAAGGAATTTCATAGCAGGATATAGATACGCTCCAATACTGAAAGCGGAAAAGCATTGAAACTAACATTAAAACTGATTTTTATAAATTTTCGATGAATATGTCAAGTTATCGATGGTTTATACCATCCCTAGTCTGCAATGTTTTGTAATCTTATTTACTATAGTTAAATTTTTAGATTTATAAATAAGAAATGCTGCGACGAGCCCAGTGCCTGCTGCGGATGCACAGCACTGGTCGCCAGTCGCTTTGTGCCGGACAACGCGTTCCTGCCGTTCTCCACAGAAACTATTCAGCCGACGAGACTAATTCCAACTCCGGAAATCCAAATGCAAAACGTGCCGGCACAGGTGGCTCAAAGAGCCTGCCCGCTGTGCGTAATGTGTTTGCAGCAGCACAGGACAAGACGAAGGACACCTACCTCACAATGGTGGAGATCTTCCAGGAGCGCGATGTGCATAGGCGCAACCATGTCGAGTTCATCTACGCTGCACTGAAGCACATGCCCGACTTTGGCGTGGAGAACGATCTGGAGGTGTACAAGGCCCTGATCAATGTGATGCCCAAGGGAAAATTCATACCGACGAACCTGTTTCAGGCCGAGTTCATGCACTATCCCAAGCAGCAGCAGTGCATCATAGACCTGCTGGAGCAGATGGAGGACTTCGGCGTCATGCCCGACTACGAAATGGAGGCCATGCTGCTGAATGTGTTCGGCAACAAGGGTCACCCCCTGCGCAAGTACTGGCGGATGATGTACTGGATGCCCAAGTTCAAAAACCTGTCGCCCTGGCCCCTGCCCAACCCGGTGCCCGACGATACGCTGGAAATCGCCAAACTGGCCGTCGAGCGGATGTGCACGGTCGATCTGCGGTCGCAGATTAACGTATTCGATACCAAGGAGCTCAAGGATGCCGTGGACGAGACGTGGATCGTGAGCGGCATGAGCCCGGAGCAGTCGAAGCTGTTGCGCGAGCACTCTCGGCAAAAGGCCCTGTACATTGAGGGCCCTTTTCACATATGGATACGGAATCGTCGCATTAACTACTTCACCCTGCGCGCTGATGCCGACACCGAGTTCCTCGCCCAGTTGGACGAGCGGCAGCTGGACGAGGATGATGTGTCGCACATTGAGGTGCCATTCTTCGGTCGCCCCCCACCGAGACGACACAATCAGCTTGGCAAGCTGCGCTCGGTCCATCAGCAGGACGATGGCACTATTTTTGCCATCTGCGCCACTGGCACCTCCACCAAGGACTCGCTACTCTCGTGGATACGTCTGTTGGAGGCGCATGGCAATCCTTCCATTGGCGAGGTCCCCGTTCTGTTCAGGTTCACATCCACAGTGCCTACCAAGGCAGAAGAGATCGAGGGACCTGCCTGTGTTCCAGCGACCAGCAGTGATAGCAGTAGCCGTAGCCGTAAGGAGGAGGAGCCGAGCGTAAGTTAACTTATTGAATAAATTCATTGTTGAGTAACTTGTTTGTCGTTGTCTTTAATTTGTTGGTTTTGATTAAGGTTTAGGTTAAAGGAAATTAACGATTAGATTACACAATTTCAAATTGTGAAGCCTGTTTGTTGCTGCTGTTGCTGCTGGTTTATATACGAGTATATACTGATCCGAGCTTAAACGAAAAATCACAGAACTCGAAACTAAATTTACAGAAGATCTGATCTGCCTGGGATTTCACGCATCATTTCTCTAACCTCTAATTAAGTATTTACATTTCATCTGAGTTGGAAATATGTCATATATCATAATATCAATATCCGGCGACTTTTCTGCCGGGATCGTTTCACTTTGTGCCAGTTTTGTTGACCGGAAACACCTGCGTGACAACGCCGATGCCCTTGCTGGTGCCCTCGCGGAACAGGATGCGCATGCCGGGACGCACGTATTCCGGATGGCCGACAAACTCAAACATCACGGAGGCGCAATCGTTGGTCCCCAGCTTCTCCCCACCCATTATGCCCCGAATAACGGCAGTCTGACGAATGCTTCCAATGTGCACGGTGGTCTGGAAGCCCACGTAGATGGCCGTGGCATGGAACAACACAGATACCTTGGCCTGCAAAGGAATCGATGCGTTTATAAGGAAGAATCAACACTTTTTGTCGGCTCACCTGAAAGAAGAACGTGCCGTATGGTTCGTCCGGACTGTCGCCCAGCAGTACCATGCCGCTTCGCAGATTTGGCAGCTCCTGGTCCATGGTAAACGAGAGCGAGGCGCTCTGGCCAGCGCGTACCACACGACATGGCGCCTTATTCCGATGGATGGTATTGACGCTGACGGGATGGAAGCTTCCGTTCGGCAGAGGACCTATTTTCAATGGCATATTCTCGGTGAGCACGCCTTGGACCAGGAGACCTCCCACCACGGGACCAACGTCCGTGACCCGAAAAATTTCATCAACCTGAAACTCGCAGGACTCCTGCTCGAGGCGATCCTTCTCGGCATTGCTTATGCCCGGCGATAGGACATAGAGAAACTTGGTGACCAGATTTAGGCCAGTTCCCGTGACATTCGAGACACAAAATATGGGTACAATGTTCTCAGACACCTGATTCGAGCCAGCGGAAATAGCCTCATCGGTATTGGTGACCACGAACGGCACCTTGCGGCACCCAATGTTTGTGAGAAGTGTGCGCAGCTCCTGCACGGTGGCGTCCGGCGACGTAATGTCCGTCTTGGTGACCAAAATGAAGAACGGCATGTCCAGGGCACGCACAATGGCCAAGTGCTCCTCGGTAGTTTCGTTGCAGCCGCTGCCCGCTGACACCACCAGCATGGCATAGTGTGGCGAATAGCCACTCAGCGCTTGGACCGTGGTGCGCATGTAGCGTCGATGGCCTGCCAGATCCATGAAGGTAACGAGCTTGCTGGAGCGATCGCTGATCTCCTCGGCCGTCATCATCTCATTGTACTTGTAGTTGACCACATTCCCCAGCGCATCGAAGCCCAGAGTCTCGTGGGAGATGCAGGATGTGCGACCTGCAGGAGGAGGAGGAGAGGTGTTAGTAAGCGGTAAAAGGTGTTGATATCCATTATGTTTACCGGACTGGATCTCGTGCATATGCCTGAACATGTTGAGCCGCGCTCGACCGTGTCCATTGTCCAGTTCGTCCTGCGTGAGTACGCCCAGGAGCGTGGACTTGCCAGCGTCGGCTCCGCCCAGAACCGCTACCCGCACCTCAATGTTATGCTGATCGTCGGGAATCTTACGCACCAGCACCTCGGCCACTGCCCGTCGAGCGGCGATGGTCTTGCGGCGAAGCACTGAGGTGCTTGCACCCAAGTGATGGGCCATCTGCTTCAGAGTCATCAGCGAGGCATTCATGTCTTTCTCGCTGAGACCCTGCAGATAGCCCGCATCGGACACACCGATCTCATAGATGGCCTCGCCGTTGCCCTCACGCAGACGCCACTTCATCTGTGTGACGAGATGCTCGAAGCGCTGCTTGGAAGGACTCACCAGCTTTAGCTTGTACTCCACATTGCCCAGCTGTGGCTCCGGTGGCAGTATTCCCTGCTCGAAATCAAAGATCAAATTTCCCTTGGCCGTGGCGGTGGTGGTGGCACTGTATGGACTGCACTCATTGGCGTTGGCATCCATCTCGTAGTCGCTGCTACTGCTGCCCCCGCCGCTGGAGTTGCCGTTTATCTCGGGCTCCTCGTCAAAGCCGTCGTCCTGATTGGGATCGAAGAGACTCAGGAAGGACTCCATCTTGCTATAAATATTAGTAGACTTATTGTTAGACAAGAGATAAACAGCAGTAACAAAGAACAATTTTCTATAGAACAAGAGTACAATATTTTGGCGAATTGCGACATTGAAACACACACACAGGGAAGTGTAGAAAAGTTTATACATATGTGCTTTTCGATGTACACATATGTATGTATGTATACACATCATATCTGTTTTTCTTCGTTTTCCTCTTTGACTTGCAGCGAAGCGACCTTGAAACTCTTGTTTATGTTTGCTCCGACTTTATGCAGATACACACAATGGGGAGGGATGACATGGGAGGGAGACCTACGCGGAGGAGTCCACATTTTCTTACCCGAGAATCAAATTATAGCGATATTTATGGTACTTAACGACTCACTTCTACAAATAATTATACACCAAAACTTGGTCGCAATTGCGCGCGACGCGGGTTTGCTGGCACAAATTATCGATTTTGGCTGCGCTTTTGCCTTCACCCAGGTCCAATCTGTTATTTGGCTATATCTCTGGCTGTATCTCTTCTGCTTCTGGCTCTGCTCCCGACTTGTGCTTTTTGTGTTTGGCGGCCAGCCTTTCGATTTTGTTTATAACTTGCTCTGCTTTGTGCTACGACCACGCGTTTAGAACTCGTATACATACTCGTACATGCACACATACATGTGTGTATTCACCCAAATAAAAAAGTTGCCAAAGCTTTTACGATACCCTACTCGGGTAGAGCCTGGAATGTAAGGTGACGAATTAGATTCTCAGGCGACACTTGCATCATTTGAGGCATATGTATATATGTTTTAGCACATCATTTATGAAATTTTATTTCTAAAAACAGTTAGTTGTAGTTGCTCAACTCCTTTTATTTTAAATTGATGATCATGTACACATATTTATTCTGAGGAAGCGCATGCAAATGTCGGTGAATATCGAGCTTTTGATTGTCCCGTATTCTTGTTTGCTTTTCGCATCTTTCTGGTTCTACACAAAACCGAAGGCGGTTTGTTTTGATCGAATCAGCTGCGACGCGCTGATAGCAAACGACGCGAACGATGGCACTATATCTTGAAATTGATGAAAAGCAATTCACGAAAAGCTTTTTTGGGTGATTACTGTTGTACGTGTCAAGTTAAAACGAATTGCAGACGTAGGTTTATTTCTATCATTGCATACATAGCATGTGACGTGTGTGCATATGTTGCACAGTTGCGTGGGCCAATTGCATCATATTATGTGTCCAATATTGAATTAAAATGCAGGTCAACGCACTGTTGCACTTACATTTCACAATTGTTGCAATAGGCCCAGGAAGGCCAGCGGAATATGATGCAATGATGATGCTCCGTTCAATAATGCCAGGATTGCGCGTAAAGAAGCTGGTACTTTCCTTGCTGGGCTGGGGACTGGTCTGGTCACTTAAATGCACTTATTTTACACGGACATATTTAATAGCGACATACAGCTATGTTCTAAACATTAAATTTAGATGTGTGTACGAGCAATCAAATTAATTTGTTTACACTTGTTGATATTTTATATAGATATATCGATTATACATTTCATAATATATCGATATGTTTAAATCGATACTCAAAACACAATATAAGCAGAGGCAAAATTTAAAGGAAAGAGCTTATCGAGGAGTGGCGCCACCTTATATCGATATATATTTTTGTTCATAATATCGGTACTTAGTGCGATACATAGATAGTGCGTCCCTTGCTTAATCTCATGTCAAATAGCTTCTGTCAGGAAGCATTTTAAATTGGAGACAACGGTAATTTTTCAAATTTGAATCGAGTCGTCAGTTGGTAAGTGCATGTAGTTGGGTTTTGTATACTTGTAGCAGAAAATCAACTATCAGAAGAATATCAACTAACCCTTTGTTTTATACCAAGTTATCCCTCCCATAGTCAGGGGTTCCCGATTGGTTGCTTCATTTAAATCAAATTCAGTATAATAATATGTTTACGTTTTATTTCTTATCATTAACATTATTACTTTATCACAAATATTTTAAGCATTTTTACATATGTAGATAGTTACAATGATGTGTATATGTATGGTATGTATGTGGGTTATCCTCTATGCTTGTATGTACAACGACGATTGCTCTCCTTGAGGCTCATAAAATACTTCTAGCACATTACGCGATATGATGCATCTGTGTGTTTGTCTGTGGTGTTTGTGGTGTGTGTAAATGTGTGGCTCTACAGGGTTCGGTTTTTTAAAAGGTTTAAACTACTCGTTCTCATATGGACTCGTTATCGGGGGAAGGATTTCCTATAAACTTGGAGGAAGCTTACGATTTGCTCTATTTACTCTAATTCAGATCAGACAGTTTTCTGGAATGCTACAACTTTTACATTTAAACATTATGACATTACATTGATCTTACTAATTGCTATAATTCATTGAAGATTTTTCATTATTCTTTTGTTTTGTTTTTTCCATTACCATTTTGTTGTTTTGTTTTTGTTTCGTTAGAAAGTCAAAACGTACATATGTATATCGAAAATAACCGAAAATGATATGACAAACTTTTGAACACTTATAGTCGTTTTTAGCCCTTGTCTATGATATAGTTTTTCGTTTTTCTTACGGCTTTAATATGTACTTCTGATATGATAATGCCTTGATAACAATTGCCAATGTATGCAACATTACAATAATCGAAAAAGTGTTTTGTGGCCAACAACTATATGAACTGCCTTGCCACGGTCTAGCCTCTATCCCAACAAAATCTCAATCTCTCATCACCATAAATTCCATAAATGATATTTACATATGTACATATGTATGTGTACCTATGTATGTATTCGTTGTGGCTAAGGTCCAGCTAGTAAGCACACTCCCAAAGACTCTCGGAGGACCAACAATCAATGAAGTGTCTGATGTCGATGCCTGACCAAAATCGTGCTCATCAAATTGTCATCGCCCGGCTGGCCTTGGTTCCTCGCTGTAGGAATCAGCCGAGCTCTGCACTTTTATTTCTCGACCCGCATAAATCATTTTATTAGCTTATTAAAAACTTTTCCATTTATTGTCATCATTTTGCGCTATCGTGCGCACAAATCCGTGCTCCAGCTCTGGGTTCTTGTCGCTGCCGCTTTTATTGTGCTCTATACCCATTCAATCGCTCGTGAGCTTATTATGCTCGGGGTGGGAGCTAGGGCTAGGACTGCGGCTGGAGCTGGAGCTGGAGCTGGGGTTGGTGTGGCGTGGCGTGGTGTGGGGTGTGGAATGGGATGGCTATCGCATATTTTTCTAAACTTTTCTTTATTGCTCACTTGTTGGCTGCCATGGCTGCTATTAGCAGGGACAGGGCGACCGACCGCCCGACCGCCCGACTGCCTGAGTGCCTGAGTTCTGGCTGCTGCCCACTCACATCTCTCGACCGTACCCATTAAATTCAAATCGGCTGCTGTTTTTGGCGCGTGTTTAAAAGTTAAATAATGGCCAGCACAGCAGTGGGCACTGGGCACTGGGCACGCAATGGCGCAAGACGTGTCCAATATAACTTTTCCCGTTTTTGGCTTTCGGGGTGGGGTCGGAGTAGAAGTCTGTTTTCGATACACTTGGCTTTGATCTTGTAGTGGTTGAAGGGGGAGGGGCGGGGCAGTTCAAATAGTTGCGGTTTTCGGTTTCTTTTCCGAGGCATAGGCTCCGTTCTCGGCTAGGCAGGAAGAGGGATATGTTGAGAATATGTCTTTGGCCGGGACACAACAGATTTAACAACGATTTCGATACGTAGCATTTCAACTATAGACGATTACTGTCCAATTAAGAGGCTCTGCTTTCAGCTGGCGTCAGAGTTTGGAAGATTTGTTGGGGTTGTTTGCTCCCTTCGTGACGCTGAGAGCAGGCTCTGTTGTACAGTATTTTAAATATGTATGCATATGTATACAATTATAGCTACGATTACACTTAGTTTAAACATTTACAAACAAACAGAGACACTTACTCACACGCATTACATATACATATACAAATACAATACAAATACGTGTACATATTCGTACTTTAACTAGGGGTTTCGTTTAGGTCTATGAATTTACTGCTAAGCGACGCCGCCGAATAGCCTTCATCCGTTCAAAGGATAGTTAGTGCAGACTACTACTCCTGCCCGCGCGTCCGCTATCATTGTCTTACTTTGAGTCGGCTTCTGATTCGGTTAGTGTTTGTGCGCCAGTCTTTTGTTTGATGCCAGGAATTCGAGTTCGTGCACCCTCATTCGTACCCTCATGCGACCGCGCTTAGACGCAGCTTTCGGGTCCGGGCAAGGTGTCCGTGATGATGTGATTGCGTCCGGCACTGGACTTGTGCGTGATGGTGTTGAGCTGCGACGGCGACAGGCTCGTCCCGGCCATCACCGAGCCCAGGCCCAGGCCCTTGGGCAGCGTCATGTGGGTGGGCATCGCCATCGGCGATCCAGCGGCTGCTGCCTTGCTCAAATTGTAGTCTATCAGACTGCTGGTGGTCAGGTAGTCGGCCAGGGTGAGTGTCGGATCATGGCCTCCCCGCTGCAGGCTGTGGCCCGATGTGGGCTGCTGGGCCATGTTGTGGGGCAGCGTATGATGCAAGTGATGGGCGTAGTGGCTGCTCGAACCTCCCCCTCCCCCTCCCCCACCAGCCGCACCGTTGGCCAGCGCATTACTTGCCGCGTTAACGGTGCTGCTGGCAGAGCTGAGCGTGCTGTTGCTGCCACCACCGCCACCCCCGCCGACAGCATAGTTTCCCATGTTGAGGCCCAGCTGCTCGTAGCGACTGAGCGTGGGCATGGCATCGTACAGGAGCGGGGGAGCCGTAGCCGTCCCACCCAACGATGACGTCTGATACCCCTTGGCAACGCCCGCGGCAGTATCGCTCTCCAGCCGGAGGGTGCTGGACTGGGAGGGCGGGCTGCTCAGGTGCGGTGCACTCACATCCTGCAATAAACAAATGGCAGAGAGTCAGGTTGCAACGCCTCTCCGGCATATATGATGGGCCTCGCACTTACATAATCCGTCGTTTTATGGCTCGCAGCGTTGCCGGAGCTGGGAGCGGCCGAAGCGCCGCCGGCACTACCTCCACCTCCACTGCCGCCGCCCATAAATAAACCACTCGGCCGATTTCCCAGCGGCGACGATGTGTCACTGCCAGTTGCGCTTTTTTGCGCACTCAGTATGTCCGGCTGTTTTTCAATGCCCTGCTTCAAAGTGTAAGCCACAACGAGCCGCTGATGACCAGCACCTGTTTCCAGAGGCGCCGTCACTGTCACATCCATGCCTGCCAAAAGGACGAAGGAGAGCCCAGGAGGACGCGCATTAGCTCCTAACCACCCATCATCTACGAGAATGCATTTCGCTCTTCGGCAGCCTGACTTACCCAAATGCTTGTCCTTGTCGTCGCACATGTTCCGGGCTCCTGGGCCGCGACGCCTACGCACAGCAATGACCACCACGGAGAGCACGGCTATGCCCACCGTGAAGAGGGTTCCGGCAAGCAGAGCTGCGAGGGGTAAGATTGACAGGCCCATGCGTCCGTCTGCAATGCAAAAGGTGGCTGAATAAATGGGGGGAAATTAATGGAAAAAGATGTATGTAACTTCTGCAGCACTTTTTATGCTTCAACTCTACCACGTTTCCAGGTAAACAATCCCAACGAAGAGTCGATTATGAAAGTCATGTTGGTAAGCAAAAAGAAAAGCAGAAAACTGGGACAAAAGAGGAACTAAGTTCCGTGACATTCCTTTCCTTTTTTTTAATATTAAATAACAAAATCTGCTGGCTTAAGACAATATTTCGGATCCAATAAAAGCGAAAATATCAGTAAAGACGTTTTTTAAGGCTATAAATTTATGAACTACTCGTAGTACTGAGACCATCTGGTTCATATATAAAACGCTAGAGTACGAGATACAAATGGAATGATATCTGTTTCATTTTTACTGGCCAGCTAGCAATATTAGGTGAGGGACCCCGACAAATAGCCCTTTGCTCGTTGAGATTCGAATAAACTGGGTGCAGCGGCCACTTGAATGATGCTCGCCAAGCTCTTTTTCAGTCGAGCCAGCATTCATCCGGGCAGCCCCTTCTCCCTCATATTAGGCGCCCATAAAACGCACAACGCATGTCAAGAGGTGGCCAACGGACCAGCGGTCGTTCACTGGCTGCTCCCTCAGTTTTATTGTGTTTTTTTTTTTCATTTGCAAATGCTTTAACATGGGGCGATAAGCATTTCAATTAAAATCCGTTTGACTGTTGCTTGCGTTTTGGGGCATTTCTGGGAAATCGTAATTGAATATGCATTACAAGGCCGCAAACATTGCGTATACGCCTGCCTAAACGATGCGACACGAGCCGTCTCTTTGGCTATATTTAGCATTCAACAAATCATGCCTGCGCCTGCGGATATGCCACACAGAATTTCAATAAGCAAACATCGGCCGAATGGCAGAGGACGAGAGAGTCGAGAAGGCCAGGAGACAGTATAATACCAGAACGACATGCTACCGAAATATAACAGGGAGGCGCATACACAGGGGGCTGTGGGCACTGCGGGAACTCCGACTGTTGCTAATTTATAAACCTGGGCTTGTCAGCTAAACGCCAAAGTTGCAAATCAATAAATATTCTTTTTCCGCTGTGCCAAATGTTGACGAAACAGCGCCGCTGGCGAAATTGCTCATTTATGCATGGCTGCGTCTAAGCGATCTCACACACACACACACTTCCACATCCTCCCAAACGTAGACACACACATCCACACCCCACACGGTACCCGTTTGGGTCCGATTTGTACGTGTGTTGTAATTGCTGGCACATGACTTTTAAAAAAATCGTAAAAATACATATGTATGTATATATTTGCTCATTCGTACAGTGCGTGTCGTGGGTGCAAGTGTTTCAAGTGGATATTTCAGCAAAGAAAGTTTTAGTGCGGAACAGATTAATACATATGTAGTTCCAAAAATGGGAGTGACTATAATTGTGCCAAGGCAGTTATCAGGGACCGTAAAAAGATTAAAAAATAAGAATTATTTTTTGTATTTATTTTAAGCAACATTTTTAAATAAAAATTGTAAATAAAAGTATATTCCGTTTTTGAATTTTTTTCCTAATTTCAATATTGATAAATAAATCAATTATGATATTTTATTTTAATTTACTTATAATTTCACTATACAAATCAAATTTATAAATAATACAAATAATAGCCTATTTTTTTGAACAACTTTTAATTGAATGGAAAAAGTTTCATAATTTTCTTATAAATTAAAAAAATTAGCAAAATAATTTAACAAAAAATAAAATTAATTAATCATAATTTTCGACGACATTAATTCATTATAAAATTCTTTTTCAAAGGACATATTATCAGATTTAGTTATTAATAGCTAATATAAAAAAAATGTTATTTAAGTTTTATATTTGTATTAAGTTGTTGTTATTAATTAAGCGTAGCTTTAAGCAGTTTATCGAATATTTCAATTTACGTTTGTAACGTTTTGTAACACACTGTATTTGGATTAAAAGCCCCATCGCAGCGGAAAAGCTAATAAGATGCAGACAAACAAGGTTTTTTAATTTTAATTCGATTTAAACAGCGCGGTAAATGATTGAATTGGAGCAGAACGAATGATTAGTGATCGAATGGACGATTGGTGATTTAGGACGGACATCAATCGGACTCCTGTGTAGATAATTTATATACCTCTACTATATTGAAATACTGGGACTGGGTGGGATGTTAGTTAGAAATTTCGGAGCTCTTGGTCACACATTCGTTAATGCGCTCCTTCACACAGATAAATAACGAATATTTATTTAATTTATATGCTCATCAAGCGCTTAAGTGATTTATGAATCGATTGGCAGATTGGTGCGGGAATGATTCAAATTAAATTCGAAGTCTATTTGGCTTATTCAATGTCATGCCAATGTGGAAATAATAATTCATTTTAAATTCATCGTGATATGCATTGGTATCGTATGAATATTCATTGATGCACCCACTGCGGATATACATAATACATACATAATTGGTACGTAAAATACTCGTACGAAATGTACTATTTTACTTATGAGCGAACATGCAGAATTGCTTCCTAAGACAGACACCTTTTGGAGCTGTTCCCACATCCATTCCCCGGCATTATACTCTTCAGCATGATCCCAGCCTCCTTTTTCAGCCATCATACGACAAATCCCCAATCGCATCAGCAAACCCAACAAAGAGCATAAAGGAATATAAAACCGAATCGAGCAATCGCTTGCCAAATAAAATATATATTCGGCACCCAGGAAGAAGGCACTTGAAACTGAAACTGAAACTGATGCCGTTGCGAATGCGGATGCGGATGCGGATGCCAGGCGACGGCGACGAGCACATAAGATGAGATGCCAAAAGAAAAAGAAATTTAATTTAAATATAAGCACAGCGGCGTAATGAAATTTTCACACTTGTGCAAATATTTACCAATAAAACGACCTGGAATGGGGTGCCTGGTGGCAGGTGCCAGGTGCCAGGTGCCGGTAGCCGGGGACTCTAGACTATGCACATGCCCCAACATAAGCAGATAAGCTGCCAGCCAACCAACCAACCAACCAGCAACCTGTGCTCACCAGTATACTCCAGTACTGTATACTGTGCTCACCACAAAACCACCGGAGGAGGGACGAGCCTGGTCCTTGCGTGCCCCTCATAAGCCAATTGTTTGCATGAGTTTCATTTGGATGAGTGCAGGACGAGGCCATCCCAGACCATCCCAGACCAGCCCTGAGCAAAGAAGACCCCGGCTATTCTCCTTCCGGCTGTGTCTTCTCATAAGCTTAATTCGATTTAATGCTCCCGTTTGTGATATAAATGATTCGATGAGATGATGAAAAAGTGGATTGGTTAAAATGTATTGGGAATACGTAAGGCAGCGCGTTACGTTGCTTTCTACATACTCGTACTCCCACTCCACCTTCCATGGTTACTCCCCGCCTGTCTTGCTCATGTGGGCTTCAGGTCGGCAATGCGTTTACACAAAGTAAGCATAAATAAAGAAAGCGTTGTGGATGCGATACATGCGATACACGCGATACATTGTGTGGATTCTGGCAAGAGGCAGACACGAAGAAAAGGAGACTGGGAGCCTGGGAGCCGGGAGCCTGTCATCTATTGCAATGGCGGTCACATTTCCGTTCCCGGCCCGGCCCGGCCCGGCCCGGCCCACCACTTCGATCCGCCGTAACATATAATTTTATTTCATTTTACTTTACTTTCTGCACCGTTGTCTTTTGGGGATATTGTATTCAGATAAGACATGTTTAATGTATTTTTTCTTGTCGTACAGTAATCGTTTATATTTTGTGCGCTCGGGATGGCATCGAGCTGGAGCTGGAGCTGGAGCTGGAGCTGTAGCTTTAGCTCCACTGTCTACCTGCCTTCCGCTGCTGTCGTCTGCCTCTGATACGTTGTTACCTTGACGCCCCAGTAGCGACCACAGAGTGTGGGTGGGTCTTATGTGTATGTGCGGGTTCGGGTGCGGGTGCGGGTGCGGGGGTTGGTTGGTTGGTTTGTTGGAATAATGTAACTCCTGGGGAATCTCTGTGTGTCAGTTTAGCATAACAAGATATCTCTTTTCTCTGTTGGGGTTTTGCCTTTCTCTTATTTCTTGCGTGTATTCCTTTTTTTTTGGCTAAAACATGAAATTGATTATATTTACATTAATGTGGCATCAAGTGTTGCAATGTAAAATGCTCCTACCAACGCCGCACCGCCCAAACTCAGTTTCGGCCCCTTCCCCTTCCCGCTGCTGACGAAAGAAAAGCTTTTAAATTTGCCGAGGTGCAAATATTGACACTTGACGTAGGCGGATTGCATCTCTACTTATCCAGATACATACATACATATGTACATATGTGTTGCATGCCTCAGAAATTAGGTCGCCCACTCACGAACCGAGTCTGAGGGCGAACTGTAACCGAACTGACTGAGATGTAATATGCTCGCTCGGCTAAGCTGCCTTGCCCAGCGTTCAATCTATACTCAGACTCCCCAAATAATGGCCTTCTGCCAGTGCCCCCTCCTGTTGCCCTGCCGTCTGTTGGGCTGTTGGGCTGCTGGGCTGCTGGGCAGCTGGTCGTCGTGGGTGTCTGGAGCGCATTAAGGAGATGATTGAGTGGATTTGTTGTTCATGGTGATTGGTAACCGGACCGTACAAATATGCAATTGTGCAGATAAACATTATTGGCTGACCAAGTGCGGACAGCATTAGAACGTAAGTAATACATAACTCAGTGCGGCCCCGATGCCCGCCTGATGCCAAAGATGAGAATGATGATGTTGGTCAGGTGGTGTTGGCACTGGAATTGTTGATTCAATGAAAGTCCCGAATGCTGGCTTCAGCAATCATTGTGCATAATTTGCTCATGATTGAATTAGAGACAACAAATGCAATTTAACCATAATATCAGATGACATAGCATTTGGGAATACAATTATAAATGCCTCTTCCACAGAACGAGAGAACGAGAAGGATGCCTAAGACAAAGACAGGGACAAAGACAGAGCCAGAACCAGAACCAGACAGAGGTGAGGTCAATCGTAATGGAAATCATAGAATTTATATGCAAATAGTGTGTAAAGGGAATGTTTGTAAATACTTCATACTTCATTTCGATTAAGTGAGGCTTAATGAGGCTGACAAAAACTTTGACCGGTCTGAACTTTGTTCTTTTTCGCACTGAGTAATGGCTAGTTGAACCTTTTCTTCAAAGAAAATTGCAGTTTTCAGTCCGAAAGTACCTATAAAATGCCTGCACGTACATATGTCTTTTACCAATGGTTCGAAAATGAATAAATCTCATACTTTTGTATACCTTTTGTTATACCTTAGTTTTAATATCTTAACTTGTATTTACTACAAAACCGATCGATCTTTAAGAGCATCGAATGCTTCGGCTTTTTAAAATGTTTCCCATTTCATTAATTGTTCAGTCAAAAGTGCGTGTAAAACCTGCTTTTCAAATACCTGAACTACCAGCTATAAGACTCGAAAACACACACACACATAACACACAACAATAGTAAACATACACGCACTTTCTCACTTTTTGCCTCAATTGTTGCAAGGAGCGGAAAAACTTTTAAAGAAAATTAGCGTCAAAGCTGAATAACAAAGCATGAATAAGAAATCTTTGTCACTACTTTGGACAGCTCGGGAAGTGGAGTTGGAGATGGAGATGGGACTGGGACTGAGGAGGAGGCGGAGGCGGAGGCTGGAGGTGGGACTAAAGTGGAGTTGCAACGTAAACAAAACTCGTTAAATAAAAGAGCAATTGTACTTACAACAGAAGCAGCAACAACCACAAGCCAACAGAAAAAATGAATGAATGAATGAAAGAAAGAAACTAAAACGGTTAAGCAGAATATGCAAATACTTGAATGACTTTTTAAAGGTGAAATGGTGCTTAAAAAGCAATGAATGTTCAGCTTCTCTCCCTACCCCTGTGTGTGTCCTGCTTCTGCTTCAGGAGAGAAGTTTGCCGCGTCCTACTACCCCTTGGGGAAAACTTTGCAGTTTTTCCCCCGTGTTTTTCCCCGTTTTTTTTTTTGTTTGCGCTCACCCAAACACCTACCTGAACGCTTGTCCGCCTCATTGATGGGCACATTCTCGAGGACAATCGGCTCGGAGCGACCCTTCTGATTGACGCTGTAGACAACCAAATGCAAGGCCGGATGGGCATCGGGAAAGTAGTCCATGGGCATCAGATCTGTGGAGGCAAAAATTCAGAGAAAAATGGTCATGAGACAGTGATAGAGGTGGAGGTGGAGGTAGAGGCAGAGGCAGAGATGACCTGACCCGATCATTAATTTAAAACTTGTATTGCAGTGCAAACTTCATTAGGCAAACAGGCATTTAATTAGCACGTCGCGGTGCGAAACTTCGGCTCCGAGAACGAGAGCGCGCATAAAACTGAAAACTTTCTCCCGTGTGCCTTCTTTTTCTTGTTCAGTTTTTCCCGTTTCCCGTTTCGCGTTTCGCGTTTTCCGTTTTGTTTTTCTATTTTCTGGTTTTTCTTAATGCGCGCATCAAAAGTTTTGTTTGTGCTCTCTCCCTGCACCGATAGCAGCTCATTAAAATGGCAACTACAAGTGCGCTATGCCATGCTACGCTATGGTAGGGCGTAGGGCGTCGGGCGTAAGGCGTTGGGCGCTGGGCGAGGCGTGTCAGAACTAATACGCATACATTGGCAAGCCGCAAGAACAAAAACACTCGGGAAGGGGGCAGGCGCAGGCTCGCCGATGGCTTACCCCGGCATTCCCTCTGACAGCGTCGTTAACACGCCTGTCTAACTAATCGTGACTTTACGCTTCGTTTGACTTTGCAAATATCGTTGGATGCACAGACCCGCGCGTGCCCCCACCGTGTATGGGTGATGGGGATTGGTGCCACTTGCTGGAGTCATCGATAGAGCTTACGAAAAAAGATGCCACTGCAGCACTGGGGAGCAGGGATCAGATCTGTTCTGCCCCACGCCAAGTTGCCAAGTTGCCAACTTTAATAATCCAAAATGTGGCTCATTAACTCGCCTCATTTTCGGTTACTTAGTCGCGGCTCTGCTCGGGCCGGGTTTTTGCACCACAGAATCAAATGTAATATTATAATTTTCGTTTCGCTGTTAGCTCTCAGATAAATCTTGCCGTTTTTTCAACAGAGCGATTCGAGTGTTGGCCACTTTCTGCTACTTCCTTGGCTGGTCGCCGTTGGCGTTGACGTGCCCTGGGGCACCCTGGGGCGCCTGCTCCTGCTCCTGCTTCTGCCAGCCAACGGGAATCTACGAGTATACCACCATCCAATTCCCCACCTCAAAACGCCATTGGCATAAAAGTTTTGCTGACTAGCTGAAATTCATTACAACAAAACAGGCAGCAGCATGTGCCCGCAATGGTCGGGGTGTGGGGCAGGATGAGGTCCTGGCAGCCTCAACTAATTAATCTGCGTACTGCTCTCTGGCTCTGGCTCTGGCTCGGCTCTCCTTTTTGCCCCACGTACTACACTCCTCCCCACCCCCACCCTAGTCCTTGTCTTGAGGCCAACGCGCAATTTTGCCAGCTCAACTTTTTGCTCAGTTTGTTACTTTGATTTGTTTTTGTTTTTCCTGTTGCTATTGCTGTTGTTGCTGCCTGCTCTGGATACTGGCCGCATGAAAGTCAAGTCTTTAGTTTGCGGCTTTCGGCAGAGCACTGTAAATATTGTAGCGCCAACACCAGTGGTAGGACCCGAGACTTCTAAGCCAACCTCATTTAAATATAATAATGCATAAGCATCGTGTAATAAAACAATGCTTGGGGCTGCGTAGGTCGGCGGAAATATTGGATTTCCCCCCTAAACCATTAAAGTCCGAGAGCAATTTAGTTTCCTAGGAAACGGACTGTTTAAACAAGTTTTGTTCAAAGAACATGGATTGCGGATTGCGGATTGCTCCTTGAGGCAGGACAGCTGCTGAGGAAATTCGCATAGGAATCGCTTTTGAAGACCACATCCTCTAATAGTTTAAAAACTCACTGTATCAAGGGATGATTGATGCCTGTGACTGAGCCTTGTGTGCACTCAGATTATATGCTTATCCAATCACTCACCTGTCAGATCGATCCGGAACACTGGCACATCCACGTATGTGCTGCTCATGTTCAGGCGCAGCTTCTTGGTCTTGGAGTCGTAGGCCTCCAGGAAGAACTGCTGCTGCAGTCCCCCATCGTAGCCGGGCATGCACTCCAGCTCCATAGTGGAGTAGATGATGTTGTCGTAATTATCAAAATTGATGGTGCCCCCACCGGACTGGCCATCGTGTGCGGCCGCTGCTCCAACTCCATCGCCACCCCCACCGCCTGCACCAACGCCCAGCAGGCTCTGCGTGACTACGCCATTGCTAAAGCTGTACTCCATGCGTGAATAGTCGAAATGCGGCTGCTGCCACTCGGCGGAGGCGGGTGGAGTGCTGGCCCTCGCCGGCATTGTGGTCACGCTTCTCGTTGGGGTTTTTGTTGTTGTTGTTGTTGTGTCGGAGGTGGAGAGGGCCACGCTGGCCACAAAGTCATCATCGCTAACGTTGTACATATCGTCGTCGATATCGATATCAGCATTGTCACCATCATCCTCAGCATCGACATTATCTTCGAGCGACTGCAGGTCCAGTTGCTGCTCCAGTGACAACATATCCTCATGCTCGACCGTCTCATACTCGGCCAAGTCGCTGGGCCCATCGGCCATGTACTCGGCATCCCTTTGCAGCTCGGCAACATCTTCATCCAGGTCTGCATCGTCATCATCCTCCGGCTCCACCTCCACCTCCACCTCTGCCTCAGCTTCAGCCTCGGCTTCTGTGTCTGCCTCATCATCATCATCATCATCGTCATCATCATCATCATTATTCTCATCCTCCTCGGCATTGTCTTCCGTCTTGGCAGGATCATTAGAGGCTGGCTTGTCTTTGACTTCTACCCGGACTCCTGTTGCTGTTGCTGCTGCTGCTGCTGCTTCTGCTGATGCCGTTGTTTCCTTTACATTGTTGCCGCTAATTGCTGCAGCCGCTGGCTTGTTGCTTATTTGCGGTGCATTTGGCGGCATCGACTGTTGCTGCTGCTGCTTGTTCACCCTGCTGCTGACATTGCTACTGCCAATGATGGCCAAAGATTTGCGTGCCCGTCTCATTGTGGGCATGTTGTCCTCGACTCCAACGCTGCTACTGCTACTGCTGCTGCTGCTGCTGCCTGTGCCCTCCCTTTCAGTTCCTATGGCGGCTGTGGCGGCGGCCCTTGTCGCAGCTGATTTTGTTGTAGCTGCCACTAAAGATGACGATGAAGATGAAGATGATGATGATGCTGCTTCTGCTGATGCTGATGTTGCTGCTGCTGCCACCGTTGCTAAGATGTCATTTGCTGCCTGCCGTTTTCCTCGCTTTGGCGTTGCATAATGATGGATTATATTGCTGTTGTGCTCGTTTACGCTTGCCCCCCGCCTTTGCTGCTGCTGCAGGAGCTCCAGCTCTTTCTTCTGTTTCTTCTGTTCGTGCATGTTTTTCTGTCGCTTATTAAAATACTTTGCTGGCAGTTTGCCATTGTCCCCATCCCTTGCAGCTGCAACTACTCCAGTCCGTTCTACATGTGACATTGATAAATTTGATTTTGCCGCCTGACTCTGGCTCGGCGGCATCTTCTGGCTTGTTGTTATTGATGCCCCGAGCCCAAGCTCAAGCCCGAGTCCGAGCCCGAGCTGGGTGCCGCCTGAATTCAGTTGTTTCTGTTGTCTCTTCTGTTGGCCTTGGCTACTGGCTCGTCGCGTGCGCTGCTTTGGCGACTTGGCCGGCAATCCATCAGCCTGTTTATCGTTGGCCAGTGCCTTGGACGACTTTCCAGTGTTCGCTCCTGGCGGCTGCTGTTGTTGCTGCTGCTGTTGCTTCCTCTGGCGCTGGCTCTCGATGGCTGCCAATGTCTGGGACGGTGTAAATGACGTTCGCTTTTTGAGGCGCTGCAATTGCTGTTGACTGAGGACATATCCCGCTGGCTGTGGCTGTGGCTGTGGCTGCGGCAGTGGCAGGGCCTGTGGTCGGGGTGGTGGCCGTGTCTGCTTATTATTAGATTTCATGTGGCCAGCATTTGTTTTGCCCTTCATATTTTTATTGGAAGCATTGTTCCGGTGGCCAGTGGCATTCTTGCCGCTGTTGTTGTTATGGCGCTCACGTACGTACTCCATATGCGGGTAATTCGACTCATGTCTGCCGTATTGTGTTTGCAACATTTGATTGGCATGCATTGTCGTCTGATTCGATGAATTCAGCGAGGCGGAGGTCACCACATACGGACGCAGCGTACAATTCCGTAATGCCCCCGGCTTGGCTGTGAGTTGATCGAATAAAATAAACACAAGTGGGATTATAAACATATTGCATATAATACGATACGAATGACAACACACATTTCTAAGAGCATACTGAATAAGCAATATAAAGCCGAGACTCACCTGCCGGCACCACCTGAAACAGACACGGGTCCGATTGCTTGCCAATAGCATTCCGGCCGTAACAGGCCAGCGTCCCGTAGTCCCGCTCACCCTTGGGTGTATAGATCAGTTCGCTGACCGTTTCCACTGTGCGAAAAGAACCAGGTAGCAAATGGAAAGTTGCAATTCAGTTTTGGGTATCTCAAATAAATGCCCGTTATTCCCGCATCCCCTTTTCTCTTTTCGGCCAAAGTTAAATGAAATAAGTTCTGCTTGCTTAGGCAGCTCAGTCAAGCCAACTGGGCCACAGCAGCAGATAATCCCATTTGCGATTATACTATGTACCAGTATGTGGCATGGTTTTGATAAAACTCTGCCCACACCAACACCGTACCACAGTCATTGTTCGGTCACACCTCTGGGCCAAGGTGGCTCTGCGAAATGTTAATTTCTAATGCCTGCTCAAGTGCAAGCACATGCAAATGCTTCTCCTCGCCTCGCCCTGGCCAGGACTACCCGTAATGCATACTTGTATGCATATGCATGGCCCTGGACTTGGACCCGGACCTGGACCTGGAGGTAGGCCAAAAACTATTCTAATACTAGACACCTACCATAGCTCTCGAAGTGCGTCTCGTTGGCCTCCACAATGGTGCGCCTCACATCGTTGGTGGTGGTCATGGTGGGGTCCTGTATGGTGGCATAATGTCCAGACGGCACCTCGAAATGCTCGCCGCTGCTTGAGAACGTCCATTCGAAGTCGATTTCGGGCGGATCTGAGTTGACGCGGCACGGTATGGGCACGGCCTCCTCCAGCGAGGCACCAATCACACTGATGCTGCTGCTGCTGCAGACGGGCGCATCTGTTGGAGACACAATTGAGAGATCGAATTCAGTCAGGGACGAGACAGGGAAGGAGAAGCGAACGAAATGCAAAATAATGAGCAGCTGCACTGGTACGAATGCCCGCATTTCTATATCGAGTAGTTATATTGGAAACATTGTGCCCGCCAGCCGAGAGGGGGGTGTCGGGTGTGGGGCGGCAGGGCCATGGCAAAGTGACAGCTCAAATTTTCAATTTAAACTAAACATCTGCCGTCCGTGTCCATGAGCAGGTGTAGGGGTTGTCCGAACAACTTTAAGCTTTAAGATGGAAATTCATGCAACAAAATGCCTCACAGATCCCCATCGTTTGCCCCACAATGTGGCATGACAGTGGTGAAAAGTTTTCCTAATAGCCCGAAGGGCATCCACAACTTGACTTATGATTTATTCAAAGTAAACTCATTTTCCGCTTTTGGTTACAAACGATTGAACTTGAAATTTTATGTCATACACGCGGCGTACTCAACATTTACCTGCCTCCTTCTTCTAATCTCCCACCTTTTCTGTGCCGCACACACATGCAAAAAAAGCAACAACTTTTCCGGAAACTTTTAAAACCTGCGCCAAGTGTGCGCCTCTCGTGCCTCGTACCCCTGCGGCAATGGAATGCTGCTATAAACAACCGCCAAGACAACACAACAGAAGACACAACAGAGTGCAACAACAACAAGAGCCACTCTAAGCACCTGGAGGCATTTATTACCAGAGCCGCAACACTTTTTGTTGCTTTTTATTAAAAATTATTCGAAAAGTTAGTGCGTGGCGTGTCACATGCGTAAGCGGGAAATCGTGTAACGTGTTTGTTTACAAATATTTGTACATCCCTGTCCCCCGCACGGAAGCCGCACGAGCACCCACTAGGCCGAAGTCTTTGATCAACAGTCGGGGGCACATTCTTTGAATGTTTGTAGCAAGTTAATTACTTTTGGCCAAAGGAGTTTGAGCTAAACGCCTTTCGAGGAAATTTTGAACAGTTTTAAATTGAATTTAGTTTGATAAAAAATGTCCTAAAACCGTTCCTCTATTAAACATAGCTTACTGATGTTCTGAGTGAGTGAAATTCTTTACGATCCAACTTATCATGGCACTAAACCCCATTAAAAATGAGCAGAAAAAAAATATGTATACCTATAAAATAAATGATTTAGTTTTTTATATGAAATAAATATATATTAATTGCTTTAGTTTTATCCCAAGAGCTTCGTTGTGGTGTGTTTTATGGGTGTTTTCGAACTAATTGAGTTAATCTTTATGAGCTTTTCCAATACGAATGTCATAAGCATAGACTGGGATGGAAGAATTACTCGTACGATTGTTACCACAGGAAGCACTCTGACATTGTTCTATCACGCGATCCCACGAGAAGCGTTTAATGGCATTATCAGACTGAATTTCTCGAATATTTTCAACTCAAGTTCAAGCCATTATTTGTATGAACTTTCGATGCATGCAAATTGCTGGACTCATGGTTCTGCCGCATAAGTACGCAATTTCGGATTATTATAAACATAATAAAGGATAAAGCTGCAGTGGATTGCCTGATTTTATGAGCTCTTAAAGTTGGATCTGCTCTGCAGTGAAGTGCTGGGTGTTGGCTAGAGCACTCTGTGAAATCACCGTGGTTGTCGGAATCGGAAAACGCACCAAGTTTATGTTTGTGCGTTTGTTTGCACTCATAAATTTTTTATAGCAGCGTCAATTTCACAATCGTAGAACGTCAATTTTAACGTTTGCTGATTAATTTCTGCCAAGATATCAGCCAACTGCTGGCTTCCATAAATCAATTTATCTCAATCATGCCCCACATAAAGAGGAGTGGCACCACCAACTTCCCCCATCCACCCAAGCCAACCACCAGAACACAATCCTCACTATCTCCTCCATATCCAATCAACCATCAATCCCTACACCCCACTCCACTCCACTCCACCCTCCACCCTCCACCCTCGACGGGTATGTAAATGTTTACGTGGCGTATGCGCGATGCTCGTGTAAATAGCCCACGTAGTATTTGCACAGCAGTCGGTGTGGTGTATCCTTATGCATTGTACTTGTATTTACTTTCAATTATCGTAATTATCAAAAAGGGTTACGTTACGGGTATTGGATAGTCGGTATTGGATGTATTCGGGTAACGGGTAACGGGTAACGAGTAACGGATAACGATAATGGCACGGCAGTGCAAACGTTTGCTGATGTCTTCGTTTTTCGTTTTTCTCTTTAACTGTTTTTCCCTTTTCCATTCATTCATTTTCGATTTCATATCCCTCCGTGCTGAGCCAGCAGGAAATGTCTGTTTTCGTCGAACTCTGCCCTGCCAGCTGTGGAGCTACTTATTTGAGTTGGAGCTCGAATCTCAATTCGATTTGGTCCCGCATCAATCCAGCGAGGCGCAAAAATCGGGGATAATTACATTCATTTTCGTGTGTGTGTCTGTGTTTTTTTTAGTTTAATAAACTATGTATAATGTTGTATTATGCTTAAATGGCATCAAAATATTCATTTGCCAGAGCAATTAATTAAATAATATTCCTTAACCTGCCTTGTTTGCATATGGAATGCAATGATTTTTTGCATTAAATATGCAAAATAAAAATTCAATTTTCCCACGAACATACACACATTTATGTATACAGATACAGGTGTGTCTCTTCACCTGACCTGCCGCATGTCCTGCACGTCCTGTCCGGTGCTGGGCTGCTCGCTTGCCTGACCTCACCCATAATTATAAATGGTTTAATAATGACTGTGAGTTTCAATAATAAAAGCAGATCATTCATTTTTATTACCCACCCTATGGCCTGGCCTGGCCTTGCCTGTCCTGGACGCCTCTTGCCTGACCCCCAGCTGACACGTTAAGTTCTGGGGCTAAACTTTTGCCCCCAATGGAACCGCTGGATGGATGGACGATGGGTGGCATACTTTATGAATACGTATGCATATTTATGCACAAACAAACACAAACACGAACACACACTCTCTCTCGTATCCACACTTACACTTACACTTACACACACATATTCATATTCGTATTTAAGCATCATTAATTATTTAGAAATACAGTCGGAAGTAAATGCTCTATAACGGTAATTGAGACATTTTCAATATGTGTACACAAAGGCTCCGAGCGGCATTTATCGTTTATAGTTCATTTATTTTTGTGTCGTCCGTTGTCCGTCGTCCGTCGTCCAGCGGTCGCTTTCAGTCCTGTCTGTCTGTTCAACAGTCCATCCACAAACTATAATTACATACACTTTTGGGCTCGAAAGTGTGAAAAAGCCCATATTGAAACCAGAGCCTGAACTCGACAATAGACAGTAAACGATACAATTAAATTATGTATCAATTGAGTTACCACTTATTTGATTAGGCAATATGGGCGTGTTATTAATATATGTTATTAAGATTGTTATGTCCAGATTCTCATAAAGTGTCTCTTTTTAGTCCATGAGAACTAGGACAGGTGCTTGCGGACACCCTCCGGATTTAAATTTAGCATGGAATGGCTGTAACATTATTCAAAGGTTTTATAAACCAACAAATGTTGAGTGCCATTTCCATTCTCTTTGCGGAAAAAAACAAAGAAATATTCTCATTTATTTAACATACGCGTTGAATGGATCAAGTTCGTAGAAACTTCATAATATCACATTTCACTGCATTCAATATACATACACACATATGTATGTACGCGTATGTACCTAGCACAATTTTTACACCCATTTTGCCATGAATATGAGAATTACCATTTCAAAGTGCATTTTGATGGAATAACCAAATTACAAAAGTGCTACCAAATAAATGGACGTCGTCGCATTACATGAAAACAATACTAGTGGGTGCTGGCTGTCTAAGGCTCAGGCCAGCAAATAGCCGAAACACCCTCAAGTGCATTGATATATTATTATATTATATTCGAAACTGCACGGCACTATGGAAGCCAAACCTTTTATTTAATATTGGTTATATGGGATGAGGAAGTGGGTATGGGATATGGGATAATAGACTTTGCTTTTACGATTGAAAAATTGTAAATTTCTATCTAAAGTTGAAGCCCTTGCTGGCTGCCCTTATCTAAAATGTTACTCCTGCATAGAAAAGTCAAATATGTATTATATATGTACATTTTAAACGCATTTAAACATATTCGAAACTTGGTAGATCACTTTTCATATATATTCATAAACAGAGGACAGAAGATAACACTAATCGGATAGAACTCCTTTGTAGAAAATGAAACGTGGACATGATTCTGGTCAAGTGAGTGCAGGCCCTCTCATAAAGGGTATCCCAGAACTGTGGCCGGCTGTCGGCCCCAATGGAGAATTAGAATTAAAATATTTACGTGCATTGATGTATTGTTTAACCGATGTAAAAATTTGTGAAGCTTGGTCATTTGTTTGATAAAATATCAACTCAAAAAGCAGCAGCCACATACGAGTATATTGTGTACGGGAATATGTACACGCATGACAGCAAAATCAGACCATGCAGCCCCTCTGCAGTGTGCATATTACGGATTTTTGCACAAAATATTCTCTGTCATTTTGGCATACTTTAGTTTTTGGTCATTGTTGCTGTCCATCCTTTGTGTGTGAGTGGTAACAGGCCAGGGGACGGCCGGTGGCGGCGCGATTTTGTCAAGTGCACTGCCGCTGCTGTTATTATTGTGGCAAGCATTTCTCTCTAGTGGGCGTGGGCGTGGGCGTGGGTGAGCCCCAGTCCATTGTCGAGCGTGCGAGCGAGCGGAGAATGGATGTGTAAATGTGGCTATGTGCATGTCTATTTGTGCATAAATTTATGCATATATATTTTTAATGCTCCGCTCGACTGACATCAACTGTCAGCATAATTTTTGGACAATTTTTTGGTTTTCCATTACAATAGTGTTTGTTGGAAATTTTCAGTAAAATTATTGAATATTATTTAAAAATGTTACTAGGGGATATGGGTACTCACAGCGTATCCTCAAACTGACTGGAGCCGACTGCGTCTCACCGCGATCGTTGGCCGCCGAGCAGGCGTAAAAGCCCGAGTGGACGCGTCCCACTCGCTGCAGCACCAAGGAGCGTGTGGATATGATGATGCCCCACGAGACATTCTGGGTGACCGGTTGGCCCTGTAACGAGATTAAGAGGGAGCGCTGATTAATTGCACCTGGCTCTGGCGGTGGCGGTGGCGGGGGCGGGGGCGGGGTCAGGGGCAAGAACCTACGTCATGCGACCACATGATGCGATGCTCCTTGGGATTGGACTTGATGTGGCACTCGAAATAGACGTCGTCGCCTTCCTTGATGTCGTCCGGACGCAGCGTTGAGCCCAGCGACAAGGTGACCTGCGGCGGATCTGCAATGCAGTGAAATGGGAACTTGTTAATAGTTAAGCTCACTTCTTAATTGCTTTTGCTAATATGGAAATTTAGGTTTTATCCTGTGCACTTTATATTCAAATTGCCGCGCTGCCTGTGCAGCCGTGCGACGAGCGACGAGCGCCCGCTGCTCTGATATAAAATATAAAATCGAAAAATATTATTGCATAATAAAAAGCTGAAATGTATGTACCGCCCACCGTTCGTTCCTTGTCGTTCGCCGCACCGAAATCCATAAAAGTTAACAACGGAACGACGGAACCGCGTTATAAACCCCAGTCCCAGCCACAGCACAGCCCCGTCCTGATTCTGATCCGACTACAAACAGGCTACAGGATAACCAATGAGTATGACAAAAATTTTTAAATTAAAATCGTTCCGTTGCTGCGAGCGTCGCCCCAATATCAATGATGGATCATATAAAATATTTAGTACTGTCTCATTCTCTGTTCTTTTTTATTTTTACAACATCATGATTGCGTGCCGAAGGTGGCAGCTACCAAATTGTAACTGTTTTGCAGAAGGGAAATGTCTGCGGAAGGGTTATGAAAAGGGTCTGAAGGAGTAGAAGGTAGTAGGAAACTGTAAAACAGTTGATTTTACGTAGTTGATAGAAATCGAAGTTCTCTTTCCGCTGAAAGACAGGCTTAAGATACAAACTTGTCTCCTTTAAGGTAAAGTTTATTTTTCTTCAAAGTTGGAGCCTCTATGCTCTATGCTATTCATTATTTATGGCTTTATTTAGCATACATTGCTGGGGGATCCATGTGTGACTTTAAAATTCAATAAATTTATGATTATCTAAAAAACACAAGGACGAAAAAACAAAGCGAAACTTCAGAATAAACTAGCCAAAGGGTCTGCTCTTTTTCCTGCCCGTTTTGACCCCATACATAGTTAAAGGGAACAGCAGGAAAAATTGCTTCAGTTGCGATTGCTGGTGATTTTAAATTGATAATCAAATAAAGTAAAATTTATGACATTTCGACGGCGTTGGAGGGGTCGCAAATATACGAAGCGAAGCAAAGCAGGCAACAAATTTTCCGGCAGCTTTTTTATGGCCACGCTAAAAGTCAACGAAATAAATATTGACATACGAGAATGAACGAACGGCAGCAGCCATACAGGACCATAGCTATAGCCTGGAGAAAAAAGAAATATTCGAGTATGTAAATAATGCCCTATAATTTAGACTTATTTGCACAAGCGACTTTGATTTGTGCGCTCGCTGCATTTATGAAAATTCTAATCGATTTTATAGAGTATATGGCTGATGGTTTATGGTTTATGCATTCGGTCTACTTACAAATGACATTCATCATGAGCGAGTCCTCGATGGCTGAGTTCTGCAGGCGTGGATTGGAGCCCTCGCACTTGAGCATCGTGCCGTCGTCCTCAGGTTGTGGATGAAATGTCAATGTGGATATAACTCGTCCATTGCCCTGGCTCGTTGACAGCTGCGAAGGAAGGAGAGCACCCAGAAAAAGATAAAGTGAAATCGATTAGAAAAGTGCCCGCTGGCTGTACACCGCAGGTCCCCCACACTCCTCTGACCATGACGGAGGAAATTCATAAATAAGGCAACATGGCCCGACACCTGGGCGTCAGGGAGGTGAATGTGGAGGTGGAGGTGGCTGGGCATTGAGATTAAGTTCGATTTTGGCCTCAGCCTCAGCTTGTGCAGAGAGAGAGAGCTTACCATGCCACGTTTGAAGGGCCGATTATTCTGTGTCCATCTGATTTCCGTGTCCGGCACCGAGCCCGCCACAATGCAGGTGAGATTGTATTGCGTGCTCGAGGAGAAGACCTTTAACTTATTGGTTAAATTGACTGATGTGGGTTTGACTGCGGAATATATAGTATGATATGCGCGCGGGTGTGCGTGTGGGTGGGGGGGTTTAAAGAGATTAGCTTCTGCTGCTGGGAATATTGACTTGCCACAAGCTACTCACGTAACATTTCGATGCGTATGCTGCGCTCCACGGGTGCCACCAGCTTCGTGTTGGATGCCTGACAGCGATACGTGTTGTTCAGGGCGGAGCGCGAGATTTGGTGTACCTCCAGTCGATTGACAGTCACATGCCGGCCCATCGAGACCCCGCTGCCAGCCTCCAAAGTCCGTGTGCCGTTCAGCCATGTGACAGTAGGTTCTGGGCGACCTGTTGCCCGTCATCGGATAGAATGGATAGAAGAGTCGCATTAACATCGAGGCACTAGCCTTTTCATTTCCAATTCAAATTTAAATTAATGTTTAATGTATAAATTAATTTTAAATTTCTGAGCACTGTTCTTTCGGCAACAAAACTTTTCCACTCATGCATTATTAACCCGCCCGCCTAGCGAGAGTTTTCCAAGGGGCTTATGGGGGCATGGATGGAACTCTAACGGAAGCGGCGTGACCACAGCGCCGCGTTCGAAAATTTATGACCGAAAAAAAGAAAGAAACTTTCAACATTTTAATGATAATGCGCATTTAGCAGTGTGTACCCAAGGCTTTTAAAAAAGGCTTAGCCAGCTTAACTAGCAAAGTTCGGGGGCGTCGGCCGGGACGGGACGCGACGGGACGAATGGATGGATGGATGGTCATGGTCCTGTAGGTGGTGGCCATGGGTAGGGAGTGGAGGGTGAGGGTTGCCAGCCGAACGCATAAGCGTGAATATTGAATTAGTGGGAGGGAAAAGAGGGTAAAGTTTGTTTGGGGACATGCTGATGACCCCTAAATGGAAAACAATTCGGACAGAAAAGAGAGGATGGAAAAGTGTATACAAAGATGTGCATATATTTATTGCTATGTTCTCTATCTTTAATATATCAAAAAGAGTTACATGGCCAACTGGAAAGAGCGATATTACTCATGATTAGGTAAAGCCTATCCATTAGGCTCTGAATGACTGAAGAATCATCTAAATTATATGTGATAATGAATTTTTTTTTAAATACTTAGGGTATATATACACACACGAGTATGTATAAAGTTGTGTGGGCTTTTGGACCCGCCAGTGATGGAATATCGATTTCCGTTGCAGCAGCCCTCTTGATGCTCTCGCTGCAATTGTTCAACGGTGCGCCCTCTCGGCATTTTCAATTGAAATTCTGCAATCATTTGTTCGCTTTGCTGGCACCGCTCAGTGCTCAATGCTCACTCCGAGTGACTGAGCGAGCGAGTGGCTGGCTGGCTGTCTGGCTGGCTGGAGGGAAGGCATTTCACTCGCTCACATATCAAATGTACGAAAATATTTTTAATCCGTTTAAGTGCCCAAAGCGGTTGGTTGGCTCGAGGGCTGCTGCTGCTGCTGCTGCCTTCGTGGCCATTAAGTGAGCCAAGTGAATGTGGCGGAAATGAGCAACAATAGCAACAAGCAGCTGAGGCAGCAACGAGTGGCACTGGGACTAGGATTGGGATTGGGATTGGCTATGGTCTATGAAGTTGGGGGAGGGCCAAAGTAGCTGATAGCTGAGTGTGGACTTGGGAATTTACTGCCATGGCTAAGCTGGGGCTCCCTTCTTCTCCTGCTCCTTCTCCATCCGGCCAGCCAAGCTCAAATGCTTGCTGATTGCAAAGGATACTCGGCGACGGCGACGGCGACAATAAGCCAACAAGGACGCACGCACACACACACACGACGGCAAACCGAAATGTCGAGCAGGATGGGAATGCAGGGATAATAGACAAATAACAGTTTCCCTGCGGCATTTAGCTGCCTTTCCCCTGTCTTGGCCTTTTCCTTTCATTCGATGGCCCCACCCCCATCCCTCTCCGGCATCCTTTGTGTAATGAAGACAGCGCGCGTTGCCATTTGCTAAGCCATACTTACGCTTGTTGACAATTGCTTGCCCCAATGGCCGGACAATGCCACTGTGCTCGGGAGCATAATATGCAAAGGACAGTCGGCAGGACACTGGACTGGACACAATGGATAAACCGGGCGGGTCTTTTATGGCGGAATGCTTAGATTAGCTTTTTATTGCCGGTATTAATTGCTATTAGTCGAAGTTAATAAAGTTGATAAAGCAATTTGGCATTTGGCGTTTATTGGGGCCCTGGCTATGATTAGTGGGGGGCGCCCATAAAAATACGCGTCAGGATTTGCATTAACTTTAATCAGAAATCGACCCCAGCCGCACACCCTCTGCCGCCGTCAGAGGACTCTGAGGCCTCTGCCACTCGGTCGACTCGACACCATGTGGCGCTGAAATTGTGATATTAGTTAATTTGGCGCTGAGCCCAGCAGCGGTGTTGCCGTCTGCACGAGCACAAAATGAAATATGAGCCTGCATTGCGGTCTTCCAAGGAGCTAAGGTAGCCGAATGGTTGTGCCAGTACCACAGGAGAGAGAATGGTGCATACAAATCCGTGGCGGAGCTACAGCTACGGCGGGTACCACCTGCCATGATGCGTGTCGCTCAGCAGGTGTCAAAAGCGAATGTTGTCGACATCATCCCCCATGCACCGTGCTCCATGCCCCCCTGTTGGGAGCTCGAACCAGCTCGAACAACTGCCATCTGGCTCATTCACATGCGGTTAGTCAAAGCAGCGACGTGACGCACTGCCAAACCAAACCAATGCGAGCGAATCACCAAGCAAATGCCAAGGCAGCGGCAGCAGAAGGCAGCCAAAGTCGAATCCTTTGCTGGAGAAATGGTGCACGTAAACAGAAACAGTAGTTGCACCATCACCAGCATCAGCATCAGCACCAGCACACAGGTGCCAGTTAGCCTTCGCCAGCTGTCATTCGAGAGATGAGGAGAACAATCAGACCAGGAGAAGCAGCTCCAATTTGCCAAGTGCAAGTATCACAAAGGATCGATGGATTGTTGGATAGGCCAGGCAAATATTCGACTCTTACAAGGAGACTGTTTAAGCTTTAAAGCATTTCCAAAGGGCCTCTTTAAGTGTTCTCCAAATAAACTTTTAAGGAGGAAACAGTTCAATGAACTGTACCTAGGGTCTGTCGGAAATAATCAGCTAAGTCCACTATGAAAAGGACTTATAAACTTTCCAGAGCATACCATCCAGCTGCAATCTCCGTTTTAAAGCTTTGTGCTGAACCCATTTAGTTTGGCCAAAAGAAGAAAAATTGCCATGAAATCGAGTTGCTAGTTGACATGGAAAATGTCTGGGGTGCATGCCAAAATATTGTTGTCACAAAGTTAATGATTTATAATGGTCGTGTCGGGGCATGGGATTCGTCGCAGTTCGGTTCGGTCGGTTCGGTTCAGTCAGGCGAGGAGACCCCCTTAGGCTATCCCAGTCATCCAGCCAAGCGAGTAACTTGTACAAAATTTTTCACACTTGCCAGCCAGGAAAAGGGAAAATCGGAAAAGAAAGTAAAAAGTTTAGACGATGCGGTCGCTTTTGATGGAGATGGTTCTGCTGCTGCCCTCACCTTGGTGACCTCTTTAAAGATTTACGATGCCGCATATGCCTACAGGTCATAGCTGGCCAATGGATGCCGTGCACAACAAAAAAGCCCAGACACACTAAAAATTGTTGCATTTTCTTCAAGCAAAGTGGCAATGACAGCAGCCAGAGCCACAGCCACAGCCACAGCCCCAACACCATGCCGCAGCAACAGCATCAGTGCCAGTGCCAGTGCCAGTGCCAGTGGCATACGACGTAGACGGAGGAGTCGTTCTGTCTGTGCGCCGGCAATGTCACCGCAGACTTTGACATACATTTATTTTTATTATTTACGATGACTTAGGCTGCATGTGCCAACCCCACCCCCACCGCCACCACCGGGTGTGGGGGGCCACAGTCAGGGACAGACAGGGGCCGCAGCCGGGCCTATCTAGAGCTTTTCATCTTTAATTCTTTAAATAGACTGGCAGGGTCGAGTGGAATGGATGGAACTGAGACTGAAACAGTTGCGTTTTTGTGCTGGCCCTGCTTGATAGCCTTTTGTCTGAGTGCCACATTTATGTGGTTGCCACTACGTGTGTGTTGGTCTTTCTGTGCGTGTGTGTGTGTGTGTGAGAGAGAGAGAGAGAGAGAGAGAGTGCGCTGGTGTCGTTTATCATGATTTACTTACCGCCACGCACTTCACATGTCAACACAATATTATCGCCCTCGAGCAACGGACCCACAGCGCCGGCAACATCGCGACCCGAGGCATCGTACACGAGTATTTGATGCGGAGGAACTGCAGGGGAGAAAATAACAGAGCAGAGCAGAAGAACAGACACATCCGTTTCGTTACAGGAGAGATTGGCACAAGGAGACAGAGCTGGCTTTAATGACAGTGCACTGTCTTATATGGGGAGAGATGTTTTTCTCTCTTACTCACCAATAACCGTTAAGTTAATTCTATGATTGCGCGTGGGTGAGTTCTGAAAGTCGACGCGACAGCGGTAAACCTGTTGACAGAGCCGAAAAACCCAATAAAAAATACACAATAAATGTAACACACTTCGGGGCGCCTTCCGCCCTACTTACGCCCTCGTCATCCAGCTGTATATTGTCCACAGATAACTTGGCCGGCTGCTGTCCGGTAACGAAATACGCACGTGGCCCAAATGAGTTGGTGTCCGACCAGTAGAGGGCCTTCTCAAACGGCCGCCCACGCACATCAAAGCTGCAAAAGGGACAAGAGAAAGAGAAACGTTTCCATCACATAAATGTTAAAAGTTGCCTAAGTAGTTCTCGTTTTTGGTATCTCCATCTCTGGGTGGGGCGCGGTGGGGGGACCGGAAAATGCAAAGAGAGACGTAAGTGAGGGAAAATAAGGCCAAAAATATTGACGATAAGTTGTGTCACCAACGGGATCCCAAATCATTTCTGATGTCGCCGCGTAGCTACGCGTAGGTCGTAAATTTTAATGCGTTGCGGTGTGGCAGTGTGGCAGTGGCAGGGAGACCAGACCTTATGTTTTGAGCATAAGAAATGGCTTTTCCTCGTTCAAGAAGCATTTTTCAGTTCAATGTTTTCATGCGGTGTACCGAAGGCCACCCTACCCCATCGAATATTATTCTTTTGGCTAGCCAAGTAATATTTAAAGCTGGCGGAATTCATTGTACAAGGAATACATTTTCATGCACATGGAAATAATCTTTTTTTTATTTCTGTGTAAAACGATTAAACTGCAGGGTATCTAAAGATGCACCCGAAGCCATTTTGCTCTTATTAAATATGCTACAGGCTTACTTCTACAGGCAATATTTGGGAATATCGGTCAAGAAAATGACTCACTTGAATGCAGACGCTAAAGGTAAGTCTAAGTACATTTCAAATTATCCCTTAAAGCACTTAATGCAATTTTTAGAAATGGGAAAGTTAGTTAGAACACCTGTCTAAGACGTTTGCCATACGTTTTTTAAGGTCTCAGGGGCGGGAGTCTAAAACATCCGATTTGATTGCTTAATACTTACAGAGGCTGACAGGCTTGCCTGTCTTACGGGTATTCTTAGACACTTATAAACTGTAGGTTAAAGGCCCAACAAGGCTACTAAACAAGCCCGGAAACTTATGAAGCCTCCAGCTACATTTATTTCTTAGCCAAACCATAAATATGCGATAGAAAATGGCTGGGGGGCTGGAAAAAATCCGCTCAAAAGTAGCAAATGTCTTGGGCCTGAAATTTCACGCGTCTACAAAATGACCCTTTTCCTGTCCTGCCCGCTGACCCTAGCGCTGGCCCGTGCCGGAGTAAAGAGTCAAGGGGCAGCAGAGGTGGCAGAGCCAACCCCGAGCATAAATTTGCACGCAACTAATTTCTTCCGTTTCGCATTATTTTCGCAGCCCGGCCACGGCATGGCAACGTTTGCAATTTTGCGCATTAAAAAGCCTGACGTGCTATCTTTGGCGCTTTTATTGTATTTGTTAATGTCCGTCTGAGGACTGCTACCCCCCCGGCGACACGCCGTAAATGACTTGGCGGTGGCCAAAGGGGGCCAGCCCCCCTTCTATGCCACACCACAACGTCTTTGCACAGTCATCGCAAGCAAGTTGTGTCCTTTTGTTGTTTCCGCTGTCGTCGTGCAGTCTGTGTGCTATCTGTGGGTCGGTCTGTTCTGCTCTGTTCTGGTGTGTCCTGTTTTGGGGGGGACCAGCCCAACCCCAGCCGGCTTCGGCCTCTCTCTTGCGGTTAGTCGAGCGGTTTGTCATTGTGCCGGCTGGCACTGCCTGCCTGCCTGGGCTGCCAGGGCTGCCTGGAGGCCGTATTGTTTGCGCCTTTAAGTGGTTTTTTATCATTTTGCCGCTGACACAATTTATATCCGGTGCTCATATTTCTTCTGCTTATCACTGGGCTCCCTTCCCGCTTGCCCCCCGCTCAACCAAACGGGCCCTGTCATGTGTTTTGGGCCCCAATCCCTCCAATTGTGTTCAAAGTGCAGTAAACCATGCGGCGAATAAATTACGCGTTCTAAGCCTTGCTTAAGCCATGCCCGGCGCCAAGGCACGTCCTCTAATTAGCCTAATTAAATATATGCTCGAAAATGAATACACAGCAATGGAACAGAGTACTTGCCACCACCTCAACGCGACTCCTACTCAAAAGGACTTCTTGAAATTTAAAAACAAAATTCCTTTTGAGAGCTGCGCTACTGTCCCTTTCGTTCGCTTTTAATTTTGCGCATTTGCAAACAATGGCGGAACGCCGTGCAGTCAACAATGGCGCCGAGCAGCGAGCAGCAGCAACAGCAGCAGCGAGCAGCGAGCAGCGATAAGGAAAGGTGGCCGGGAGTTGTCTTGGCGGGGCTGATTGGTGGGCTGTTTCGTCCTGCTTCTGGTCTTAGCCTAGCTTGCCCTCTGTTGACGTTGTGTTCTCCCGTTGTTGGCCTTAGGAAACAATAATGCCAAGTTTGCACAAAGAAGGGAAAAAGAGACACGGCAGCAGCACAGGGAGAAACCCCGAGAACAAAACAAAAAAATAAACGCCAAATGCTCGAGCAGTAAAAATTGTAAAGCAGAAAAAGAAACAGCAAGCGAGAGCAGGCAAGGACCAAAATAAAATGGGCCAAGCCAGGAAAAGGAGACAACATTGTGGCAGTTGCAGAAATGTTAACTGTCGTCCTGCTGGACGAGACAAGAGGATAAGAAAAGGATCCGCTCGCAGCAGTCCAGGGGACAAGTGGACGAAACCACGCGACGTCCGTTTGAGGAGTTTGCTTTGGGTCTTATTCATTCTCTCGTTCTTGTCTTTTGTCTATGGCGCGCTCTTACGCCTTCTCTTCCTCTCTCCTGTCCACACTCACACTCACGCTCGCTTTTTTCTTGCTTTTTTCCAACAATTAGTCGAGTTTTATTTATTTTGCGTTAATTGGTAGCACTTTATCTTCTGGCTGAATGAATGAGCTGTGCTCTTTAAACAAATCCCGGAGCGGACCTTGAACTGGTCATTGAATGGGTTTGGCAATTACGTTTTGGTTTTTTCCAGTGGCTTTGGCCAGAAACTTTCCTCCTAAATCCCCTACACCTCTCCCACAAGTCCCCCTTCCTCATTTGTTTTCCTGGGGAGGGAGCCCGACCGACCTCCGACCTCCGACCTGCGGCACCGCCCCGAAATCCAATATCAAAGCAAGCTTCTCATATTGCCATTTAATGTTTTTCTTTTTTGTTCGTTCTTCAGTTTGTAACGCTTACAAAATCCTATTCAAAAAGATTGCAAAAGGGCTAAGCGGGACAGGGACAGGGATGGAACAGAGACAGGGGCAGGGACAAGGACAGAGCTCGCCAGAAAAAGGACGAAAAACTTTTGCACTCACAATATCCATTGAATAATTTTATGACAATATGTGTCAGAGCGTGTCGGTGTGCCGCTATGCCCGCCCGTACGATATGTGTACGTGTGCGTGCGTGTGAGCAGCTCTGTCGGTATTTTCTGACAGTTTAAACAGATGCTGCTGTCGTGGGAATATTGTGGGGGGGACATGGGTCTTGCAAATATCTTATATCCCTTACTCGACCGTCCAGAGGACTGGTTAAAAAAGGCGTGTAAGGAAGAACAGGAAATGCAAGTCTCTGCAAGAAGTAAGGGCTTACAATGAGTTACATCCAAATTCTTTCTTCTTGATTCTCTGCAAATATGTCACATATTTTCCAAAAGGGGAGACAGGTAGGAATTGCACAAAAGTAAGTACAGGTAATTCTTCAATTCCATAAAATAAATACAAAAATGTCGACGATTTTTCTATAAAATGTGCCATCTAACGGGCGTCTCAAGAAAGCATATAAGTAGATCTACGAGTATTTTGTGTGAATGGCCAAATTGCCAGTCACGCGTAAACGTGAAAAGATAAACTTCAGGTCAACCATTTTTGCTTTTGCGAATAAAAATGTTATTCGAATATTCGAGGATTATATGTATTCGATGCAACTGTAATACAACCTTTTATTCCGCTACTACAGGGTATAACCAGCGTTTGGCTTCCCATAAGGGAAGCGCATGACAACGGGCAATAAACTATGGGGGCATGCGGGTCGCCTGTGCCACACACTCTTCACATGGGGAGTGGTGGGGGGCCTATGAACGTCCAAAATTAGACAGGTGAGAATAGGCTCTCGCATATTCGTATATTGTCTGGTGGCCCGTATAAAATTATGCATAAAGAACCCTACCACAAGGCAGAAGAGAAGCGGCAGCAGCAATTTCATCGCCAAAGCGCCAAAAAGTATGTTTCGTAACTCGACAAAAGTGGCAACAAATTTAAAATTGGTTTCCACACTCCCAAAACACACACACACACACCCACACACGTGCAAACAAAAGAAACACAGCACCGAGAGAAATATGAAACAACAATAACACCGAAAAAGGGGCTGTTTACACGCCCCCATATACGCGGGCACTAAGGGAAACAGACAAAAGTATGCAAATGGTTTTACTGCCCTATTGTTTTTCCTGTTTTTCTTCTTTTTTTTTGGTTTTCCTTATTTTTTTTGTTTTCTGTTTTGTTTTTTCCTGATGCCCAGTTCTTCCTTTGTGTGTGTGTGTGTGTGTGTGTGTGTATTGGTGCTATTATGGAGCCATGCTGTGTAATATCTGTAAATTTCTTTTGTTATTGCCAACAACAGTTTTTCTCCCCCCACCAGCACTCCAGCATCACCCCTCTCCTCTCCTTACCACTCCCAATTTCCCATCCCCACAGAGCCGTGTTGACATTTGTTGGCATCATTCCACACATTGTTGCCGCTGGTGTTGGTTTTTGTTTGGTTTTCGCCTCATCTTCTCCTTAACTTTTACTATATAATTTGTAGCATATGAATATATGAAAGCTTCCAAATAAAAGGAGACAAAAAATTGCGAGCTGATGAAAACAAAGACCGTAAACATCGCCATCGCCGTCGTCGTCGAGCTTGGTGGCCAAGTTCAAATTTATGCAGTGTCGCCCAATAAATTCCGCAATAAATTCAAAATAAAACTTTCATCTTGGGTTTGCCTATTCCGTAGCTGGTTTTTGTCAGACGTGCCCCCAGGTTGGGTTTCTTTTCGGAACGAACCCTATCTCTAGTCGTGATCTGAATTAAGAGTCAAATAAAGCAGAGAAAAACTGAGCATCGGATTATTTTCTCTTGGCCCGTAAGCAAGACTCCCCACATGATGTTCTATGGGAATGAAAGGTTTGATTATCACGATAATTCTTTGAAAGAAGATTGAAACATTCTAAAGAAAAGTGATAGATATAACAGTTTGATGCATTTCTTTGAGAAGTTTCTCGGATAAAACTCAAACCGATTTTGTAACTTTTAAATCATCCAACCACTCGGGCAATTTCCAATTAGAAACGAATTCTTCGTTTTCCAATTACCAAATCGAAGTCATTAAAAGTTGACCAGCACAAAAGAGAATTTTCGGTAATCTCTCTGTCGCCTTTGAATGCACAATCAGTGCAAAGATTCGGGCTTCGGACGGAACGTTCCACCATTTCCGGGGGTGGGGTGACCAAGTGGAGAGGTGACAAAGAAAATCCCGACATTGGCATTTCTCAGTCCCCAGTGCTGGGATGTGGTAATGGCAATGCAAACCAAAGTTTAGTGGCGGCAAAATCGATTTGCATGCGCCGCTTGCATTTCCGTTTTCACACACGCACCTATACACTCGCAATCGCTCTCACACACACTACATATATACACATATACAATTGCAACTTAATTACAGTTTTAAATATCCCATCTAACCTGAAATTTGCGCAAAGTGCGCACAGTTGCCGTGGATGACGCCGCTTGCCGCTCGTAAAATGCCCCGAAAATGCACTCGACTTAATTGCCTTTGGCTCGACTTTTGGTTTTCCCTTCGAAACTCCACCCCTGAGATCCTCTGCTCCTCTCTGCTAGTGTACCTCTCACCGTGATTCCACTGCGCCATCTTCAGCTCATTCGGCCTCTGAGCTCCCTTCCGTCTGCGTTGGCCTTTATTGCCAGCCATTTTGAATACCATTTTGTGGTTTATTACTTTTGTGGCAGAGCGATTCCGATTCTCAAGTAGCACTGCGGCATGCCACATACAAACTCAAGCGCACACACACACGACTCTACCTGTCTGAAGTGAATGCACTTTTGATGCCGTATTCCATCCCGGGTGTGGAGTCGCAGTCCGTATTTATGGGCAGTGGCACTGCTGCCGATTATGGCAGTTAGCGTGGCACACGGATTATCCAGCTTTTGACAGCCAGTTCTCTCAGCACCACCTCGGTAAAATTCTGTTTCGTCCGGACGAGACCAGACCAGTCCAGACCAGACCGGACCTATCCAATCCAGCAACACCGAGCACCGAGTCCGTGCTCGCAGCGAATTTCATTATTCATGCCTCCTCGCAGCCTACGGGCAGCAGCCAACCAGCTGTAGGTGAGCTTTAAAAATCAATTAACCTTGATTGTGGCCCAGGCTTAAAGCCCATTGTAACCATTCAATATTTAAACAGGGTGGTTGTGGGTATACTCGTGAGTCATTCAACATTTGCCTAGACTTCTGCTGACAATGGGTTTTTTTAAGTGCATCATCGTACAGGGTATTCCTTAGTCATTAGACATGTTCTGATTGTAGTGCTCTTATTTGTTTTTTGTATTGATTCTCCCATTGCTGTTGGCATTTCCGCTTGCCTTTTGTTTATTATGTAGGCTTTGCGGGAGAGTGGGAGTGGGGCGGACGTGGTGCTACGGTTGCCATTGCCATTGATGGCTTGCAATATTGAACGTGACAGTTGGCCTGTCGACCCAGAGAGAGCTCTCACGCCCTCTCCTCGTTACAGGTGGCTGTCATGGCAAATGTTAATTTTAATAATGGAAGGGCAGCCGACCCGAGCAACCAACCCCTGCTCCCTTTGTCTTTATATCGCTCACGATTCATAACAAATAAATATATAAAAATCTTATGAAAATCGCATTTCAAAGGTCAAAGTCAGTGGAAACGAATCCCAGCGAGAAATCCGAGCCCAGTCATAAAAATGAACCCGAAAATCCGAAAACCCGAAATAGCCTAAACCCTAACAACAACTGTCTGTCTGTCTGCCTGAGCCGCCTTTGTCCGAGAGCAACCAACAACAAAGCAAAAGTTAACATTATAATTTTTAATATTTTTGCTTTTAGCCTCCTGGGCAGGACATCATTTTTGTTTCTTTTTTTTTTGTTTTTGGGCCAGACCAATTCTCCAGTTCACTCTTTGTGGCTGGGTGTAAAGCTGTCAAATGCATGGCAGGGCTCCTAGAAAGGGCTTTTCCATGGGTGACTCTGTGTGTGTTTTTGTGTCGGTACGTGGTAGGTGAGGCTGCCAGCTGTGACGTGCCTTTGGAAACGTAGCAAAGCTTCTTCCACAGCTACACAGTCGAAAAGGATATTCACATACGAGCATCCCAACCATGGCAAACCTTGAGGGATCCCCTCTTTTTTCGCCTCTCACATGCTGCTTTCAATTTCAGCGCCTTTTCGGTTTTAGCTTTTGGTTTTGATTCTTTTCTAAGCCCCGTTTCTGCCCTACCCTGTCCCCATCCCATTCCTATACTGCCTTCGATTTCACGCAGCGCTGGCAATTTTATGCCGCAGCCAAAGTCCCCCGGGCCCCGACTCTCTTTCATATCCTCCTGCGCCCGACCACCCGCCTGTAGTTTAGCTGTCTCTTCGACTTGTACAGCTGCTGCTGCTGTTGGTGTTGGTGTTGCTGTTGTTTTCGCTCTTCTTATTTATTTGTTTAAATTTTCCTGTTTGCTGGAAGGGAAATCGAATTCGAATCACTTTCGGATATTTTTGGTTATAAAGTCGGAAATATTTGCGACATTATTGTTTTCGACATTTTTCTAGTTGTTCTGTTTTTGTTGTGTTCATTTTTTTTTGTTTGTAGAGAAACATTTACCTCCTGCTCTTCTTTCGTTCCGGATTTTCCGCATCCTTTTCTCTTTTGTGTGTGTGTCTGTTTCTGTAGCACTGAAATTTATTGCTTCCAATCGAGTGCACGAAATAGCAACAACAATAAGAGGCAGGATCTGGAGTAACAGCAGTATGACCAGGAGCAGCAACAGCTCGTGAACAGTTCGCGCTCGCCCTTGATATACACGTGCGTCCGTGTCCGTGTCCGTGTCCATGTCGCTGTCTTTGTCCCTGTCTTTGTCTCTGTCCCTATTTCTGTCTGTTTCCCTGTGAATGTGTGTGTGTGTCCACCCGCACATCCAAGCCCGCTGGTAACATATTGAAAAGGAAGCACATGTAAGCAAAATTGACAAGGCTAAAGGATATCGATGTCTGCTTATAATGTGCAACATATTAGACCTAAGCACACGTTCGCAGACTTCGCTCTATAAATAACAGCAGCAGCAGGAGGAGCTGCGGTAGGAGAAGGCCTCGCAGGACTCTCCCATAATCAAAGTTGCCGCCAAAACAGTTTTCACTTTGGATGCCATTATTTTGCTGCCCTGCCCTCCACCTCCACCTCCACCTACTCCTGCTCCTTTCCCTGCTCCTGCTCCTGCTCTTGCCACGGATGTCCTTTGCTTGGGGCCCTGTGGCTAATATATGAGTCCATGTCGCCCTGTTTGGCCTGGCATGGCATGCCGTTGCTTTTGTTTTGCTTTGACCCAGGCCCGAACCCCCCAGTGCTGGCCCGGGACTAGGACTAGGCATATGAGGCCAGCAGTAGACTCGAGTCGAGTTGAGTTGATATTGATGATGTTATTAAAATAATAAATTATTTGAAAATTATGAACTGCTGCCATTTCTCATGATGCTGTCGGGGCTCAATGAGGAGGTGGAGCAGCGCGCGTATAAATCAAAGGTAGCCAGGACCTTAAGCATGGGCGGAACTTCTGTCAACCGCACACGTACTCGGGGCACACTCCCTCCCACTCAAAGCTCAAAGAGACTATAAAATTAGCAGATGAATAAGCCTAATTCAAATTTGGGCTCCCTCGATTTTAAGGCAATCTTTGCTTTATCCTTACCTGTAAAGTGGTTTGCCAGCACTCTCACGAAACCATAGGACCATATACACACGATCGTCCTTCGCCTCCGGCTCTATGTCGCACGGCAGGGATGCGGTGCGTCCCAGTACTGCCTCCACGGCCACTGTGGAGACTGCAAGATAAAGGAAAGAGGGAAATATAAATACAATTATGAGCGTCATCATCGTCGTCGTCGTTCGAAGTTCAATTGAATGGAATGGCTAGCCTCTAGCAGGAGAGGGAGTGGCTTCTTGAAATGTCATGACAAAACTATTGCCAAAGTCATTAACACAATATGAAAATGTCCTTTTTTGTTCAGCACTGAGCTCGGTCGGGGTGTTGCCGCAATTACTTGGACTCCTTCGTCGATTTCTTACAAATGTCAACAAAACGCTGCCTTTTAAGTGTCACGTTGACTCTGACTTCTCAGAGAAGGTTGCCACAACGTTGAGCACGCAAGGCACCAACCGCACGGCAACCAACTTCAAGACCCCCGTACCCCCAGACATGGCCCAAGCTCAAGCCCAAGCCCAAGTCTAACCCCCTCCTAACCGCAATAGCCTCTCTCGGTACCGTTCATCGTCGTTGTCGTCGCTGTCGTTGTAGTCGCATAATCACAACCAAGTACGTGAGTGGGAATATTAATGCCAAATTGAAGGCACCGGCACCGACAACGATGACGTCGACAATGATGATGACGATGGCAATGGCTATGGCCGTCGAGGCGACTGGCTGCGATTTCACGGCAGCCTCATCTTTTGCATTTAAACTGCCAATTGATGTCACTGAAAATAGATAAATGCTAAGGGCGGCGTTGCTTCCGGCTCAGGAAACGCCGCCAAACAGAGTGGACCCCATTCCAAATCAAATCCAATCCAATCCAATCCAAGCAAATGACAATGGATTAAAGCTGGCTAAAACAGCCAACGTTAAAGTCACTCATACTAGCTCATAGCCATTGTCTGTGCCTCTAATTGTCCCTTGGCGTGAGGACTATCAAAGTGGCAGAAGTGGGTGGTGGTGGGGGTGGGGGTGCTCAGCTGTTTGGTTAGTTTCTGATAGCACAAGTCGTAAATTAATAAGAGAAACATGAACTGTAAATGCATGTCAATCAATCAATTCGATGAATAAAACATGAATGCACAGAAAAGAGTTCTGAGTCCTACCATATTGATTTTTGACAGTTTGTTAAGGAGCAAAATTCTTTCAAGCAAAATCTCAAATAAAGAACGAACTACTGTCACTATGATCGTGAAAAAGTGTCAAGATAGTAAACAATAAGCGAAAGGAAGGCAGAACGCAATAGGCGATTCCCAAATAAATGCAGAGAATCTGCAAATAAAATCTCTATACCAAGACGATACAATAGCTTGATCTTGAAAAGGAAACTCTGATCATTAACACTTGCGAGTAAGCAACTCCAATATCTCCAGCATGCATCATAAACGGCCTTTATCACTTATTTTATGGGAAGCTTTTACCACGAACATGAGCACTTTTACTTCAATTGAATTCCCTCGGTGTAAATCAGAAAAAAGAGATATATTCGCAGAAGATTGACGGTCTCTTTACGCCCACGCATCGATTTCTATACCGTATGTATAGGTGTACGTATGCACATATACGAGGAAAAATTGAAAATTCAATTGCTCACCTGTCCAGCTGTCAAAACCCAGCAACTCGAACACATCCATCATTAACCTATTTTACAGCCTGATGCTCATTAATACCCAAAAGGGAGCCTCGCAATCATGTTACGCGTAATTTAATTTCTACAGCCACCGACATCAAGCGAGAGAACGCCCAGAACGGGTCGGGTCGGGTCAGGCCGAAGGAACCAAAAGGACCGAAAGAAAAAGAATAAAAAGATGGTGCGAGCTCTGGGAACCAAACCAGGACATTTCTCAGCCTGCAGACGATGCCAAAAATTGTTGACATTTATTTAATATGCGCACGTTTTATAGAAAAGCAATTCCCAGTCGGATAATTTATGGCACACTACAGAAATTTGCACATGAAAACGCTCCCATTGCCCCACCAAAAACAGACGCACGAGCGGACGCCCACGCAGACAGACAGACAATCAGGCACACCGATATACACATGTACGTATATGCATGTACATCTATGTGTAGGTACAAGGATGTATCGGTGTGTGGGCTGTCGCAAAACATGGTAGCAATTTTCGTGCGTTTGTAATTCCCATGTAAGATGTCAAATGCTCAACGAGTAGACAGAGCACAGCAGACAGACACAGTTAGGCCCTCTATCAGTTAGCTACTGTGTCCCAGTCTCCCGGTCCCCAGGGCGGGTGGCGACAGTGGGCTGCAGCAGCAGCAAATTGACATAATTTGTGATATGCGCCTCCGACGCCGCCTCCATCATCTTCATCATCGTCCTCCTCGCGTGGTGCTTGTCAGCGTCAGCGTCAGCGTCGTCGTCGTCGTCGTCGTCAGCGCTGTGCGCGCAAGCGTAAGTGTGTAATGAGTGATTTGCCCGTGAGGCTCACATGGGAATCGTGGGGCAGAAGGTAGAGAGAGGGCGAGGGGGAGACCCTTCCATTTCCAAAGACCACAGAATCAGGCAGCTAAAACCAACTGCCTGGATTTGGGACAAAGTGGCGCGTGCTGCGGCTTACGTGGCAAGTTGCTTCTGAGGTCACGGGTTTGGTGAGCCACAAGAGGCAACAGTTCAGATGGACAAATGTCGATGTCCCTCCCGAATGTCTCTCCATCCATTCACTTGTACGCCTCTGGGGTATGGGCTTGCGTACGAGTAGGTAAATAGGTCAATTCAGGATTATTAGTGCAAATCGCAAGAAATAACTATTTAAGGCTAGTTATTTGCAAACTGTTATTTTTTCAATCTGTCATGACATGTCACGGCTTCGGTCATATCTGGCATTTACTTTGCAAAGTAATCTCTGGGGATAGATATAATTATGTTTACAATTAGTTTTCCAAATCAATGCTGATGGAATTTAACAATATCAAACTGTTTGTTTTCCATGATTTTTATATTCTCAAATTCTAGGTTTTTTAATTTGTCTGTTGTCTTAAGTTCATCCGCACACTATCGTCATTTTACAAACATTCAAAATAATCAAATAATAGGAACGCCAAAGAAAACAGATTGGAGATTTCCTTCATATTTCCTTTGGTTCCTTTGGTTGCTTTATACAACGTCAACTTTTCCTGGGTTACACAGTGTCATTTCACTTTTTATGCTGGCTAAAGTAGAAAACAAACACAAATTTCATTTTTTTGCTCATGCTCTTGTGGCGCTTGACTCTGCTCCATCTTCGTTTCTTATTTTTTGTGTTGGTTTTTTTGTTATGAAAATTGCCAACAGCCAGGCAACACATACTTAGCACGCACCGAGGCACACACAGAGACAGATACAGAGCCAGCCCCAGCAGTGGATAGAAAGGAGAACGCATACACAGGCTCACTCTCTGGCACGTCGTTGAGCGCACTTGGGTTATGCACATAGTATTTATATTTATATAGAAAAGTCGCATCGCTCTCTCTGTCACTCTCTCTCTCTCTCTCTCTGTCTCTTTCTCTCTCTTGCTGTATATAAACGAAAGAAGCTGTGAAACTTATGCAAATTGCATTTCAGTGTCTGCGCAAAAGCCAACTCGACACAAAACACAGCGTAGCAGAAGAGGAGAAAGAAGACGCGGCGGCTGTATCAGAAGCGCCTAAAAGTATGCAATGCTAACGCGGCCTGCTGCAAAAAGTTGTAGAAAATGCGCATAATGAAATCCATGGCTACGGCTACGGCTACGGCTACGGCTACGGCTAAGACTCCAGCAGCGGCAGCAGCAGCTTCTCAGCTTGGCTTGGCTTGGGGCTTGCTTGCCTTTCCACGTCCCAGTTTCGCGGCAAAGCTGATTCTGGTTCTGCTTCTGCCACTGCTGCTGCTGCTGCTGCCGTGGCTGAGTTTTCTGCTGCTGCTGTTGTTGTTGCTCAAGAGAGCGCCAAAGTTTTTCTTCTTGTTTCACGCTACAACCACAAGGATGGCGATGGCGGCACCGACGTCGCCAAGCCCTGAGCATGGTAATTTCTGCAGGTCTTGGGTGTGTGTGTGTGTATGCACTTAACTGTAGACACTTGTAAAAATAGTGTGCGACTATATAGCAGCCACTGAGGTTGTCGCTGCCGCCGCCGCCGCCGCCGACCCTGGCCAACGCCAACGGTAAAGCAGGTCACGTGTGGCATAAACGTGCCATTGCGTCAGTCGCTTCTTCTTCATATTCTCGTGGTTGTTGTTGTTTCTGTAGTTGCATTGTTATTGCTGTCTTGGGTGTAGGAAAATTCCTTAAATAAATATGTAAGAGTATGCCAGTGTGTGTGTGTGTGTGTGGCGTGTATGAGGATGAGTCTGTTTTTCGCAGCACTCTCACACGTGCATACTCGTGGCTCGTATGTGTGTTTGTGTAATTGAGATGAAAGTTAATGGCCAGCATAGCATACTTTTGAGCGCCCAAATCGCAAGCTAACAAAATGCCAGACAATGCCAGACTGTGCGTCTCTATAGTGGTGTGCGTGTGTGTGTGTGAAAGTGAATGCCAACAAAAAGGTATTGTTATTGTTGTTTTTGCTGCTACTGTAGTATTGCCTAAGTGGCACAAGGTAAAGTCGCATTGCTGCTGCGGCTCTGCATCCGCCTCTGCCTCTGCCTCTGGCTCTGACTGTGGATGTGGCTTCGGCTCTGGCACAGGCAGGGGTTTTCTGGCGCCTGTGCCACGCCCTCATTTGTGTTGGTAGTGCAAACGTATATGTGCGTGTGTGTTTGCACTATTTGCACTAATTTAGTTGAAAACAAACAAAGTCCTTTGTTCAATTTTCGCCTCTCAGATTGAAGCGCCGCCACGAGAGTGGAGAGAACGAGAAGGATTCTTGGCCAAAGGGTGCATTTGTGCTGTGCTGCAGAGCTTTGTGGAGCAAAAAGAACACGAAGAACAACAGCCGGTGGCAAGTGTTAACCTATTTTCCGCTTACCCCCACTCTTTCACTCTCTCTCTCTCTCTCTCTCGGCAGGGCGTAATTAGCAAAGTATTTTTTGTTTTCTTATATTTTCCATAGACCTGCAGTTAAGTGTACAATCTAGAGTCTAGAGTCTCTCCAT